CACCTCATTTGATCCACCTGCATTAGTTTTTATCTAACAAGCCTTCAGACCAGTCAACAGAGCCAGATTATTCGAGCCGTGGGTGACAATTATTCCAGCGTCCCTGTGTTCTGACTACCTGATCCTGAACCGTTCTGCCTCTTGACATCCGAGCCTGCCTAGTCCTGCCTGATCAGTGAATTCTTGTGTAGCGACTGGAACCATTTCCCGACCACTAAGTTTCCCTTGTCCAGCCTGTTAGCCCCACTGTGTACGATACATGGAACTGTGACCGGACTCAGTCTTGGATTCTTCTTCTGTGCCTCAACGGATCTCTGACTTCCTGGCTCTGACAACGCACCGCGTCATCAACTTCGGCTTTGGCTTCACCCTCTGGATTATCCTACCTTCGGATCTCCTGCCTATCCTCCGACCTCTGATACAACAGCGTCTGATACTCCCCTGTGGCCATCGCCGCACCGGCCGGAATCATTGTCTACCTTTAGACTCAAGCTGCACTATAAGACCAGGTTAGTGAAACACTTGATCATGATCATCCATTTCCATCTCATCCATTTTACTTCTTTTGTTTAGATATTTTAGCCATCAGTAGGGAAATTAACTACCCACTATTTTTGTTTATTTAGACAAAACTCTGACAGTTTACACTGTGTGTGTTTACCAGAAAATTACATTTTAAAAGTATCTTGCTAACATGCTAAGCTGCTAGAAATGTTCTACCAAAGGTTCTTAATTAAGATTTTAAACCCGGGGGGGACAATATTCTACCAATGTGATACAGTTACTTTATGACAGTAACTTAAACTATAGGCCCAGCCTGAATATTTTTGTAAAAAAGAGGAATGTGTAAAACGATGCCTGCATGGAAGTGAAACATTATTAAGACATAAACACACTAAGGAATGTTAACATGTAGCATAAAAATGCTAAAATCTCTAAAGACTTTGCTGTTCCAACATACATGAATTAATGTTATCATGTGCAAAGTAGAACAAAGTAATTGAGTCATAAAGCTTTCATGCATTTCTCAAACCATGTAATTCTGCTGAGATCTTCCCTCTTCTATTGATGAGCTCTTTACAAATCAAGCCTCACATACAAATGGAAAACAAGCATTAAGTTATTTATTTTGACTATATGTATTTATTAATAAAATATAGAACTTATCTCTAGTGTTTCGTTTCTAAAGCTCAGCTATTTTTTTAATTTTTACTTCTAAAACCTGCCTAAAACCAGATTTAGGTAGTGTGCCCAAAAATTCTATTTAAGCAGGAGTAGCATTACTTGAGGGGCTTCTCAGTGATGCAGTGGGTAGTTTTGCTGCCTTGCAGCAAGAAGGTTCTGGATTCGATTGCTGGCCTGGGGTCTTTCTGCATGGGGTTTGCATGTTCTCCCTGAGCATGTGTGGGTTTTCTCTGGGTACTCCGACTTCCTCCCACAGTCCAAAAACATGACTGTTTGGTTAATTGGCTTCTCTAGATTCTCCTTAGGTGTGAGTGTGGGTGAATGGTTGTTTGTCTCTGTTTTGCCCTGCAATGGACTGGCAACCTGTCCAGGGTGTACCCCGCCTTTCACAGGTAGACAGCTAGAGATAGGCACCAGCACCCCTCACAACCCCGCTTGGGATAAGCGTGACGGAAAATGGATGGATGGATAGCATTATTTGAACTTTTTTTTTCTCCTCTCACGTTAAAGTTGAAAGTAGTCATACAAGAAATTTGAGTAAGAAAGTAAAATAGCTACTCAATTACTGAGTAATTATAGTATCGAAACATCTGATTTCATGTTTAATATAACATAATCAGACAGAGAATTCTGTGAAAATTCTGTTTTTTTCATTGTATAAAAATGTAAGAAAACAAATAATAAAACAAATTGAGGGAGTGGCAGCCTAGTGGGTAGGGTGTAAAATTTGGAATCCTGAGGTTGTGAGTTCAAAACTCACTCCCACAGATTACTCCCCAGGTGTCCAGTGATGGCAGCCCCCCCTTCTCCCCAAGGGAATGGGTTAAATGCAGAGGTAAATTTCTTCTAGGTGAGATCAGTTAATTTAAATTATTATTAATTAAAAACAAATCTGTGCAGAGGAAACAGTTAAAATGAGAAGGATTTGAGCTGGCTGTATCAGAAACTGACACACCATCCATGTCTTGAACTTCATGCAGCTTGCTTCTATGCCTCAGGGTTACAGATAGCTATCCTCTATCAGTCCGGCTCCAAGATGTGCCCATATCCTGTGTACTCTTAAAGATAAGAAGGCTGTCCCGATTAGATGACCTCTGTACACACCGTGACATCCACAATGTGAAGGAAGGCCTTCTACTCTGTCTAATCTGACTAACAAAATAACAATTCACATGATGTATAAAAGAATAAACCTAACAAAACTTTTCAATTTCAATTGTTTTTACATTAAATAAAAAAAAAAAAAAACAATCATTACAGTAGGCAATGCATACATGTTAGAAATGGAGAAAAATCTACTGTTTCCTGTATTTTTTTACCTGATCTCCAAATAGCTTAAATTACTTGTTGTAGATGGAGTAGCCAGAAAATGTACTCTAAAGTATCTACACTCTCAAAAAAATATGACTGAGGTCAAAGTAAAAGTACAGTAAAACACAACTACTCCTAAAGAGAGATTTTTCAAGTTACTCAAGTAAATGTAACTGGGTATATGTTACTAGTTACCGCACAATTCTGCTGAAAAACGAGACTGCGTGGAGTGCTCTGTTTTTCCAGATCAACACTTCTCTCTGGTCTGTGGTGATTAAGCACATTGCTGTTTTTTAAAGTTATTTTTTATATATATACATCTGAGTATACTTCTTTAAAAATGGAAATGTTCATTGTTTTTTTTATATATCTAGAGGGGTGAAGAAGTCATTGCTATCTCTAAAAACCCACGTTACCACCAAACCATTCTGCATCATTAGTTTTACACCTCTGCCTATTTAACATTTGGTTATTTCAAAAGAATAGAAAGTGATTTAAATACTGGAGAAAATTAGAAAATTGGTCTTGATTGATTAAAATAACTAAATAACTTGTTCCTTTCATATCACTCTTCAAATAGCCCCCTGCTGGTCTCTTATATCTGCTGCATTCATTCCTTGTTTGCAGCTCAGTGATGTTTAGTTGGATTAAAGAAGGTTATAGACTCAGCCTTTCATTTGACTCAGGACCTTCTACTTCTTAGATGTGGTTTAGAAAGTCAGTGTTTAATAACAATGACCAATAGTTGTTTTAGACTTTCTGTTTATTTTATTTTATCATTTCCATTACAGATTTCATTTAGTGTTTTTTGGTGGGGGAACTGCTGGCATTGACACCTTGTAACAAGAAGATCCAGGTTTTAAATCCTGACTAAAGTGTATAATAAAAATCTAGCTTTTTTCTGCAGATGACTTGATCACTTGATTTAATTCGCAGACTCTGTACATGTATGCAAAAGCTAGTACTGTGTCTCAATTAACTTTAGGTCTAATGTGTACCTGTGTGGTTACTTTGTCCTGCCACCCTGCAACAAAAAATTTGTGTCAAGAAAATGGATGGATGTGTTCCTGATAGAGTAAGTTCTCCATCAACTTCCTTTTTTTTGTCACTCTTTTCTCTACCCCTTCACCAGTGACACCCAGTGGTGGAACCATAAAAGATGTTAACCTAATAGGACGTTATCTATCTACCTATCTATCTATCTATCTATCTATCTATCTATCTATCTATCTATCTATCTATCTATCGATCGATCGATCGATCGATCGATCGATCGATCGATCTATCTATCTATCTATCTATCTATCTATCTATCTATCTATCTATCTATCTATCTATCTATCTATCTATCTATCTATCTATCTATCTATCTATCTATCTATCTATCTATCTATCTATCTATCTATCTATCTATCTATCTATCTATCTTTAATTCATTCTGTACTTGAATTGCCTTTTTTAACCAAGAACTGTTATATTCTTTAGTACCGGTAATTACTTTGATGGCTTCTTTTTCTGACTTGAGTAAAAGTATGATTAAGTAGGCTACTATTACTTTTAGTCAGCAACAATTTTTGGACACTATACCAACCTCTGCATGAAACCCTGACAATAGTGACTGATGCTCCCTTTGACCCATTTCATCTTATTTAATTAACATTTTATTTTAATTATGCTCTTAAGATTAAGGTGATAGCTTCAATTTAACTTTTAGTAGATATTTAATTAGCGCCTAATTATTTCAGTTAGGCTACTTTCCTTCCCATTTTTAAGGCATTTTTAATTTTAGGTAAAGGGAAATTAAAATTCTGCACCCAAAAATACAAAATTTCCCTTGGAAAAACATAAAATAAAATAAAAAACTAGATGACGTGGAACATTTTTAGTGAATGCGGTCTAGCCCAGAGTTCAACGGATTTAGACCAAATGTGTACTTTTTGTAAAAATAATGAACAAAGTCTTATTCACCTTTTTTGGGATTGTAATTATACCAAAACTATTTTGGGGAGATATGTCAATTTTTTTTCATCAACAAAAAATCTTAACATTACTTTAACAGACAATGGAGAAATGTGAACTTGTCAAAAGAGAATTTTTATATATTATTTTTTTTAATTATTATTATTTATGGTAAATATCAAATTCACACCTCCAAATATTTACAACATAAACCTAATTTCCAGATTTTATTATCCTCTATTGATATCTATGTAGAATCCTTAAAATTTTGTTAAAATGCTAAAGCTATGGAAATCATAACTGCCCTATAACCCTCGACCCTCTGTTCTGTAAAGCCCTTTGTTGTTGTATATGTTTGTAATTATCAATGTTATATATTGTTCATGTATGTCCTTTTTTTGCAATATTTTTTTAATTAAATAAAATAGTCCAGAGATCGATGGGTAGCGTTACACGTTCATAATTTGAAATTACGACGTTTGAGAAATCCCGTGAAGTAGCCACGTCTGCGTGCGTCTGTGGCGTCCTTTATAAAGTGGGCGGGGCCTTCCCGGCTATACGGTAGAAACCCTACAAGATGAAGGACGGGATCCAGGGTCAGCCTGCTTAAACTCCGCCGCTGTCCTTCAGACACACCGAAGGCGGCTGTGTCGATCTACCCGGATGGACTTCATCTTGGGCGGCGTGGCGGCCTGCGGCGCCTGCCTCTTCACCAACCCGTTGGAAGTCGTCAAGACGCGGATGCAACTTCAAGGGGAGCTGAAGAGCCGCGGCACCTACCAGGTTTACTACCGCAACGTTTTCCACGCTTTCTACACCATCGGTAAAGTGGACGGCCTGGCCGGTCTGCAGAAAGGCCTGGTCCCCGGTCTGTTCTATCAGTTTTTCATGAATGGAGTCCGGCTCGGCTCCTTCGCCATCATTGAGTCCGCCGGTCACATCCACACCAACGGAAGGGTCAGCGCTCTGAAGACCATCGCAGCAGGAGCCGCCGCTGGGGTGGTGGGCGCCGTCATGGGCAGCCCTGTGTACCTGGTCAGCAGCCGACTTCACTTTATGGGTCTAAAAAGTTTAACTGGTGAATTCTAACTAAAAACTCTCCCATCTGACAGGTGAAGACTCATCTGCAGAGTCAGTCTACCTCCTCCATCGCAGTGGGACATCAGTATAAACACCAGGTAGTAGATCTATCCCAAACACACAGATGTTGAAGACAGGTTTCTGATCTGATTCCTCTATTCCTGACAGGGGATGATCCATGCTCTCAGGGTCATCCACAGGGAGCACGGCATTCTGGGGCTGTGGAGGGGCTCCAGTGCTGCTGTACCAAGGGTCAGCGTGGGCTCTGCAACCCAGCTTTCCACCTTCTCCTCCTCTAAGGAGCTAGTCATTGACCTACAGGTAAGAAAAGCCTGGTTTTCATCTGTTTTGTCCTGGAGCATCTTAATAATCCACTTTCAATAAACTGGTTTCCATGGTCACACTTAAAGGGGTTAAAATTGGGAGATGCCTTAACTCGGAGCAAAGAAGTTTCATGAAATGTGCTACTGAAGATTCTCAGTCATCTAAATTATAGTAGCCTCGAACTCATTACTAATTTTGACATTTTGAATTGGAAAAATCTTCTTTGATGGAAGCAAAATGCTTCAAACTTGGAAACAAAGTCCAGAGGATTGTTTTTTTTTTGTTTTTTTTTAATTTTTGGAAGAAATTAAATGCTTTAACATAGAGGACTAACCCCTACTTTGAGAAACCCTGTATCAAATCTGACCTAAGGTCGTGAGATATGGATCATAAACCAGGGTTTCCTTTCAAATTCAACCTGTGACCCCCAAATATAACTCCCCAACAGACCAGGGACCCCCTACAATTTTTAATAAATTAAATTTATTTTATTTTTCTTAGTAATTCGATAAATTTTACTTTTTTTCTTTCAATTAAATGGAAAATAAAATTACCTAAAATCTCTTTTTAGGATTAAATGAGGCATGCTTTGAATAAATAAATATTAAATCTGCTTTTCTGACATTTATATATTGCAATTTAGTTCAATTTAGTTTATTTATATAGTGTCAATTCGCAACACATGTCATCTCAAGGCACTTGACAGTTCAGCCAGATCATCCAGTCAAATTGATTCAAAGTTTTCTATCTAAGGAAAACCAGTAGATTGCATCGACTCATTGACTCAAATGCAATCCCTCACACTAAGCATGCTTGCAGCGACAGTGGAGAGGAAAAACTCCCTTTGAACAGGAAGAAACCTCCAGCAGAACCAGGCTCAGTGTGAGCGGCCATCTGCCGAGGCCGACTGGGGTTCAAGGAGACAGAAGCAGAGATACAAAAAGCAGCTGTAAAAGGCGGCCCCGTCCAGGAAACACACAGCCAGGCAGACGAGCTCGGAGCCAGCTCCCATGTCAGAGGATGAAAGAGAGCACATCCAGCCAGTCACAGTCAGAGAAACAGGACTGCACTGGAAAACAGGCCGATCTCCAACATCTGTAAACAATGGTGTTATTTTTATATTTGTATTTCATGATATAGTATGGCCCCAGGGATCACATCATGAAACCATCTTGCAACCCACTGGTGACTTCCCCCTTCGGGAACCCATCATACCAAAAAAAAAAGATCTGATATGAGCCTCAGAGATCAGCAGAGCAGCTCATCATCTGCTGGAAGCTGAAAGTAGAGCAGCTGCTCACTGAAAGATGTTGGACAGGTGGCTGAGGCATCTGATTAGACCCTCTTTATGGACTTTCTGGGTGCAACAATCTGTTGCAGATGAAGATGAAGATCCTAATGAAGGTGCTGAAGGAGCTGGTTGAGAACTGGTAGAATTACCCACGATGAGCTGGAGGGGTCTGTTAACCAGTGACCGAATGACTTGGTTCATCTGAACAAAATGGATAGATGGAAAAAACATTTTTTTATTAAACAACTTCTATATTCTAAATTCTTCATGAAGTTTTGGAGGGAAGCTTTGAGAGCATCAACCATTCCGGCCTCCCATTTCTCCACCTATTGCTGCTTACTGCTTGTAAGCTGGCTGAAAGAAGGCGCCTTAATTTTTAAAATTTGGATAAAAAAGCAAAAACTGACTTTTCTCATAATGTCTGGTCACCAAAAACGCAGACATTTATGCTTGCTGAACTAAAGGAGCTCAATCTATATGGAGTGAATTTTGTTCCATTATTGTTGCAAACAAAGAACGCATTTTGTAAACTGAAATTTGAAAAAGGGTGATTTTAGAAATTAAACCTTTAAAAATGTTTGTTGTTGACTTTGTTGTCTTCTCTTATTTATTTATTTATTTATTTTTTTTTTAAATATTTTTTTAACCTCTGCCAAAGAGGTTATGTTTTTAGTCAAGTTTGTGTGTGTGTGTGTGTGTGTGTGTGTGTGTGTGTGTGTGTGTGTGTGTGTGTGTGTTTTTCTGTGTACAGGATAACATGAAAAGTTATGAGCAGATTTTAATGAGTTTAATGCTAAAGTGGCACCTCAGTTCAATGAACAATCCATAAAATTTTGGTGATGATCCACATCATAACCCGGGTGCAGGATTAAAAAAAATTGATTCTTTAACATTATTTGGTGGACAATCAGTCCCCCCCCCTTAAACCAGAGAGTGTCAGCAACGACTTCTGACAGCTTCTGCATTGGACTCAAAAAAGCCAGAGGCTGCAGACACAAAAGTGGTGCTTTATAAACTTATGGAAGGATTTTGAGGAAATTGTTACCAAAGGTGCGCCTCATGCCAAAAAAAAAAAAAAAACTCATTTAAATTTGGTAATGATCCAGATCACGCGTTAGTTTTAGCTAAAGGTTTCAGTCCCAATATGCTGCTTGGAAGTCTGTGCTTTGATTGCTTTTCTAGTTTTTTTTTTTTTAACCAATTTTATATTTTCAAAACCTTTTTTCCAAGTTTTTGTTTTATCAATTTCCTTTTTTTTTTAATTTTATTTCACTTATCACATTCTGTTCGCTTCCGGGGGCAGGCCTTCGTCTTAAGTGAGGAGCAAAGATGCATTTCTATCGGTCTGCTTGACCAATATTTTTACTGGTCAAGAACAAGTGTTTGTATAGGGCTTGAAGTGAAGATAAATATTTTAAAAAATATATAATTTTAACAAAGTAAACATGACAAACTAATTTGAAGAAACTCAGTTTAAAAAAGACAAAAAAAAAAAAAAAAGACATCTGTGGCAGTAAAGAGAGAGCTGAGGGAAAGGCAAAGCTCTCAGTTTAGCGGGCGCCGGTCTATATTCCTGTTCTCACCTATGGTGATGTAATCAGGATCATGTCTGAAACATATATTGTATTATATGTTTTTTGGTTTTTGGATAAAAAGAAATTCGATCAAATTCTTTATTGCTGTTTGAACATTTCTTTGGCAGCCTCTTTCATTCAAGTTACAACAGCAGGAGAATCTTATTGGAGATTCCAGTGTGTATTTTTAGCCAGACAGAACAAATCGTTCTAGCTGTAATAATTGGATGGGGTAAAAAGATTGGCACACTCGCTCAACACCAATGAAATCATTCGATCCACAGAGGAGTTGATTTGTAGTCAGTAGCTGTGCACAGATTGCACAAGCAGTCATTGTTGCGCTGACAAAACCCTTCTGTGATTCACTCCCTGGAATAGAAATAGGACACCTTTTGCTGGGCCCCTCTGTCGGAAAACGTCTGCTTTGCACAACCAGAGCAAGAGCTAACTGGTGGGCCCAGCTGTCTGATCTGCAGCTAAAGAAGTATACAGATGGTTAAAGTCTGTTATCTTTACTTGGCAGGAAGAATTTAAGGAATTATTCAACCATTTTCCAAATTGTGCAACTCACTCTGTTGCAAAAAGTCAGTGGGTGGAGATGTGGGGGGTGTTTGGACCCCCTCCTACTCCAAGCATCCCAGCCAACACTGGCCCATTTAGGAGCTGTTATACATCCTAAATAAAACACATCCTTGTCTCTAACATAAACTGGTATGTTAGCTGCTTACCCCTCATTGGTTTGTAACTGTTACAGAAATAGTTTAGCTGCTGTTATGGTTTCTACTCATTTATGGTATTTTAGGAAGAGCAGTACATTTTACAAAGTACTACAATTATGTAGTATTTTACTGGCACTTCTGATAAATTGTAAAAGAAGGGAAAAAAATCATCTTGTATAGAGGTAGCATTAACATTTCACACTACAACTGAAAAGAAAAGGAGAAAAATAAACAATTGAATAGAAAATATGATAATAATCCCTTTTTTCAACCAAAAAATTCACTGCTTTGTGTAAACATTGGTTAAGTGAAGTTATAACTAAATTACTTAGTTTATCATGAATTTTAACAAAAGATTCACGTAAAACTTGGAACTTTGTTTGAGCTAAGCTAGCCTTAGCTTCACTTTTTATATTGAGGAAAGGGAGGCTTGAATTTACAGTTTATAGTTGAACGCAGTCAATTGTTTTCAGCTACTGTTAAACATTTTCCATCTTCTATCACCGTTTGTAAAGTTTTCAGTTGATGTCGGACATGCTGTCGCATATGAAGACAGAATTAAACCCTTGAAGAGAACAGCTATTAGCCTGACGCTGTTTTGCTAAGGTTACTAGCAGCAACTAGGAAAAGAATACTAATGTGTCAAGAGGCCAAGATTTCCTGAAAGGTAGTCAAACACTGTTAACTTTATCCAGTTGGTTCTACCATAGATATTCTATAGGTAGAATCCTCATTGCATGCACTCTGCAGGGAGGCCATCTTGGATCAGACAGCCTTAGATCTCATTTTAATCACATGAAAGACTAGTCAAGCAAGTATTACAATTCTTAAACAGTATATTATTATTATTATTATTATTCTGTTTTTTTAAAGGATTGTTCTTTGATAATCAATGTTATGATCTATAGAGGGTAAATTAGTTGTAATGTCTACTTATATGTCTATGGGTAAGTTAACACAAGCGCACAGAAACAGATCCACACATGAGTAGAAGGGAATATACAGGCACAGGAAAACAAGAGAGCGCAGAGAAGGAACATGTACTCATGTTTGTGATGCAATGGAGGCCTCATAGTATTGAATCTCCACACATAAAGTGATCAAAATGAGCATTGAGTGTAGTTTACATGTGGGTGCTTTAAATAAAACGGCTCGTATGAGTATTATAGCATGTGGACACTTATGGCAGAATTTTGGGTTCATAACAGTACATTTTTGAAGACGCTAACTTTCTCACTCCAATCCTTTGGGTGGCGCTAATACGCTAAGGTTATAAAATAGTTGCAGTTGGAGGACAGACTCCTGCTTAAGAGTAGAAAGAAGAACTTTTCCTCACATCAGTAACAGTTGAACTCCTGGAACAATGGGCAGCAAGTCTTAATTTGGGTGCGCTTCACGTTGTCACGCAATTTCCCTTATGTCTGCAAGTAAATGGGCTTTCAGACAGGAGCTGTTGCACCTAGCGATGTGCTCTTACATCCATTATTATCGATGGCATGTGCAATGCAAAAGCGCTAGAGAATGCTCACATAGGGCCAGATAATTCCATTGTAGTTCCAAAAGTTTCAGTGTAAACAGTGTCTCTGCTGGGGGAAACAAAAAAAAAAGTTCTATGGAAGGTTGTTGAGTCAACGCAGGATGTTAAGCGAAACTCTGATTTATTTTTTTTTTTTTTAAAGCCTAATGGCCCGTTACATTGAATAATTCTCGCGAGAACCCTGATGGATATCAGATCTCTACTCCAGTGGAAAGTTGTTGAGTCCCTGCAGGAAGAACGGTATCTACTGGGCGTTCTTCTTAACAGCAGGTTTATTTTTCACCAAAGATTTCAGTCATAAAACAATTTGTTCTGTCTGCATATAGAACACAAACAAAAAGGAAAAAAGCAGAAAAAAGTGGCGTTATAAAGACGGGGCATGAAAGAGCTGAATAATCTATAAAGTTTGTTATTGTTTTTGGATGAATGAAAGGATATATGTGGAAAACGGCTTCTGCCTACTGTTATACACGGGGGAGGATGTCTGATGCTGCGGGCCTGTTTGTCCTCCATGGTTCCTTGGTAACATCTGTTTGCTTTTATGAGCTCTTTAGTAAAACTGACATTTTAAAAACTCAATCAGATGCAGTCTATGAAACAAAATGCATATAAAAAGTATTTAAGTTATTCTGACTGAGATAAAGGCTTTCTCCATATCCTTACCAGGCCAGTGTCTGCCAGCATGGTGAAAGGCACATTAGAAACTGGTTAGACTTCTGCTGCTGTTGTGTGTTGTAACACAGGTGCTAATTTTAGAGCCATTCCTCTGTTTCGCAGAGCTAAAATTAGACCTAGCTGCTATGAAGGGGTAGGCTAATGATGATCCCTGTTGGAAACTCACTCCTGTCATGCTCAGAATGCAGCCTAACAATACTTTCCCCTTTTTGTAGGTTTTCCCCAAGGACAGCTGGTTGGTGGCTCTCAGTGCGGGAATGATCAGCAGCGTGATGGTGGTGCTGGCCATGACGCCTTTTGATGTGGTCAGCACACGGCTCTACAATCAGCCTGTTGATCATTTGGGAAAAGTAAGTAAAAACAAATGTAAGAGTTATTTATGGGTGAGGTTTTGACCCGTTTCTTTTAGCCTCATTAGGCTGAATATAGATGTAAAAATGCATCTTGATTTGACTGACAGGTTTTAGGTATTTACAGGAACTTAACTAAAAAGCAAATTCAGTGAAATGCGAAATGACAAAGTGTAGAAAATGCCAATTAAGAGATGGTCAGATCAGTTTTTAATTCATTTTTATTTTAAACTAAAATGAACAAAGAATAAATAATGTAACTATCTCACTCTGTTATGCAGACATTGTCTGCACTTACGAAGATTCTCTATATACAAAATGCTATCAGATTTGAACCTTTGAACAATATAAACTTCAATGAAGATGCAAAAACAGGTGTTTTGCATCAAATACAGAAGTGTTTTGAACCAATGAAATGCAGTGATCTGTAAGCATCAACCAGAAGCGCAAGGCTCAATCAAAATAAATATGGCTGCACCGTTGGATGAGGCTGTAGACTCCACCATTCAGTCCGATTTAGCTTAAATACGCTCTATTTTTTTTTTTTGAGAAACGAGCAAAAGGACGCCATTTTTGCCTTTGTGGATGGGGAAAGATCTTCATTGCAACCAGATTTGTAAATCTTACAAATAATTAGCTAGTTGTGAAACAAATTTGCACAGTGTGCTATGTCACAGCTGCTACTGCTGCTGTGATTGGTTAAAGCTTGACATGGGAGGTAGGTGCCTCTTGGTAATTTACCCAATCAACTTAGAGAAGACGTTCTGTCTGGTGTGATGAGGATTCTCTTGGTATATAGAATGCTATCAGTTTTTAGATGTAGAAAAAGAAAACGCCCAAAAATACAAGGCTGTCAAATGGTTCTCAAACCCCCTCAAAATAATCGTATAAATAAAACTTCCTGATGAGCATCACGCTCTTTAAACTGAACTAGATCAAGATAAATGATTTATTTTTTAATCTGAAGTTCAGCACACAGAACAAATAATGGTACTTAATCTCAGTCTACGTTATGCAGATGTTCCGTCAGCACTGATGAAGGTCCTCTTAGTAAACACAATATTATTGGTGCTAATAGAGTCTGATAAACTTTTAGCCAAGGACTGTGGTTTGATCGGTTGGTCTGGCATTAAAAGCACTGTAAGAGGAGACTCTCTGTCCCAATGTAGTTACAAGCTTTTCGTACATTTCCTTTCTGCAGATATTGAATGTACTCTAAAAAAGCTTCACAGACAGCTGGTTTCAGACATGTGGCAAGATAAGAAGCTGTTTAAAAGCACTGCTCCCAAGAGGTTGTGGTTTGGCTAAATTCCAGTGAGAAGATTCACAGTTTGCTTTTCCAATTCTGCGACTTTCTGAGCTGCTCTTAGTATTTATTCACCAGTAGATAGTTGAGCCTATAGGAGTGAATGAATAACAGCAAATGGATCATTTAAATATATCTTACTATAAAATTGTAATTAAAATTCTAGTTTTGCTCAAGCACAGCTTTCAGCCCAGTCTGTCGGTTAATGCCTCAGGCGATAGCAGGAGTTTTACATTTGACTCATAAAACCTTTTTATTTTATTTTTTCTCTCAAAGGCACACGGTGTTCTTTCTGTGCAGTAAATGCAAACTCATGCAAACTCTTGTGGGAAAGTCAGTTTATTAAGCTCTCTGAGGCCTTAAGTTAGACCTAGAAGTCATAAGGGGCTCCTTTGCTCTTCATGGTATAATAAGTCAACCGAACTGTTCAGAGTAGAGTTGGTATTTCTGTAGGCTTTTTATAAAGAGCTTGAGGTTGTGAATTGTGGCTTATAAAGAAAAGTATTGTTAGTCTTTACTTCTTACTCTGCAAGCTCCATTGCTTTTAGTTCTCTTCTAATAAAAATACGCCTACTGTGGCTAGGCAATTAATTACATTTGCAGTATAATCACAATTTAGAAAAGTCCTACAATAATGGAAAAACAACGAAACCTTGGAGTAAAACATCTACATACATTAACTTGGTGCAAAGAAGAATCGCAATAAACAGGTTTGAAAGTCTTAAAAGGCATTACATTCAGGAATCTAAATAATAGGCCTTTTATTGGCATTAAATGTCTTAAATACATCTTTCAAAGGTCTGAACTTATTTTAACAGATAACATTTAGGTGAAAGTGTCCCTAAATCTTTGTAAATGAAATGCTCCCCAAAATACCACACACTGACACGACAAATGGTTTTCAGTAGGCCTGGGCAATAGACTATCGTCATTCATAACCGGCGACAATTTTCCCATGTCGATAAAATAAATGAACTTTATTCTGCCTTTTTTCCTGTGTGTGCTGGTGGCTGGCATTTCCTTTCTCTTTAGGACACTGCTGCATGTGTATAATTCTGTGACTCCCCCGATCCAGTCAGAAGCAAACACATAGAGAATTGTGGATGAGCCCAGTGAAGAAGCATCTAACACATCTCTAAACAAAATCACATCAGTTAATCATGTGGAGCCGAGCGAGAGCAGAGATGAAGCTGAGCATGCAGAGAAGAGATCAAGAGCGCGTTTTCAGCGTGGAGCAAGGCAGACTGGTTTTGAGTGAAGGTGTGCGACTTTAAACGATGCACATTGTTCTCAATGCACGCTCAGTTCAGTGGCACAAACAATTACGCCATAGATGTTGAGCAAAAGAATAAAGAATGCAAAATACAGGTGCTGGTCATAAAATTAGAATATCATGAAAAAGTAGATTGATTTCAGTAATTCCATTTAAAAAGTGAAACTTGTATATTATATTCATACATTACATACAAACTCATATATTTCAGATGTTTATTTTGTTTAATTTTGATGATTACAAATGACAACAAATGAAAATCTCAAATTCATCATATCAGAAAATTAGAATATTACTGAAGACCAATAAAAACAAAGGATTTATAGAAATGTTGGCCAACTGAAAAGTATGAACATGAAAAGTATGAGCATGTACAGCACTCAGTATTTAGTTGGGCCTCCTTTGGCCTGTATTACTGCAGCAATGCGGCGTGGCATGGAGTCGATCAGTCTGTGGCACTGCTCAGGTGTTATGATAGCCCAGGTTGCTCTAATAGTGGCTTTTAGCTCTTCTGAATTGTTGGGTCTGGTGTATTGCATCTTCTTCTTCACAATACCCCATAGATTTTCTATGGGGTTAAGGTCAGGAGAGTTTGCTGGCCAATTAAGAACAGGGATACCATGGTCCTTCAACCAGGTACTGGTAGCTTTGGCACTGTGTGCAGGTGCCAAGTCCTGTTGGAAAATGAAATCTGCATCTCCAAAAAGTTGGTCAGCTGCAGGAAGCATGAAGTGCTCTAAAACTTCCTGGTATGTGGCTGCGTTGACCCTGGACCTCAGAAAACACAATGGACCAACACCAGCAGATGACATGGCACCCCAAACCATCACTGACTGTGGAAACTTTACACTGGACTTCAAGCAACGTGGATGAAGTGCCTCTCTTCTTTTCCTCCAGACTCTGGGACCTTGATTTCCAAAGGAAATGCAAAATTTACTTTCATCAGAGAACATGACTTTGGACCACTCACCAGCAGTCCAGTCCTGTTTCTCTTTAGCCCAGGCAAGACGCTTCTGACGCTGTCTGTGGTTCAAGAGTGGCTTGACACAAGGAATGCGACAGCAGAAACCCATGTCTTTCATACGTCTGTGTGTGGTGGTTCTTGAAGCACTCACTCCAGCTGCAGTCCACTCTTTGTGAATCTCCCCCACATTTTTGAATGGGTTTTGTTTCACAATCCTCTCCAGGGTGCGGTTATCTCTCTTGCTTGTACACTTTTTTCGACCACATCTTTTCCTTCCCTTCGCCTCTCTATTAATGTGCTTGGACACTGAGCTCTGTGAACAGCCAGCCTCTTTAGCGATGACCTTTTGTGTCTTGCCCTCCTTGTGCAAGGTGTCGATGGTCGTCTTTTGGACAACTGTCAAGTCAGCAGTCTTCCCCATGATTGTGTAGCCTATAGAACTAGACTGAAAGACCATTTAAAGGCTTTTGCAGGTGGTTTGAGTTAATTAGCTGATTAGAGTGTGGCACCAGGGGCCATCAATTTTGAACCTTTTCACAATATTCTAATTTTCTGATATGATTTTGAGATTTTCATTTGTTGTCATTTGTAATCATCAAAATTAAACAAAATAAACATCTGAAATATATGAGTTTGTATGTAATGTATGAATATAATATACAAGTTTCACTTTTTAAATGGAATTACTGAAATCAATCTACTTTTTCATGATATTCTAATTTTATGACCAGCACCTGTATGGCTGAAAACTGTCGGGACTACCCAAAGTAACACATCAGACCTCCACCACATACAGCACAGCCACGCTGTTTAGTTCAAACATGCAAAAGGCTCCATTACCTTTGAGAACATTTGTTTGCATGAAAACATTTTTCTCCTGTTCAGTGAGACATTGTTCAATGTTTAAGCCTGAATGGGTAGAAGACTTTTATATTTAATTTAAAGTAATATGTAATGTGATTTATTGAGTAAGTAAATTATAAATAGATCAGTTGAATTTTTTTACACATGCCTTTATTTCTAATAGAGGAGCCAGATCATTTATTGTGCATTTATCATTATCGAGGTAAAACTGCCCAATGTATCAGGATATTTATTGGAGGTCATATCTCCCAGCCCTATGCTGTCGTTCTGATGCTTCATTGATTGTTTTTAAGCACATTAGCGTGTGTTTTTAGTTTTTGCAGTGTGACTGGGATGAAAAGAAACAAGAAAGCTTCTGTTTTCTGGGTAAAATGCAATTCTCTTTTCTCTCTTTATAGGGACAGCTTTATAAAGGATTCACCGACTGCTTCTCCAAGACTCTGAAAAAGGAGGGATTGACTGGACTCTACAAAGGGTTGGGAGCCTCTTATTTCCGTCTGGGCCCACACACCATCCTGTCTCTGTTCTTCTGGGATGAACTACGCAAACTCTACCAAAAGCTCAGATAACACCAAGAAACCAAAAAAAAATAATATAGTAACTCATTAAGCTCTGAGTGCAGAGGTTAAACGAGTCCTCTTTCAAAGAGGTGGAAGAAAAAGTAGATGCTGTTGTTTTTTTTTCCAAGTAAGGAGCAAAAGTTACTTTTCACACTCCGCTGGGAAAACAGTTTCAACTTGAATTATGCAGGAAATGAGGTCAGAAATGTCTAAAAGTCTCTCAGAGGCTCAGTCATTAACCACTAGCATTTGCTTCCTACTGTAGCACGATGCATCAGGTGCTGTAAACATGTAACCATTCCGAAGCATCGAAACTGCATTTGATCTGTGTAGAGAAAACAGCGAAGTGACTCTCATACAGTCCGATCAGATCGGCCACAGATGAAAAGGCTCCGTCGGACCTTCTAAAGCTTTAATTACTGAGGGGTCGATCGTCACATCAGTGCACATGGCGCTTGTTTAACCGGAATGCATACAAGTTTTTAAAAAGTGAAGATCTGAATCTTCCTGAAGAATTTAGGATGAGGCAAGAATAAGATGGAATTGTCCTTTTAAAGTCAAATGAAAAAGAAACTCCTCTATAAACTCAAATCTGTAGAAACGTTGTCAGCAGCAAAAAAAAAAAGGGGAATCTTAGTACTGCTGTGGCACCTCCCCGTGGGAAGTAAAACTTTAAAACAGGAACTGAGATTAAAAGATTTTTACAAACTCATCCTTTTTTTCTCAAGTGTTGTCTTTGTAAAAGAAACATTATATTAATGAAAAGAAAAAGAAAGTATTATGTCCTCTGAGCCGTCCTCCTTCGTCCAGTTCTGGCCAAGTCGAACCTGATAAACTCTTCTCTCATCAGAAGCTTATTTATTAAATTTGGGGTTTTTTTTGCCCTCCCCTCCGAAAAAAAGTAAATAATAAAATAAAAAAAAAAAACTAATGGAGAGGTGTACATTTAATACTATGATTGGTTCAGTAAGGTTTTAAAACTCTTCAGAACATAAAAAAGGTGTTTAACTGATTGAAGGAACATTAAAAAAGATATGACATAAGTTATTTCAAGGTTTGGAATTTTCTTAATTCCTAACAGCAAGTAATGCGCTGCAACAGCGTGCAAGGTAAGAGAGGTATTGGCTGCCCCCTGCTGGTCGATCTTAGAGTTCTCTGTAAATGTGCTTTTAGTTTTCCCGCCTGAATTACAGCATTAACCCCACCCAGCTGCTAACCGAGCTGCAAATACACAACAGTTACAACCAATGATAGTTTTTACAGTGTCCTAGAATGGATTGCAAGGCTGTAAAATTCGAATTAACCTAACTTTTGCTTTGGGCTGGAGCAAGTAAAGCAGTAAATATTTAGCCTGGGGGAGTGACAGCCTAGTTGTTAGCGCATAGAGCTTGGAATCCTGAAGTTCAGAGTTCAAGCCCCACTCCCACAGACTGCCATTCTGGCTCTCTGAGGAAGACTCTTAATCCCTGGGCGCCCTACAATGGCAGCCTACTTCTCCCCAAGAGGATGGGTTAAATGCAGAGGTAAATGTCTCCAATGTGAGATCAATAAAGTTCTATTATTGTATTATTTAGAAATCACATCGCTCCAATAGGAAAGTGAGGGATCCAGCATCCAGATTTTTAAAGCAGTTTACTTAAGACAACTATATTTTCCCATAAACTTTTATGCCTAATAAGGCATTTACAAATAGATTTATACATGAGTCTATTATCAATATCTCACATTAGATTAATTACTGTACTGCATTTATTAACATAGGTGACCTAAGGTTTGGACATTATGTTTAAAAAATATAAGCAACAAATACTCAAAAATTTAAAACTAGTTTAGCCAGTTTTTCTGGAAGTGTGTTTTTTTTTCCTTCCTGATTTGAGCCGACAAGAATCGCAGGTTGTCAATAGATTAAGATTATTTATATTTATAATAATTATCTTATTTTAAAGAAATAAATGCTCATTGCATTGGCAGATCATCCCATTTGCCTGCTCAGATCAGGGGCAAATACACTTATTTTAAGAAATCTTTCCTGATTTTTAGATCCACTTTTGCAGTGAACAGCTTCTCTACGCTCAGTGTAACCACAGATTGTAGAATATAACTCCTGAAAGTATTTAGATGCCCAAAAGCAATAAGTATTTCCCATTAGATTACGACAATAAGTTGTAATATTAAACCTACAAGATTAAAGAAATGAAATTACTATAATAAAGTTGTAATATTACAAAAAATAAAGTCATAACAAGAATGATGCCATATTACCGCATTAAAGAAGTAGCCTAGTTTAATGTTCACTCAGCTCTGCAGTTTGGTTGATGTTTGGAAGAAAATTAGGAAAAAACAGACAAATACACCACCGTATTTAATAACCTCATAAAGGTTGATTAACTTTTTAAAGCCGAGGTATTTTACTCTGCCCAAAAATTATGAAATGTTTTAGTTGACCAAGTCTATGCCTGATATAAGAGTGGAATTTCATGTCTCCGAGCCACATGGCATCAACATATACTGTATATTACAGCAGTGATGGTTAAAGGCCAGGTTATCTGAAGACGAGTTTCTGAGATACAATTAATTTAGTTTATGAACAAAGTACAGCCTTAAAGAAAGACCAACAGCTGAAGCATTTCAGGTCTGAAGGTTCATATGAAAAATCTATCCTGAAAATTTTTTTTTTTAAAGGTCAGATGATCCAGTTATCTGTTATTTATAAAATAATCTCAGGTAACTTTTTAGCAAATATTCAAAAATCAGAGCCTCAGCATTAGGCCATTCAGGCTTAAACCTCTTCAGGTCTATTTGATTAAAAGCTTTCGCACTTTAATGGACAGATTTTGACGTCACCCAGCTAATCAGTTGCATTATTTTTTTTTTGCTTGCCTTTATATCATTGCAGGAACGGTGTTAAACTTCTTAGGGAAGTCTTGCGTTTTCTTGCATAATGCTGCAGGGGGACAAAGAAGAGTAATAATGGTGTAACAGGCGTCTCCGTAAGTTTGCCTCCTAAAAGGAGACTTTTGACTTACATGGCAACCCAGATTGATAATATAGTGCTCAGATTTGGTTCAACACGTGATCAGTTTGGATTTAATCTATAAACAACAAACAAAAAAAAAGGGGGGGGGACGTAACTGGTTGTTAAAAGTATTTTAATGCACCTTAATACCAACAAGCGTTACGTATTAGTTAACCATCAGCCTGAGCCTGAACCTTTATATCAAGTTCAGTCATGAAGTCATAAAGCGATTTGGAGAACAGATACGTTCTAGTTTATTATTCAGTCTTTGGTTGATATCTTTCATAGCCAGTGTTTGCATTGTTCTGAATTTTAATGCAACTTTATATATATGATATATATAATATTCTTAAAGTTTGCTTCTTCTTCAAAACTAAAACTTGATGACATTAAAATGATCCAACTAAGAACCTCACAATGACTAAATACTTCACAAGTTAAACTTTAGTTTCTCTTAAAAATTATATCTATTGATGCAATGATTCTTATTCTTGAATCTTGTGCCTTAAGAATTTATCCAGGATATAAACTGATACTATTTCCTTCATAGTGACATTTGGTTTTCAGCACTGAAATGTATCAACCTTTTAAAAGGAAAAGTCCCGTCAGAAAGGAATAATCAATGGATCATCATTTATAACTAAAACTAATAAGTTCACAGTGATTTATGGAAATTGGCATTAATTAGTAAAAAAATAAAATAAATTAATAATAATTTTAGTTGGTATCACTGAGTCTGGGACCAGCCATTTTTGGACAAATATATTAACGCCTCACTCCTGGCAGTGATGTCACGGTGCTGAGCGCCATTCTCCCCGCCTTATAAACAAAATCAATGGGAACAACCAGACACATCTGCAATCAACAACAATTATTTAAGATTTCAAGAAGACTTCACCATTGAAATACGTGAGAGCTATAGTTAAACTGACAATGCCCACGTGCATGGCAGTTGGAGGTTGCAATACATCGGGTAAAAGTGAAAAAGAAATGAGTTATTTCACCTTTCCGATTCATGATCCTCCAAGTAAGGATTTGTCTTTGGATTGCCAACTTGAAGAGGGAAGATTTGCCATCGAACTTCTGGCCAGAGAGAAAACACGTAATATGTAGCCAACATTTGGAAGAATGTTTTCAAGATGACTTGGATAATAGCTTGTTGTGACAAACACCAGATAAAGCACTGGGACTTGATCAACAGCCGATACTGCACCGTGACGTCACAAACCCATAGGTGGCCGTAGTGTTCTTTGACGAACATGGATGTCTTCAGTAAAGCACATTTAATTGAAAATTACTCTTTTATTGAACAGTATGTAACAATTTCATATTTAAAGCACTTTCAGAAGATTGAATTCTGAATATTACCAGACTTTTCCTTTAATAATCATCAGGATACGGTGAAAAACACTGAGTTATTCTCCACAGAAAAGTGGCTGTGGCAACTGGTCTGGTGCTTTCTACCTACATGGGTCAAAAACATGATGAGCTGAGTTTAAAAGCACTTTGTGATCTCCGTAATGTGCAAAAGCAGGAGAAAAAATTTGATTATGTGCCATTTCCCCCTACTTTTAAAAAGCAGCTTTTTTTTTAAACAAAGATTTAATAAAGCTATGAATTTTCTCCCCATGAAGCCTTTTTTTATGTATGCTATGTATGTTATAGTATTTGTTTGGGTTTCAAAGACTTTGTAATAAAGTAATCATTTTTGTACAAAATTGATCAGCATTATTTCATTTTGTCTGTGTTACATGAAAAAGGTATTAGAATGTGCCTTCAATCCATAGTGTTTTATTAATACCTTAATATTTACAGTAACTTGATTATAGGGCTAAACTTAAATAAAAAAACACACAATCCTTTCCATTGTTCCTATTGGCTGTAGCGCCTTAATAGAAATGTGTAATAAGCTTTAAAGTATATTTATTTTCACTGACAGCAACCTAATCTCCCAGAGGATGAGAATAATGGCCCCAAGAATCGCTTCAGGGAATAAGATGCTGTAAATTTGGTCATATGATTTATGAGCAGGAGGAGAAAAGTAATTGGTTAAAAACAAACTTAGAAATAAAAAGAAATGTAAATTTTTAAAAACAATATCACAAGTGGTGTTTTTCTTTATTTATACATGCTTTACATTTTAATGTCTTGTGTTATAAATAAAAAGGATTCTGTTTGCTGTTTAATGATGGCAAAATATAAGGCAGTTCATTATCCCATCAATAATGAAAAAGAAATAATTTGATTTATAAAGCAGATTTAGGTAAACAATAAAGCTCAAAGAAAAAAATCAAGTTTCTTTTAAAATATTCAAAAAAATTGAGGAAGCAGGAAAAATTCTGTTAAATTGGATATGTATTTATGTCCTGATAAAGAGACCAGATTATTTTATCTCCTTCTCCAAAGAAGCAAAGAAAATAGAAGCTGTCATTAAGGTAAGGCAGATTTGTGTTGGATAGGGTTGTACTAAAATATTCAAATAATACAGATAACTAGAAAAATATTTGATAGTCAATACTTTTTTTTTATTCCACTGGGATAAAAAATGCCACTAAAACCAATAAACTAGTTAAATTAACTTGCCAGGAAACCGTTTCCTGTTAAGTAATTTACTTATAATTTTCTTTATGACCCTCGGTTATTACAGGAGGTGTGAGAATAGTGCATGCACACGTATTAACCCTTAGTGTGGAATATTTTCTTTCCTTTGAAATAATGTTAAAAAAAAGGTTGAAGCCTTCTCAGCGTTTCATGACTGGCAGGATGTTCTCCATTAGTTTATTTTGACCATGATGAGAAAATGAAGGATCTTGTATTGATTCTTGTTTTGTTTATCATTTTACATTTTTTCTCTTAATTACAAATCTGTTTTTTTTTTTTGGATTATTATTCTTTTGAAAATGTGTTATTTTAACGACTTATTTCAGAAAATAGATCATATTGCAGATGAAGTTAATTCAAAGTATGTAATATAGTTTTATATGTTATTACCTAAATACAATTCAAATTTATAAAATACAAAAAAAGATAAATTAGGCTAAACTTGTAATAATTTCCGACAGAAAAGTCTAAGAAAGCTCCCTTTTGACAGAGTGGTATATTCAAGCATGCTCATGGAAAATTGAGTGGAAGGAAAAAGTCAGTAAAAAAATCTCATTAATATTGATGGCCCCAAACTTCACAGTGCGCATATCCAAGACAATGCGCTGCATTCTCGAGCCGGTGATGATGGTGAGATGTCAGGTGTATCTTATTTCAGCTAATGAGCAAAAGGTAGGTTATCTTCTTTTCTCATTTAAACATTAAGGACCAAATAAAAAGGTGTAAAGTCACAAACACTATGGGGAACCCCATCACTGTGTTTCATTAAGTTCAAAGAAAGTACTACCATCTAGACGACTACTTGCTCGCCTAATGGAGATACTGGTTGAAATTTACAGCAACCCTTGAACCGCTGTCTCAGAAGACACTGCTACCATAAATGTCAAGGTGAATTCATTAGAAAACTATAAAGTGAAATAACATTCAGACGACACTAAAGGAACATTTTCAAATTAAATAAGATTTGAATTGCTTCAAATTTCACAACAAAGATCAGAATCCACTGGTAAGATGGCACCAAAACGTATAACAACCCAAACGAAGTGGGAAAGAAGATGCTGAGGAGGGACAGAAAGTGATGCAGGCAGCAAATGAGCAGGAGAATAACAACAAAAAGCATCAAGGAGGTGTTCGAGTGAGAGTGGAAGACGGGGACATGACCACAGAAAGGATTTTGATTATCCGTAAAGCAAATATAATTATGTATTAAAAATGTAACACTTAATGGTGCATTTATTAATTTCCCAATAAATGAAAATATATAAACAATTATGACTTTTAAGATGAAATTATCCTTTTTTATCTTCAAACTATGAATCTGGTAGGGCTTTTTTTTATTGCTTCATACTTTTGAGTTTTACGGGTTGTTTTTTTTTTTTTTTACAGGCTTGTGTTGTAGAAAACTTCTTGTAAAAGGCAGAAAAAGTAAATACTGAACCACTGTTTCAGCGTTAGGCTCTCAACCTGCTGACATATTTCCTCTGGGAGAGACTGATTTTCTTCCAACACCAGATCAACGGCTTTAGGGTGTTGTGCCATATGCCATGATCATACTTTTTGGACATTGGGAAGCAGTGTCCATATTTCATCCTGATAGGATGACCAGAGGAAAGAACACAGCTTTGGTGGATAACAGCTGGGGGACTTCTGCAGCCCCCCCCTTTTCAGCCAAAGTCACAGGCAAGTCACATGGGAGCCACCAGAGGTGTGAAAACCTACCCCTCTCCCCGTGAAGCCAGAGAAAACCACAGAGCATGCAGGATTCTGTCTCTTTCTCTCTTTTGCTCCCTTCTGCTCCTGCGTTCAAAGCTGGGGCCCACTGTGGCCCACAGTGGAGATGCGGGCCCCAGGGGAACCAGATCCCCAGAACCATCAAGGATGAGTCAGAACTCTTCAGAACCTAACTGCTGCAAACAGAACTTTTGCAACACATTTCTCTTGAGTTTCAGAACTTACAGAGCCAAACTGGACGAGGAGCATGCCCTGGTGTGAGACTCAGAGGACCCCTTCTGTGAGGCTGAGACAATGAGTCCCTGACTGCAGAGCTGCAAAACTGGATGAAACACAAGCTTTCCAAATGGACATGGAAAAAGGTTTGCAGGTCTGGCATGATTAGGGACAGAACAAGCAATGTGTCTTTTGATGATGCTAATCATATCGTGTGTTTACTGCGGAGTAAAGACAACGCTAATTGATGCTAAAGAATGGACTGCATGCTACGCTATGCTACAGGAATATGTGTTGAGCTGTTGCTAAAACTTAGACAAGCTTTATTCACTAAGGATTTAAACACTGAAATAACATTAGTGTTTATGTGTTCCTCAAATGCTCATTACATTTCCATTACCAAGTATGACCAAGAGTCATTTAGTGGAATCCTGATGTCTATTCGCTGCTAGTTATTTCAAAGAGGGTAAAGAATCATTTAGCTAAAGGTTATTGGTTCTTGATTAAGCAAATCATTCAATAAAACATTATTTGGCCAAATAATGTTTTATTCACCTCATGGATTTGCATTGTGAATTGGTCTGAAAACATTCCAATGTCCTTAAAATTAGTGAAAAGCTAATTTGATCATATCCCAAATTCTTCCAGATAAACTTTGGTTTCAAACACAGAATCCATCTTAAACTGTAATATGTTTTTCAACCGCTTTCCCCTTCCTCTTTGTACATAGTAGTTAGTTTAGTTTAGTTGAGTTTTACTAGTCTTAGTTGAGAGTTTTAAACTGAAATACGTTTGATGTGGAGCTGAATGATTTTTGTTAATAAAATCTATGTTTTGAACAGAAGTTGTGGTGAATTTATTCCATGTATGTGCAGAAATAACTGTTTGACCATGATTAGTGCTCGAATCACTCTTTCATCTATTCTTCTAACACACAGTTAGTAGGACTGTGTGTCATAAACAGTATATAACAGCTGAAATAATATCTGATTAAATAAGATATTTTACCACCCCTACAGGGGAGGGCAATACACATCTTAAAGTATCATAAACATAAATTCCCAGCGGGCTGGGAATAGAATTTAACTATAGAATCACAACAAGGGTGTGGAGCCGACGCATTGTCGAGTTTCATGAACACATCCAATGGGACAGGAGAGTCATCTTCTCCCTCATCCACTGACTTGTCTGTCTTAGCCTTCTTTCATAAATCCCCTATCCTAAAAATGCAAGGGAGAAGTTATCCCCTTTTTTAAAAAGCCATTGGTCTCTCCCTGATGCGGGCTCTTAGATATATACATGTTGGAAAAAAGATGACAATCCCGGGTGTGAGAAGTTACTACAAAGTTCTCCATGCGAAAAGCAACCTCTGGCACCTAAAGTCCTTATCAGGAGGTAATGTGAAGAAACTAAGTACTTTTTGTACCTACTTGATCCCCACAAAGGCACACAGCAATGTACAAGAATGTTGTTGATACTTAAATGTTTTTACCTTATTGTTAGTCTTGGAAGAGAGCAATTGGAAGCATCCAGCTGTTGTGCTAACTCTGCAACATAACTACCCAATAAACTTTGTCTTCCTAAAAGGAGATAAATATAAATGTTTGAGATGTGTTCAAGGAAAGAGGGACTCATCCTGGAATCTTATTTTACTTCTACTACATTGTCACAAGGTCCTTCCCCTTTGCTTCCATCGGGACACTAGGATCAATAGAAGAACACTGGATTTACCACCTCAGTGTTTATATGTTCAGAGTCTGTTTAGTGTCAGGATGTTTAAAAGATATATCTGCTTTGTTATTGATTCAACTTAAACAGATTTTTAGCTCTTAAATGGGTAATCATCAATAAAGAGGGAAAAAAGTTCTTTAGTTTCAAAAAGAAAAAAAAACAACAACATAGTTTACTTACAGGAAGCATCATTCTGACAACGAACATAAAAAAACAGAGATATGTTAGTTTTAAATATACGTATTTTAGTTTCTTTCACAAATCCCAAGTCAGAAAAGCAAATTCAAAATAGATTTCAATTACATTAAAGTTGAACATTGGGCTGCACAGTGATGCAGTGGGTAGCACTGCTGCCTTGCAGCAAGAAGGTTCTGAGTTCGATTCCTGGCCCGGGGTCTTTCTGCATGGAGTTTGCATATTCTCCCTGTGCATGTGTGGGTTCTCTATGGGTACTCTGGCTTCCTCCCCCAGTCCAAAAATATGACTGTTAGGTTAATTGGCTTCTCTAAATTCTCCTTTGCTGTGAATGTGTGTTTGAATGGTTGTTTGTCTCTTTGTTGGAATATGAGATAATGTTGCTCTTATTGACACCATAGAAGGTGCTGCAAGGCTATTTATTCTGTTGGCAACTGTAACTTATCTACAGAGGTACTGAGGTCGGTTTCACAAAGCAGGCTTACTGAAAAGTTTTCTTAACCTAAATTCAGGGTAAGTTTTTCGTTTTCTGTTTCACAAAGACATTTTTTCTCAACCTCTCTTTTTGTTACCATATCTGAGAAAAAAAATTTAATATTCTGAGAAAAAATTCAGAATTCTGAGATTAAAGTCAGTATTCTGAGATTAAAGTCAGAATTCTGAGATTAAAGTCAGTCTTCTGAGATTAAAGTCAGAATTCTGGGAGAAAAGTCAGAATTCTGAGATTAAAGTCAGTGTTCTGAGATTAAAGTCAGAATTCTGAGATTAAAGTCAGAATTCTGAGAAAAAAGTCAGAATTCTGAGATTTAATTCAGAATTCTGAGATTAGAGTCAGAAATCTGAGAAAAAAGTCAGAATTCTGGGAGAAAAGTCAGAATTCTGACTTTAATCTCAGAATCACATCGAACAACCTCTCCCAAAAAAATCTCTTATCATGTTAACTGAGTTGTTTTTAATCACTGCATTAAATCTGTGTGACTGAAACATGTGGAATTCTTTCGAAGCAGGTTTTAAGACATAGTTGTTTTTAAGAAGATAGGCTGCAAATAAAGTAGATACAAGTATAAAGTAGGTAATTAGAAAGTGAAACTCGTGGTTTTAGACGTGGCTGAAGCAGCTGTAATCAGCATATTATCAGCTATCTATTAGAAGGTAGAGAAGGCGCAATCTTAAGATATTCTATGGGACTGATAACCTGTAATAACAGCCATTTAATGGTTGATCACATCTGAACAGATGACTGTGTAAGTGATACAGAAGCTAAGTAATTAGGTAATTAACCCAGGACATGATACAGAGGTTCTACCTGTTTGAACATTTTTCCTTCACCCGCTGACAGGTGCACCTCTCCCGGGTGGGATTGCTTTGAAATATACTACATTGATACATTACCATTCACCACTTATCAAAGTGTTACTCGTCATAATTTGTATTATTTTAATGAAGAAGATATGGATTTTAGATATAAATACATATTCAGTCATGCTGATTAATGTACAAAACCACTTAAAATGTGTAAACATTTCTAAGTACATTGAACTTAATTCTTACTAGTATAATTAGTTTTACATTCTGAAATTCAGTTTCTGCTGCAAAATGCAATTTAGAAAATCTATTATTACAGTTCAGTCTATGAATGTGATTTTGAACAGTAATAATCTTATTTTAGTGATCTATAAGTGGAACAAAATAGAGGAAAGTACTTTTAATAAATGTTAAAAAAAACTGTCATAGTAGACTATATAAAGCTGTGGATTAACTTGTACAGCAATCTTCTACATCATCTCCCTCTCCTTTGCAGCTCTAGCACTGTTGCTCTGTCTTTTAAACACATTCTCTTTTTTCCATTTCTGCATTCAAATCTCTATGCAATATGGGCACTTCCTCTTACCTGTTGTCATGGTGACTCATTAAATTGGGGCCACACCTTTAATGACTTGTTATGCACGTGCTCGACTCTGAGTGGACCTACTCAAAGTTGATTAAACTAAATCAAAAAGCTGCTGTGAAACTGAAATCTCAGAGCTTCCAACCTTAGGCTCAATCAATTCACATTTAAGGATTTGAGTCTAAGTTTGTATATGCTTTGTGAAACGGGCCTCTGATATTTAAAACCAGCAGAAAAGCTTTAATTTAGGAAGCAGAGTTTGTTCTAAAGACAGACGCTGGTTCATAATGACTATCAAAACACTGTAAACATCCACATACAGCACAAACATCTGCTCAGGATCACTGCACACAGACACTTGCTGTCCTTTCAGAGCTATTCCATCTTCTTAGAGACAGCAACCCTTGTGCCGTAGAGGACCTGGGCCATTAGGACGATGCTAAGACATGAAGACAATCCCAGAGACACAGTAGTAAAGGATCCTCCGCTTTCCTGCAACAAACATTTTCATAAAAATGGAGTTAAATTGCAGAATATGGCAGAAAAGTGTAAAACATTCACCTGGCTACATGTCTACCCTTTAAATAAGAGCTCCCATCTCAGTTAGACTTTATGTATAAATAAAGAGGATTAGGGTCATTAAAAACAGGCTATTGAATTCTGACTTTACTCTTGTAAAGGTCCATCACTCAGCTAAAGTTGATGCAAAACGCTGCTGCCCATGTCCTCACTAGAACTAAGAAAGTAGAGCACATCAGTCCGGTTCTGAAGTCCTTGAATCCATTTGGCTCAGAGAATAGATCTCATCCAAAGCAGAATCTTTTGGCCCTTATATACTTTTTCTCATAAACTTGCTTTGCCTTCAGAATTCTGATTTTAATATCAGAATACTGATTTGTTTTCCAGAGTTTAGTCATTATTTTGCGAATTCTGACTTTCTTCTCGGAATCCTAACTTTATTCCAGAATTCGGAATTTGGTTCAGAATTAAAAGTCAAATTACATAAGACTCTATCGCCAAAGCCAAGGATTATCACTTCAATAAAGTAGGAATATTCCCAGTAGTCATATTTCTATGATAATAATTCTAAGATTAAAGTCAGAATTCTGATATTAAAGACATAAATCAATATCTTTTATGGCACTAATCCTCTTCCTTATATAAATAAATGTTTGATAAAGATAACAATAATCTTTTTGGCTTTTGCACTGACTGCATACCTGCACAGACACAATAACAGCACCAAGAGAGCCGAGGCATGACAGTAACAATGACAGGATGGACAGCTGACCGGTGTGGCCATTATGGTGGTTTGCTGTAGTTTGAACAACCTGGAAAAAAGCAATAAGCAGCAAAGATGTGTCAACATAGAAGAGTCTAGAAATCTGCAGAAACAATAAACTGATATATTACTACCTTGCTTAAAATGAGAGCTGGAATGGTGGATGTGTGTATGACTTTGCCGACAGCTGCAGCGGCGTACAAGCCAAGGAGGAGCATTACACCTCCATAACCCAGGAGCACCAGCACGCCTGGCAAACAAATAGATGCATGTGAAAATGTGTAAAATCTAGAATACCGTTTAAAAAATAAAATCTAAACTGCAAAATCTAATATAAAAAAGATCTTAAAATAAGTGTATTTGACCTTAATTTAAGTTGAATAAAATGATCTGATCATAGAATGGATAATAAGATAATTAGATATTAGGAACCTGAAATAAGATAATGGAGCTTTTGTTTCTTATTTTGAATGAAAATCATCTTATTCCATTGGCAAATTCTCTTACTTCCCCAAAACAGGGGAAATACACTAAGCTCCAAGAAAACTTACTAACTTATATTTCACTCTTTGCAGTGTTGTGAAGCCAAAAGAAACCACAAGGTGGTACTGCAGGGAAGCAAGACAAAAAAAAAGAATAACACCAAACTGTTTGAGTGTTTTTACAAACAGAATGGTTTCAATTTTTATTTTAAAGACTAAATGTAGTTTTATTTTAGTTTAAGCCTGCAGTCAGTGTATAAGATTTAGATATGAACCGAATGCTGCCAAGAATCCTTAACTAACTGCTTATTAGGCCGTTTATTTATTGAAGACGGTGACTTTTTACATCAGATAGCAACATCAGGATTTTTACTCAGCTATTTTTACCATCATAGGCTTTAGAGTTTTGGAGCTGTTGTCTGCATCAATGATCCATATCAAATATTACTACTCTTAATTTAATGTCTTGCTGTCTTGTGGAGCCAAACCAGGCTCGAAGCTAAATCGTCCATTTTAAAAACCACCACTGCATGAGAAGCGCTTGATCATGCTGCATGTTGTTTTGCAACATCCGGTGTAAATGAAGAGAGATGGATTACTCATTAAATCATGATTCACAGCTGTCCTACTGATGCCTTTATTTTATTTTTTTTGGGATTTAGCATAAACACTGATTAAGGTCTGACCTTTAAGTGATTGACCCCGATAATGCAGGATGAGGAAGATGATGGTTGCTGACTGAGCCAACGTGAAGAGCCTCTCAGCCCAGGCACTGTACAGAAACAGAAAACAGATGTACTGTATGGTAAACACAGAGGGGCTACTGACTCTGAAATGTTTGGACATTAATGAAGCCGCGTCTTTGAACTATGAGGAAGTCCTAATGGGGGAGTCAGGAGTTGATAAGCTGTATGTTCAGGGAACTTTGCAAACAGCTCCCTCTCTCACTGTGGTCTTTATACATAAATCAAACATTCATGAATCAAATATCTTAGTGTTTTTCCAGGAGGAAGGGGGGAACAATCGTCCAAAAGTAAAGGAAGAGATGTTCCTAGTATGAAATTAAGTTTACACCAAACTAAGAGGTATGTTGGAGAGAGACGGACAAAGTCAAACCGCAAACCAAATGATAAATTTGACCAAAAAAGAGAATTATAGAATGACAGGAAAAAATCTTCAGAATTATTTATATCTGATCCCAAATTCTACATGAAAAACAGGGAATCAAAAAGCTAAACCAAAAGCTAAACCGAAACTGTAAAAAGATGAGCAGCTTGGTGGCTTTATGGATTTCTACATCAATGGCTTTACCATTAAATTACGTTTTGATTTTGCATTTACACTTTATCTTTACTCTATTTTTTAGTCAAATTAAGCTGTTGTATTTTTACCGTCACAATACCACATGACTGAAGGTGCAGTGGATGTGGGCCATACTGTAAGTAAACAAGGAAGTCTATTTCTTAAACGAAGGTGTGAAAAGAAGGAGAAGTCCAAGATCAAGAGTGAAAAAGCACAAAGAATACTGAACATTTATTGGAGGGATAAGAGACTATTAGCGCTCAGAATATAACCAAAAAGATTGTGTTTACAGAAGTTTAATCCGCTGATGGATGTATGCGTAAGTACTGCTAGTAGGTGGGGACAGCGTACAATGATGTCTGCTGACTGTAACAAAGGCAAACATTATTTTCAGGCTCACAAAGGACAAAGTAAACGCTATCAGGATGAAATTTGGCCTAAATTGATTTAGTCAAATATTAACATCAGTATTTTGTGGTGACTATAAGGTACATTACAGAAATATAAGGAAAAACTGAAATGCCCATTAAGGACTGTTAACCGATTGTGGATATCCATCACTGAGCTAAGAGCTAAAAACAATACATGGAAATGTGAAAAAAACTAAAAATAAAAATCTGATTCTATTTTGTATGCTCCAAAAATTTAACTGTATGGTCTTCAGCTCAAACATCTTTTTGTTTGAGATTTTTTATAGTCGTTCTGTATTTAAAAAAATGTCTTTTTAAACCGTAATGATTGCATCAAGCCGCTACCTCTGCAGGAAACCTTCCAGATGAACAAGGATGTGACAACAGCAAACAGTGGAAATAAACAAACTTTTGTAATAAACCACCATATTTATTGATTTGTGAACTATTTTTTTTGTCATTATTATTTACGCTGATCATTCTTCACCTCAACAGACAAAAGGTGATGCTCTGATATTTCTGATTGAGAACCATGGCGTCAGGTTAGATTTAAAGATGCCAACAGAAGCACTTCTGGATAATCTGATAGGATATCATAGACCTGGGTTTCTGGGTCCTCAGGGCCCTACATGTTTTAAGGGTTTCCCCTGCCTCCACACACCTGAGCTGAATGATAAAGTAATCAACAGGCTTATGCAACATTTGATGGCTGCTGAGGAGGTAATGCAATCATTTGAATCAGGGGTGCTTGAATAGAGACACATCTAAAATATGAAGGACAGTGGGTTAAGAAACTATGTTACCAGGCTACACCTTATACATCCAGTCCAAAAGGATCCTAAATTGCTTTTTTTGACAGAGAATTATTCAGTGTTTCCAGAAAAGTCAAACAGAAGAAATGAACAACACGTAGAAGTTTTATTAATTACTTACAAAAACGGGAAGTTGCTGGCTGTGGCGTAAATGACCGGACATGATAAAGCATAGAGCTGCAGCAGGAAGGAGGTCAGGCTGAGGCCCTCTGCGCTTCCACTCCATGCAATCTTCAGCAGCTGAGGGAGCAGCGCTGCTCATCAAAGGTGATAGATTTGAAAACAGAATTTGGAGGGAAAGGCGTTAACAGGATTAGGCATCATCTGTGATAAAAATCTATTAAAGTTTCATGGTTGTCTTGTTTGCACCTTGCTGAGTTCGTCACAGAACATGATTACATTAAAAAATGTGAGTTAGTTCCATTAACCCTACCGCTTCTGCATACAGAGAACATGACATTGATGTGGATTCCGAGAAACTGATGTCTGTGTTATCAAGATTAAGACATAATCACTCAAAGTTTTTTTATTTGAGTCCTTTAATTAAATCATGACCTCTGATCAAAATGTGAAAGAGCAAAAAGCTTTAGTCAGTATTTAGGTTCAGGGTGCTAGTGCTCCTGAAGTGCTTCTTAAAAGTAATAATCCTTTAAAAACCTTTTAACATTTCATCACTTTATTAACTTTTTTAATTCATTCTTTATGCTGCAGATACAACTTAGATTTCTTTTGATCCAAACATGTCTCTGGTTGAATGTTTAGGGTTGTTGTGCTGTAAGATCTCCCAGCTGAGCTGTGAGTCTCTGCAGCTCCTCCAATGATAATATCAGCATCTTGGCAGCTTCTCTGATAAATTATCTCCTTCTCTGACCTAAAAGTTGACTTAATGCTTGCGCCACAAATGAACTGAACCGGTCTGTTTAGGATGCTCAAACTTTATAGACTTTGCTTTTAACCTTCACCTGCTTTAATTTTCTCCACTACGTATCAATGATCTGTCTGCTCAGTTTCTAAGTCTTTATGATTTTATCATGTGTCGTTACTTTTCTTTTATCTGCTTATGCTCATAGAGCATACTGAGAATTAATCTGTATTTTAATTTTATTTTAAATTAGGTCAACTCTGAACATAAAAGCCTCTGGGATTTATTATTGAATTTTAGAATAAAAGCTGAACTTTTCATTTCACGTGTATAAAAATATGAGCCTATATTTTCCAATTTTTATGACAAAACCAAAACTCTATGACAATGCATTGAATCACAATAAAACAATAATAAACAGTCTTACCCAGAAATGTATCCAATATGATCCAAAATCCGACAATTTTGTTTAGCACAAACCTGAGGCAGGGAGCTGGAAAACAATCATAACATAAAAACAGCAATCAAAAAAGACAGATCAAAGCAAATTATATAATTATGAACATTATTTCCCCCATTTATGGATGATTAAAGTCATCATTAGTCCATATTAAAGTCAGCCAAATGTTATTAATCTGCATGCCAGGAAACGTGTGCTGCTTTCTGTTTTGATATTTCCCACAAACAGACCCTCACCGTGAAAACGAACTTGGACAAAAAGCTCATTATAGCATTTTTCTGGCATTAAATGTCCTACGAGGAGGTCTTTGAAGAGAGATGTGTCCATGGTGGATCAGCTGTGGACAGGAATGATCTGCTGCAGCAGGGGGAACCATCCAAACATCCCACATGAGCTCTGACCTGTAGTTCAGCAGATCCTCCCCTTCTTTTTTCTTTTGTTTCTGTTTCCCGTGGATTTTAATGGCAGGGGCTCCCAGAAACTGCAGTTAACCCTTGATTGCTCAACAGACCTTTGCTTGATTAGTGTGTAGTTTGGAACCAGAGTATTTCAGGTGGACTCAACAGACATATTTCTTCCACAGACATGATAAAATGTGTTTAACTGATACAATTGTTTATAGCTTTGGTTTATAAAAGAGGTTTTAAACTTAAATTAACATTCACATTTAGTATGGGGTTAGTCTATGGCTTACAGCATGTTCGACATCTACTCTGAACTGGTACAAGCGAAAACAAGAAATGGTTCATACAGTGTTGAATAATTAGAATGAGCTTTTCCATACATGTGCAAATTCAATTTAAAGTTTAATGGAGTAGAGATAACTTTTGTTCGATCATCTCTAGAAGAGCTAGTTTAGTAAATAGTAAATTATTTAGGGCTACCCAGGGTCCAGTTGATAGCATTGCTGGGTTGTAGAACGTATCCTTCTTATCGCCCATGAAAATGACATAGATGTATTTCTAATTAAACTCTTCTTTAATTTTCTAGGTTGTGGGTCATGCTTTGGGTTTCATCCCATATCCAGTATACACTAATCATGTTGTGTCAAATTATCTCAGGGATGCTTTGGTTCATATTTGATGAAAAAGCTGGTTTACATTTTAAAAAACAATTATTTTTAAATGTGGATTTCAGAATTCTGAAAACCTCTTTGGACACCAGGAAATTATGAATTTTCCAGTGTTCAAATAATGAGAATTTATCTGTTTTAATAACTCATGAATTCAGTATCTGTAACTAAAGATCAACAGATATATGAAAATACTTTTTCAGATATTCCTTAAAGACTGAACCTGGATCCTGGGTTCCACACAATTAAAACCTAACCTATATTTTAAGAACAAACCTTGAGTAAATTAATCATTTTTAATAAATAACTTTGTTTAACACATAAAAACATTATGTGTAGTTAATGATCTATATAATGACATTAAAGGTATAGTTTAGGCTGTAAAAATGTATTTAATCATACCCCGTCTCCTTTCTACTGTCCCTATTAACCCACAATCGTCCAGATTCCTACTTTACTAATGAGTCCAGACAACCCTGAAGTCCATGAAGTAATCCAAGAAATTAATTTATGTTCAGATTCAGGATATAAAGGGAAGACAAAAAATGACCTCAAAATGAACTCACATTAAAAAAAATATAGATTTACCTTTAAAAAAGTACAAATTACTGTTAATCAAAACAGAAATATAAATGTAAACAATAAGATTTTAAAGCCGTTTCTGGTTTATACAAACGCTTCATTTTACAATAAATGATTAAATCACACACACACAAGCCAGTTTCTCTTTCCTCGTGGGGACTTTCAATTGTCTTCCATTCCCAATCCAATCCTATCTTATTTGTTAAGAACTTAAAAAAAAAAAAAAAAAAAAGAACTGACCAAAGTGCTGTACAGAAAAAATAAATAAATAAAACTAAACTTAAAACAGTATGGATTAAAAAACAATGTAAACATTAAAACATGGGTATAAATAACATTCACACAATCAAATCAATAAAATTTAAGTAAAAGATAAAAAGATAAAAAGATTAAAAAGATAAAAAATCAAATAAAGCCCTCTGTCTTGCTTGTTTAAAAGCCAAAGACGAAAGGTGGTTTTTGACAAGAGATTTAAAAACAGTGTCTGATCTGCTTAGACAGGTCATTTCAGAGCTTTGGAGCTGCAGCTGTGAAAGCGCGGGCCCCTCTGAGCTTCCACTTAGTTTAAGGCTCTCTTATGAGCAGCTGACCTGCTGACCTGAGAGAGCCATTAGGTCTATAAGGATGTAGAAGCTCAGATAGGTATAGTGGGGCAAGTCCATTAATGGATTTGAAAACAACTAAAATAACTTTAAAATTCTAAACATAAAATTGCATTCATTTCTAACCCATTTCTACAGCCTAACCGTGACCCTCACTCTAACCTTAGGGTTCATGCATACAAACTGTGTCTCGCATTCGATTAAAGTTAGTAACGGGGTGAGGCAAGGTGGTATTTTGTCCACAGTTCTTTTTAATTTGAATGACCTATCAACCAAGTTGGGAGCTTGAAACACTGGTTTTGTGGCCTGTAGATGAGCTAGTAATATTTACTCCAAGTACTACTGGGTTACAGCAACTACTTAACATCTGTTCTGAGTACGGTCTGGAACATGACATTAATTACAATCCATCTAAAAGTGTGGTCAGGACCTGTTGGAGTAAAATAGATCAAATATTCAGTTTCCAGACTTTCATCTGTCAAATACTGTGCTGAGTGTCACTAAAAAAAAAACAAGTAACTTGGGAACATCATCAAAGAGAATCTGTCAGATGATGATATCTGTAGACAATGTAGAATGTTGTATGCTCAAGCTAATACCCTTGCTCCTAAATTTGGTGGTTTATTACAGTGGAACTTTTTAATGCATATTGTACCTCTCTGTACACAGCTCACCTGTGCTTTACATATAAAAAACAGCCTGCAAAGGCTACAGGTGGCCTATAATGATGCTTTGCGGCTTCTTTTAAATGGCCAAGATGGACTAGTGCGAGTAAGATTTGTCAAAACGAGAGTCAATACCCTACATGCTGTTTTACAAAAGGCAATGTATAGTTTTATAAAAAGGATAAATGCATCTGGCAATTATATTATCTTGACACATACTGACTGTCATGATCGGTTTACGAATCTGACCCACATGCAGAGAGACCACTCAGAGAACAACGGAAAAGTTTAACAAGGTTTATTGAGGGGGTTTAACAGGAGTTGGATCTGGAACTCAGTGAGCTGGTAATCCGGAAGTTAGAGGTGGGCCTTTTTATTCTTTGAATCCAGCCTGTGTGGTAAATCCAGAGAATGGTGCACACGTTGGAGGGTGGACAGGTTGACAAGCGTTGGACCCAGAGGAGTAATGGAGCAGACTGTCACTCGGATTTCCGATGGGTAGTTGAACGGAAAATGTGGAGGTTTTCCCCTGCTCAGCGTAACACGATTTTTCCTTCCAGGGGAGAGAAGGTCCAGGAATCCAGTAACACAGGAAAGCTTCCTGCCGAGGAGCAAAGACAAAAACTCGTTAGACTCAGAGAAACAAAGCTACTGTAGGTTAGACTCAGCTAATCTAAGCTTGGCTAGAGTACCCAAAACTGGCAAACACTCTGGCGCCGAGGTAGTGACAGCCCACTGCTCAAATACTCCTCCAGATAATGGTCCAATGAGCTGCAGGTGTGCAGGGAGCCCAACGAAGACAGGGCAACTCCTGGTGGTGGAGAGAAGGAAACAAACAAACAGGACACACAAACTGGATTCCTAACACTGACACCAAACGTAGTGCAATCAGATACCAGCCTGATCTGTGTAGACACTGGTATTACTGTCTCCTTAAATCTCCCATCTAATTGTAACTTGTACGTGTATTGTACTTTTCTACCTGTATTGTATAATTATATATATATATATATATATATATATATATATATATATATATATATATATAAATGATTTTTGGCTCAATCCTGGGCCACCAAATATGTCTCATAAAACAACTTCAAAATAGGCACACCAAAAAAACAAAAAACAGATTCTAACTGGGCATGAGTGTAATGAATCATTAAACAATTCTGTTTCTACCTCACAGTCATACAACCCATCACCACAAGGAAAAGTACGTTCGGCATTTTTGGTCATGATCTGAGTGTGACTGGTCTGAAAACAGGAACTATTTGGGTTAAAACTTACAGGACCAGAGGTTTTTGCTGCAGTAGGTGAGTTTTCAAGCAGACACCATGTGCACTGGGAAGTGCTCCCTCTTCATTGCGATTACACTCTACCCTCTGGTTCTTCTGTCCATCATCTGCAACATTTTGCTGTTCTTCCCTGGCTGGTCCACCCAGTATGTCAAAGAAGGACACATCACTGATGAGGTGAAGTACATGGGGGGATTCATCGGAGGTGGTGTTCTGGTAAGTAGACTGCCCAAATGGAAAGGTGTTTTAGACTTTGTAAAATATTATTAGTTCAGTACTGAGCTTATTGAATAGAAGAAGTTTTTTTTTGTATATATTAAAACTGTTTTAAGATATTTCTCCGGGATTAGCTTGGGATGGTTGCCATCTTTAATAAAAGCTAAAAAGAGATAAATTATTTAGTAGGAGACAAACTCACATCCGTTTTGTAGAAACATAACTTGTAGACTGCAGAAAGGTTTGAGATGCAACTCACACAAGTTTGGTGACTTGTGAACGACACACGATGCAACCGTTATGAAACTTAACCGCCCCAATGTGTCCAAACACAGGTGCTGATCCCTGCACTGTACATTCACTTGACTGGAGAACAAGGTTGCTGTGCAAATCGCTTTGGGGTGAGTCATTTAGAGCTAATTTCAAGTGAAACAGGAAACCAAACACAACTTTGCTTTTAAATTATGGGAGACATGTAGCAAAGCAAACTAGTCAGTTGATGTTGGGCCAAAGAAATATGCTGTGTTGTGCTGCATCATCATTGCAGAACATCTAGATCTCTTTGATATAGATAACAAAACCACAGTTCACCAGTGACCGTGACATTCTAACATTAGTTTAAAAGAATATTAGAGTTAAACATAAGTAGGCAATTTTTTTGCAAGCATTTATGATACATATATATATAAAAGATACCAAGCTTAAGCTTTTGTGCCTTTGATGAAAATAAGAAATCAGTTCAAACTTCTTATGGTTTAACATGAAAAGGGGAAATAAACTCATGCGTAAATAATGTAAAGAAGTTTTATCTTTAGTGTTTTTTTTACCTCTTCTTCTCATTTAATTGTTGACAGATGTTCTTTTCCATCATATTTGCGGCGGTGGGCGCTGCAGGAGCCGTGTACAGCTTCATCGTGGCAATGCTTGGCTTCTCTAATGGACCTCTCTGCAAAACTGTCAACGGCATTTGGGAAACCCCTCTTAAAGAAGGGTAACAAGTTAAGATGCTTTTGTACAGTAGGTGATGTTCCCAAGAACTGCTCATTTAACTCTTTGCTTTTACTCTCAGCAACCCGGAACATTTGTTAAAACATATGTGGGACAAATGCGAAGAGCCGAAAAACGTGATTCAGTTCAACATGGGTCTGTTCGTCACCCTGATGGTGGCCAGCATTCTGCAAGGGATTCTTTGTGCCAGCCAAGTTATCAACGGCCTCATCGGATGCATCTGTGGAACCTGCAACAAAGAGGTCTGAAAAGCTGGGTAAAGTCAAACATCCTAACTTCACTTCCTCAATCAGCCTAGCTTTCATTGGTTGGTTTTCTTTCATTTACAGGAACCCCAAGTTTAAGGACAGGAGGCTTTCAAGAAGCTGTATTCATGCAGCATCATCATCTGATGTATGTCTGGAAACAAGCTCTTCATTTCCTTTGTAGAAACTGCTCAATTTAATATCAATCTCTCCAACTGTGTGAGCTTTTTCACTTCCATATTATTCTAAAGGCTTTACACTTTTGCAAATGCACATGCAAAAAAAGAACAATGCTTTAAAGAGTTTTAAAATGTGGTCCGTTTTGCTCCTTATCCAAATATATTTGAAGGGTTAATAAAAATTGGCTCCTGGTTTTAAGGATGTGTTTTATATTGCATTTTCTTTTTCTCATGTTTGAATAAGTTTCAATAAAGCTTTAGATGAAATCTTGCATCAAATGCCTGCTCTGTGTTTCGCAGTAATGAATATTAGTTAATTGTACGTTTGCAAAAACTTATGGAACAAACTTAATTCTTTCCTGACAATAAAGTTCAGCGCAGTCAATGCCTTTTAAAGACAAGAATTGTGAGTGTACTGTACATGATTGATTTTTTTTATCCATACAGTTTGATTAATTTCAGTAAGTGCTATAAGTCCTCAATCAGTAAAGCAGGCCCAGGCCATCACACCTCCACCACCATGGTTGATAAGTGTGATGTTCTTTAAAAAAAAAAAAATAATAAAATAAAATAATTAGATCGGAGTCCAAGGAGGTACTGCATGGGGTTTGCAAAAGTTTTGATCAGACTTTTCTTTTTATATTCCCCCCTCCACTTCTTTCATCTAATAGAAAAGTATTTAAATGCACATATAATGGATTCAACACACTGTAGTAAACAGATAAATGGAGGCAGAAGATGTCTTTCAGTCATCAATGCACACATTCAGCGACACACAGGAGCTCTTTCAAGCTGGGCACCGTTTCATTCATAACACCTGTCCCATCAACCGGAATCAGAATCAGAAATACCTTGATAATCCCAGGGAGAATCCCAAGGTGAAAATACTTTCATTATATGAATGCATCTGTAGTAGAGTGACTATAGAACCAGTTTGTTATAACACAATTTCATATAATATATATAATTAAGGGGTCCCCGTTCTATCTCGCCATCAGTTTGGGGGTCCTTAGCAGTGAAATCATTGAAGACCCCTGTATTAGATGATGATTTATGAAAGAGGTTAAAGCACCTAAACCTTTTGAAACATCATACTTTGGTCACAGTGGTCATTAAAAATAGAATCCCCAAAGAACCTTAGAAAAGCATAGTAACCTTCAGAAGGATAAATGCCGACTTTCTTTCTCATCACCTGGAAATCTGATTTTTTTTATATCGAAATGAGAGCGGCTTGGGTTTTTTTGTGTTTGCTTGTTATAAACCCATAAGAGCGTGTTCTCCACAGAGTGCTATTTTTAGCCTTTCTATGGGGATAAATTTGTCTCAATATTATACAAACAAAAACTAATCTTAACTGAAATAATAAATTTTGTCAAAAATTTTTTAATTCTATAAAATACAAAACTTTTGACCACAATAACATTTTTCGATGGAGATTAGTTTTTGTTTTTGTATCTCCATATCTAAACATAATTATTTAGAAGGAATTTAAAGCTATTTCAAGAACAATAGCAAGTTAGGAGTTTTTTAAAATCTAAGTATGAGGTTTAACTAATGAAGAGTATTTATCTTAGAATCAGATGTGTCAAGTAACAAAGTACAAATACTTTGTCACCTTACTTAAAAAGAAATGTTGGCTCTAAACTTTACTGAAGTAAAAATTTTTAGAACATTTTTTACTCCTTACATTTTAAAAATAGTATTGTTAGTTCAGTTTTATTTAATCTCGTTTTCTTTAGGGCCTGTTGGTATTTAAAAAAGATAAAAACCATCAAAATAATTAGTTTCATCCAGATAATAAATTTCTTTGTGGTGGGACTCGGTGCTGCTCCAATTTTTTGTTCACCACATACCAAAATACATTTTTTTTCAAGTTGATGCAAAGTTAAATTTAACACTATTACCATTAGTTATAAAACAGAAAATTAAGTATAATGAAGTTATCATCTGGAATTGCAGATTTCTTTTTTCCTTTAATAGGTTAGTGCAGTAAAGCTTCTGTCTTTAACATTTTTTCCTGCATTACTTTTACTTTTATACTTTTACTTGAGTAAAAAGCTTAAGTTTATCCTCTAACTTCAACAAGTGTTTTTAAACAGTAGGATTTATACTTCTACTGGAGTAATAAATAAATACTTTTGACACCTCTGATCTTGTTTCTTAAAATGTACATATCAAGCAGTAGTCAGCCCTGGTTGTGGAAGCGAAAGGAAAAATAACTTGTTTAAAAATTTGATCAATAATTTAACATTGGAGTGGCAATTATATCATCAACTTCGACACGGTTGGTTTGCATTTCTTTATTTCACTAGCCTGTTTTTTTATTTCCTCAAAATATGACAAAATATAACTTAACTTCAACACTTAACTTTTCCTTTTGTACAATTAAAATCTACTACTTAACATACAGTATGCTGTATAAAAGGATTATTGATTTTATTGTGCTTAACTATACTAGGAAAATGAGAGGTGTGATTTTCTAAAAGAATTTTATCAGGTCTTTCATGCTGTGTAACAAAAATCCCACAGCCACCAGAATCTGTATCTAATTTAAATGCTCTAAAAAGAGCCCTTTAAGTGTTTTGTAGTTTTAAAACCTGCTCTTCCTAAAACGGATAATAAACCAGCTTCTCATAAATTTAGGAATGATGGGAAGCTTAGAAATTGGCTAACAATACTTCAGATTGTCTTTCATATTATACCCGAGTCTCTCCATGTCTGATTCCTTAAGTTAGTTCTGAGTTATTTCTTTAATTTAGCTGTATAACTTATGTCAGAAACACTAGACATAAGAGTTTGATTTTAAATTTGACCCACCCCTCCTCCATTACCCACCATTTCAGCTCTGCTCACATGTTTTCTTTCAGAGCCTTGATAATGGCCATCCCAGAATATTTATCTCTGGTTGCTGCTTGGATTCGAAACCTAAACTCTTCATAAATTTGCAATCATTAACTACAAATCTTTTATCATTTTAAAGAGAGTGAGCTGAAACTAACGATGGTCTTGCCATAAGTTGCTGATACATAAAGAGGATTCGACACTCTTATCATGATGAATAATGTTGCCTCGCCCAAATGTTGCTCAGAGACGAAAACATGTTTATAAGGGTATAATTCATAGCTTTGGCTTGTCCGATTGCTCACTCCCTCCCATTAGTGATAAGACTACTACCCTTTAATCAGTCCAGCCCCACAGAAACAAAGAGAAGCATGCATCATGTGGAGAAAGTGTTTGACCAGTTATAGTCTGCATACTTTTCACCAACACAAGTGCTGTTCTCTTACCGGTACATCTGCGGCTGGATGTGCAAAGTTCAAATCCTGAATGCTCCTACTGTGACTGAGTAAACAAGCCTAAACGCTGTCAGCGAGCGGATATTTAAAGAATGTTCAGCATGTCACAAAAACAAAAGCAACCTTGTGTGTTACATTAAATTACGAAGATTCCCCCCCTTATTCAGCATGAAAAAAATGAACTTCAAAGGTGTGGTCTCTCAAGTTCCAGGTACCATAATAGGGTCTGATTAAGACCATAAAACCTTAATGTCCACATTGCCTCCAATAACCCAACAAAACATGTTCTGTGCATCTCCAAGGCAGCAGAGAGTGAGTCACTCTGCGGCCTATCCCAGGCTCTGTTTGACTTTCTTATCAACACGCCGGCCCCCACAGTCCAACCATTTAGGCCACAGCCTTTATACCACGGTCCATTTTTCCAGTATCAAAGAGAAGCTTCCTGAGCTTAACGTGGACCAGAAGGAGGTTTAATTTCAGCAACCAGCCAGCATGTGTACTGGAAAGTGTTCCCTCTGCATTGCAGTGACTCTGTATCCTCTGGCTCTCATATCCATCATCTGCAACATTGTGCTGTTATTCCCTGATGGGGACCTCAAATACGTCCAAGATAAACATATTACGGATGAGGTGTATTACATGGGGGGAATCGTTGGAGGAGGACTATTGGTGAGTTGCTTGTTTTGGCTTCAGTTTTATCTTGTTTTCTAGTTATTTTAAGGTGGAGAAAATCAGAGGTGGGTAGAGCACCCAAAGTGAGAATACTTTAATGGTTTATCTTTTACTTCAATAAAAATAAAAATGAATTATTCAAGAAATTAATTAAGAGTAAAACAGTAGGGAAGATAATAATACGGTAAAATGTCTAGTCAAGTATTCGTTGGTGGTTCATAATATTTAATTGTTAAAATGAAGAAACTCTTTATATATATATATATATATATATATATATATATATATATATATATATATATATATATATATATATATATATATATATATATATATATATATATATATATATATATATATATATATACACTATATTGCCAAAAGTATTTGCTCACCCATCCAAATTATTGGAATCAGGTGTTCCAATCACTTCCATGGCCACAGGTGTATAAATTCAAGCACCTAGGCATGCAGACTGTTTTTACAAACATTTGTGAAAGAATGGGTCGCTCTCAGGAGCTCAGTGAATTCCAGCGTGGAACTGTGATAGGATGCCACCTGTGCAACAAATCCAGTCGTGAAATTTCCTCGCTCCTAAATATTCCACAGTCAACTGTCAGCTGTATTATAAGAAAATGGAAGTGTTTGGGAACGACAGCAACTCAGCCACGAAGTGGTAGGCCACGTAAACTGACGGAGCGGGGTCAGCGGATGCTGACGCGCATAGTGCGAAGAGGTCGCCAACTTTCTGCAGAGTCAATCACTACAGACCTCCAAACTTCATGTAGCTCAAGAACAGTGCGCAGAGAGCTTCATGGAATGGGTTTCCATGGTCGAGCAGCTGCATCCAAGCCATACATCACCAAGTGCAATGCAAAGCGTCGGATGCGGTGGTGTAAAGCACGCCGCCACTGGACTCTAGAGCAGTGGAGACGCGTTCTCTGGAGTGACGAATCGCGCTTCTCCATCTGGCAATCTGATGGACGGGTCTGGGTTTGGCGGTTGCCAGGAGAACGGTACTTGTCTGACTGCATTGTGCCAAGTGTAAAGTTTGGTGGAGGGGGGATTATGGTGTGAGGTTGTTTTTCAGGAGCTGGGCTTGGCCCCTTAGTTCCAGTGAAAGGAACTCTGAATGCTTCAGCATACCAAGACATTTTGGACAATTCCATGCTCCCAACTTTGTGGGAACAGTTTGGAGCTGGCCCCTTCCTCTTCCAACATGACTGTGCACCAGTGCACAAAGCAAGGTCCATAAAGACATGGATGACAGAGTCTGGTGTGGATGAACTTGACTGGCCTGCACAGAGTCCTGACCTCAACCCGATAGAACACCTTTGGGATGAATTAGAGCGGAGACTGAGAGCCAGGCCTTCTCGTCCAACATCAGTGTGCGACCTCACAAATGCGCTTCTGGAAGAATGGTCAAAAATTCCCATAAACACACTCCTAAACCTTGTGGACAGCCTTCCCAGAAGAGTTGAAGCTGTTCTAGCTGCAAAGGGTGGACCGACGTCATATTGAACCCTATGGATTAGGAACGGGATGTCACTTAAGCTCATATGTGAGTCAAGGCAGGTGAGCAAATACTTTTGGCAATATAGTGTATATATATATATAAATGTATTAAACCAATATTACAGTAGATAATGTTTATATGCAGAGATGGGTAGAATTCCCAAAATTTTACTCAAGCAACAGCAACACCACTTCATTATATTTCTGCTTAAGAGCAAAATGTAGCCGTTTAAGAATTGAGGAACAGAAACCTTCATTAATCCCATGAAGGTAAAATCATTGCAGCGACTCGGCCAGAAACACACAGAAAAACACACAAGTCTCTGCTACAATAGTTTATACACAATGCTTCGAATTACAAACAAGCGCTTAATTGCAGAAAGTATAAAAGATTTAAAATTATAATTCATTTTGATTGTAGGCATGTAATAATATAACACAGACCTGAGAGCATTAAGATAAAACAAGATGATAAGATAAATCCTTTTATCCAAGTTCATTATCAGAGCAGCCGTCGTAGTGACCCAGATTTTTTTGAAGAAAACCACTAACTCTGGAAAAACACTTTGGCAAGTAAGAGTAAAAAATAATTTTATTCAAGTGCTCAATAACTTATCATAGCATCTGATATTTAAAATCATAACATAAAACAGACCGAAATGTAAAGTTCTGTGCAGATTCTGGCATTTTAAATAATTAAAACAAACTGAGTAAACTGAAAATATGCAGGTAAGGTAAGCAAAACTCTCACAGGAATGTTGATTAAATAAAAATTGCCGTAGAGTATAACTAACTAAAACTAGCTTTTATTTTCCTAAAATTTACTCAGGGTAAAGTAACTAGTTACTATCTGCCCACATCTGGATAAAACCGCCTAAATCTTACTGCTGACTAACTTCTAATAAAAGGAAATAAAAAACAAAAGTCATTTGGAAAAGAATCTTTAAAAAAACAACGTACTAATCCACAAAGGTTTTGATAATAACAGAGCTGTTTTTTCCATTTTTATTTTTTCAAACCATTATCCTCTTTTTGATTTATTATTTCTTATGTAAAAAAGAATTTTGTTCCACTTGTGTTTGCAAGCAAACAAATTTTGTAAATGGAAATAAAATAAAACAATGCAATCCAGACATGAAAGTTTAATCAAAAAGTTTTTTAGAGTATCTTCCCAATTTTCTCAGATTGTAATTTTTAAAAATATGTTTTCTTTCACATTTTCTTTTTTTATTGTTTCAAATTATTTCAGTTCTGAAGGCAGGATTTTCCTCTGGAGTTTGGAGCAAAGTCATTTTTATCTTAGTCTGAGGTAGTGTTTGAATTGGGCTGGAAGTGTAGATAATATGATCTCTGAAACCAAAGTTACTTTCAAAACCAAATCAATCAAATCAAATCAAATTTCCATTTAAAACATGTATTCTTTGCTTGCGAAATTATGGAACAAAGTTCTCATAATACTTCTGTTATATTTTAAATAAAGAGGTTGTGATTCATGAATCTAAATCTGATGATGTACTAAAATGTACTCCCTTCCAGGTGCTGCTCCCTGCGCTTCACATCCACCTGACTGGCAAACAGGGCTGCTGTGGAAATCGCTGTGGGGTGAGTCACACAGGAAAAAGTAACAACAGTGAGAGATTAACAAAGGGAACTACTGAACAAAATGTCCCTTCCATATAAACACTTTTTTATTGCAACAAGGAAGTAATTAAACAATAATCAAAGAGGCAAAAATGTTCCTCTAACAAAGATTAACCACCTATCACCTGTACTGTTAATCTGAATGAAACATGCAGAAGCAAAACTATATATATATTTTTTTTAAACCCCTAAACAATATTCAGTGCAATCTTTTATCTTAGGAAATCTTCTTATCATTGAACAAATTTATCCTGGTGGAGCCCTCAGTTAGGAACATGTTCAACTTCTACCTCTGGTAAAGCTTCTCCCAGATTCCAGGGAAGGTTGGAGACAGAGTGTGAGTGGATCATGTTCTCTGCTGCCATTGCTGATGCAGCCGCCTGTGGCTGTGGCCATGAGGTCTGTGGTGTCTGTCATGGTGGCAACACTCAAACCCAGTGAGGGACACCAGCATTATGGGAGGCACTCAAACTGAAAGTGTCTTATTGAAGTTGTTTGGCTTTTTGGACTCACTAAAGCAGCAAGCAGGTATTTTGTTCTGGGAGGAGTTAGGAGAGACCATGGAGAAAGAGTATTGTTTACGGATTATGAGTAGCGCCATAATCCGGCACATAATGCAACAGTGCCTTTCCGTAAACAGCATTATTTTACTGTAACCTTTAATTATTCCTCTATGAGCTGGATTTTATTTTTATTTTTTTTAAACTGGCTGCTAAAAGAGCCTTTCTTTATAAAAAAAAAACAACAAACAAAAGCAAGATGTTTATGCATCCCATCATGGCCATTTGATTGGTTTTATGACCTTATTAGTCCCACCCAGGTCCTTACTATGGGCTTTTCCTGCTTCTATCCAGTCAGTCCGGACAGCCCCGCTTCCAGCAGACTAAAGACCTGAAAGCTACAATAAAATATCCAGTCCAAGTGTTAGAATGGTCCCGTTAAGGTCAGGTATATATTTCATGGTATATTTTGGCCCTCCATATACATCAGGAATCATGACAATTATCATGAAAACCAGTCAGTGAAGATCCCCCCATTTGGGACCCCGCGTGGTCCTGCACCCCACCTTGGAAACCCCTGGTTTAGAGAAATCTGAGCTAAACAAGTCAATTCTCATTATCTGAATCTCCAAATCTGGTAGAAACAGAACAACACCCCTATAATAAAACAATATAACACAGATGGAAGCTGGAAGTTCCTTCCTTTTGAAATGGAGTTTCTCCTCTCCACAGTCACTACAAGCATGCTTGGTATGAGGGATTGCAGAGAGTCAATGAGTCAATGCAATCAACTGTTTTTTCCTTGGATAGAAAACTTTGAATCAGTTTGACTGTATGATCTGGTTGAATTGTAAAGTGCCTTGAGATGACATATGTTGTGAATTGGTGCTATATAGATAAACTGAATTTAACTGAACATAGAAAGACTTTGAACATTGAAAAGGGTGGATCACCTTCTAAATAAAAGGAGGAGGATTTCTCACCATGCTGACTTGACTCAGAAAAAAGAAAACAGTCTGACATTCTCCCCACATGCTAAGTTTAGGATTGACTTCCTCCTTCTGACTGGAGACCAAACCCATGCTGCTGTGTGGATGTAAAGCTGGGGATCTTCTCCTCACTTCTGAAAACAGCAACAGAAAATGTTTGTATCCCACTCCTCTGGTCCCTGCAGATGTTCCTGTCTATCTTGTTTGCTGCGGTTGGCGTTGCCGGCGCCCTGTACTGCTTCATAGTGGCTGCCGTTGGCTTGACGAATGGACCCTACTGTAAAGTGTTACTGGTTTGGACGCGGCCTTTCAAAGACCGGTAAGATCCAGATGTGACTCCAAGATGATGGTGTCTGTTTGGCATCTTTAGCTTTGGTCGTGCCAAAGAATTTTTGTTTTTCACAGTGAAGACAGTTACCTGGGCAATAGTTCGATCTGGAACACGTGCACGGAGCCTGAGAACATCGTCGTGTTCAACATTGGACTCTTCAGCACTCTGATTGTGACCAGCGGCCTGGAGATGATACTCTGTGCTGTTCAGATGATCAACGGGCTCATCGGCTGCCTGTGTGGGACCTGCATGAGGAAGGAAACAGAGATGATCTGAAGTGCCTTAAACGAGCAGGTACTTAGATCAGAATGGTAACCAGCCTGTACTTGCATGATGCTTTGTTGACTCCAAAATGCATCAACCTCAAGCTACAAGAAGACAATCCAACTTTTTTCAACAGTTTACACAATTTTCATCATCATCATCTCATATTCTTGCACATTTTACGGCATTTGTACATATAAAATTACGTATAATTAGTTGTTGATGATATTATCTTTTTTATTGTAAACATGTTGTAATATAACGTTTGTAAGCAAGTATTCAGCAACAGCAATTTCAACTTAAAATGGCCACATATGTTTATAGGTTATTGGTCCTTTGTTCCACCAAAGGAAAGGAGAAGGATTTTTAGTGGGGAGAGGTTAAACAAATTGTTTTATTTGTAAAATTATAAATTTGGAAAATTGTTAATAAAAGTATCAACATTACTAGACACAGTATCCAGTATTATATCCCCTTTTAATAACAAACTTGTCAAAGACATGATGAAGAGGAGTTCAGAACAAAGGAAATCTAATTGTGTGTACTGGGAGTTAATAATTCTGCGGCCTGATAAGGACTATCAGCTCTTACATCTGCTAACAGTTGGCAGGTAGGGTCTGTAGATATTCAGTAAATCATTTATACATAGGTAGAAAAGCAGAGGCTTAAGTTTTGACCCCTGTGGAACACCCAGGTTACATTTTTTTGCAGGGCAGATTTGAGCACACTGCTGTAAAGATACGACAAAGATGTGAACCAATATGACATTTGCTAGATGATATTTATCGGTTTCAATTTGTCAGAGCGGCTTTTTAAGTCTTAGAAATCTGCACCAATGATTTTACTTTGAAAGACTGTTGGGAACATCCAGTCATTTATACAGGACATTTTGGTTTAAAAGATAAATATTGTCAAACAGCTCATCTGTTGTTTAGCCACTAGCTTTTAAATGTCTTTTGGGGTGAAACCAAAAAAGGCTGATAAATTCATCAGACCTAAAAATTTGGGTCACAAACAAATATTTAGAAATTTAAAATGTATTTTTTCGTTAAATGGTCCAATCAGATTTTCTTTAACCCATTTTAATTACCAAGCTTTTGAAATTTTCAGCCGGTTTATATTTTATCAAACTATTTACTTAAAAATTTTCACCAAATGTAAATCTATACCAGACCTAGGTCCACAGCTATTAAATACCTTTGTTATTTATGTAATGGTCAAGTTTCCAGAGAAACAAAATAAATAAAATAAAATAAAAATGTGTAGGCCACAATCGAGATTTGCACCTGCAATAATTTACTCTGGGCGTAATGAATCTATAAATCATTTATCATTCTCTTTTTAAGCTAAAAACAAAATCAATTCTAAATTTAAATGAAAAGCAGACTGAAGTTAATTATTCACCACATAGAAAATGAAGGTCTTTGTTGATTTGTATAACACTTAAATTACATTTTTAAAAGAATGATCATGTGCATTACATATAAATACACAAATGAAACCTGCCAATGTGAGATTTAACAGTAAAACATGGTGCTGCTCTAATGCTATATTCTGCTGTAGGATCTGGTTAATCTTTGATAAACTAAAATTTTTTTTCTGATATTTTTTTTCTTCACAGCAGCTGTGAGGTTGTGATGGGCGCCCCCTGCTGTTCAGTTAAAAGCTGACAGCTAAGTAAAGGCTGCAGGGAGTATTGCTCTGAATGGAATTTGTTTTTTGTTTTGTTTTTTAAATTTTTTGCCTATTTTATGCTTCTTACATTATTAGCTCCAGTGATCATAGATGCAGTAGAGCCTTCTAAAGGTTTATTCTAAAATACAATGTTATTAAAATAATATTTTTTACTATTGTTCTGTTTGGAAGAAAGGACTTATTTTCTGCTCTAGTCCAGATTCAACATTTTATCACTTAAACGAGGTAAACTCCTAAGAGGCAGAGAATCTAACACATTAACATTCTGAGCTGTATGACGGTTTGATTTTATCTGCATGTGCAAAGGTGCTGCTTTAAAGAATTCTGGAACACATCAGTTAACCCTGCTCAATGAACCAAGATAATCATTTGGCTTAAATTTCTTTTTATTTTTACATTTTAATGTTTTACACACAAACCAGAACAACTGTGGTAAAAGAAATATTATGTATTTTTTTAGGCAGCTTTAAAACATATTTTTGTAATTGCAATTTGTCAAATAAAGAAATTGTAAAATCTGATTTATTGTATCTCAATATTAAACTGATTTAAAACAAAGCACAGGAAAAAATCTAAGGTCCTCTTGTTTCCATTCAACACCAATTAAATTTGATGTATAAATACACATTGAAAACAAAATCTCTAATATGCATTGATTAGAAAATAAAAGCACTGAATAAAAAACACAGAATCAGGCTTCAAGGGCAGGAGAGGCAGCTGATGTTCTGTTAGTTATTTCTTCTTTATGGCAAAAAATACACACTGTAAACACCTGCAAATAAAGATAAACAAATTAGCATAAACTTCATGATAGAAATGTCTCTAAATTAAAACCTTTATCGGCTGATTTTAATGTCTTGCAGGTTAAAAACACTTAAAACTATAGCAAAGGTTTAAGGAGGTTTATTGGCATTAAAACATAAGTAAGATAAGTAATGTTTTAAGGTTCCTTTAAAGCAGCAAATACGTCTTTATGCAAAGATGCTACTTTTTTTTAAATCCAGGTTCAGTTTTTAACAGCTCTCAGTAATTTCTGTTGTTTTTTTAATACAAAACTACTGGGAGACAAATATATAATAAGGATGAAGGAGCAAGGAAGGACACAAAATGTAAGAGAAGTGCAAAAAAAAAAGTGTAGGCACAGACGGTGCAGGGAAAGAAAAAGAGTAAGGATGAGAAATAAGAGGAAATAAGAAATTAAGGAAGGAAAGATAGGCCATAAAAAGGGCAGATACAATCATGGCAGGGCAGAAGGCAATAAAGATAAAGATGGAGGTAAGGCATTACTCAGTCCTTATCTTTCTTAGTTCTTATATAAAGCCTAAAACAATGAAAAGCGTGAAAAATAAATAAAAAGATGGAAAATAAAGGGTAAAAACAAGGCTTGAAAAAGTTCAGTCTATGCAGCTGGACATAAAGTGAAGACAGGGACACATTAGGACATCCCTGAAGAACTGTGGTTATCCCAGATGGACCTTTCTAAAAACCAACAAGAAGATTCTGCTGATGGAGAAGAAGGAAAACCATTCCCTTTGATGCTGGAGTCTCTGAAAAACTCAGGAGGATTTTCAACCAGCACTGGATCCCTTTGACTTGAAGAAGAAACAAGGTCGACAACAGGGTTTACGCTGTTCAGTGTAGTGAAGACTACACACACCTTTACACTGGTGAGACCAAGCAATCACTATTCAGGCGAATGGCTCAATACATAATGGGCCAACTCCTCAGGACTCAGTGGTTCACCTACACCTGAAGGCTAAAGGACACTCGTTTGAGGACAACGTCCGCATTCTGACCAAGGAAGAAAGATGGTTTGAAAGAGGGATTAAAGAAGCCATCTTCTTTAACCTGGAAAAACCATCTCTCAACAGAGGAGGTGGTCTTACACATAACCTTTCACACACTTACAAGGAACTTTTAGGAACAATACCCAGAAGATTCATCACCTGCCCTCACCTGACTCACTTCAATGAGGCATGTGACTGAAACCACTCTGACGAGGGAGTTAACGACCCATCAGACGCCCTGGCGACCATTAACAGTCCCCTGGTGACCTCCATGGAGATTCTAGTAAGTGGGATCAGAGCCACCATTTCTTTTATTTGTTCCACCTACAGAATTTTTATCTCAGTGCTCCCAACAGGTTACCCAACCACAAGTAAGAACTGAGGAAACCTTTTGGATGAGAGGAGAAACATCTTCTAGAAAACTTCATGTCTATTTGCCTCAACTGAACTTTTTAAGCCTGATCGTCACCTGGATGACTGAGAAACTTCACTGGTTTAAAGATTAAAAATAATGAAGAAAGGATAAATGATGGAGTAACAGAAAGAAAAAGTTAGAGTGAGAGAACGTGCAAAAATAGGGAGTGAAATGAGAGTGCAGTAATACAACAAAGTGAAAAAAACGGAATCTGTAATGGAAAGAAATATTTTCCGTCAGAATATTTTCTTGTTTTCCTGGAAAAAGTCGAATCAAATTCAACAAGAAGTCTGTTTAAAGAAAACAAAATCATCTAACCGGATCTGAAAACAATTGAATCACGTTATATGACACTTAATGATATTTTTTATAACGCTTTTATGCTAAGAGTTTTAAAGAGGAGTTACTGCATCAAAATAAAATGTGTTTCTCAACACAGCACGTCTTCTGGCAGAGAGAGAAAGGCGTGTCCAAAGTCATCTGAGTACATGGATAATGCTTGACTGGGCTGTGCTTATTCATTGTTTCACGCAAAGGACTCTGGGATTCCTTATAGCACCTTAACATTAGATAAAAAGGTCATTAGCTCCCTATGCTTAAGGAGCAATGATTGGAAGCGTCCCACTTCCTTCTAATGAGATGATTTTTGATGCAGCCATGATGTTGTAGAGGTAGGAGTGAAAGCACCAGCTGGAGTGTCACTGTTTCACTGCACGGCTTTGTTCAGTCTGACGCTGTCAAACAAAACTGAGTTTAAAAATATATTTAACATCAAGTTAAGGAAACATCAAAGCAGCTGTGTCATGGGCAGTAACATAGAGGGAGTGTAGCAGCTTAATGGAGTTCAGCTGTCGAACTGCTTCATCATGAGCTTCCTGCTGGCCTCATAGCCCAGGAAGAGTGCTCCGTTAGCCGGGAAGGTGCGGACCATGGTGGGGGTGAGGCCGGAGTACAGAGCTCTCACTCCTAAACACAGATAAAAACATGGATTCTGATTAAACTCTGGAAAGACAGTGTGTTTGTATCTCCTCTTGTTTCCTGGTTGTGCATACCTTCAGAGCGAGCGATAGTCATGAAGGTTTTGAAAAACCCCGCCTGTTTTCCCGTCATGGACATGACCTGAATTCGAGATTTCACACAGTCCATAGGATAGACCACCAGCCAAAGGCACGCCCCTCCGAAGCCGCCGCTGAAGACGATGGGAGCCACACCTGCAGCACACACAGCCGGCGGGAAAATCAACGCCAGTCTGCATAGAAACAAAGCGCTCTGCTGCACGTACCTATGTCGTCTTTGTCACATTGCATGTAGTCTGCAAATCCAGTCCTGCAGAGCTCGTAGGCGCCGAAGAAGCAGAAGTAGCCAGGCACCTCTCTGGCTATGGTGGTGGTCAGTCCCTGGAAGAACCCCTGCGGTCCCTCGTTCCTCATGATGGATTTCACCACCGACCAAACAGTGCTTCAGAGAAAACAGACACAAATCAAGCACAATTACCTCAATCTTTATCTTATCTTGCCACAGGTGTAACTCCTCCCTGCCAGTAAGTGGTGCACACAAGCTCTCCTCTTTTTTCGTAGTTTGCCACTAATAATAAACATTAAGATTACCTGTCCTAAAGTTAAGCGTGCCTTCTGAGCCCCCCTGCTTCCTTAAGTCGGCGCCGACGCTTAAAGGCTTGACCAATGTTCTTTGGTCCACAACTGGACAGATTTAAATCCTACCTGATGTATAGGGCTATTTTTGTGTCAGTAGGTCCCTTTACATCACAGGCCACAAAAATCATATGTGGTGTTCCCCAAGGCTTCATCTTAGGTCCCCTCCCTTTCAATATCTACATGCTACCTCTAACACACATCTTAATAAACATCAGTTACCATCACTATGCAGACGACACCTTGCTGTACATCACCAGGTGACTATGAACCCATTCCAGCTGTGGACAAATGCAGAGAAGAAATCAAAGCATTGATAGAACTAAATGTTCTCAGCTTCAGTTAGTCCAGCTAGAAATCAGCATTCAGGCTCTAAATCTGAGTGTAGCGATGGACTCAGACCTGAACCTTCATAAAGACAGGAACAGAGTTGTCCTTCTATCACCTGAAGAATATCTCCGGGATTAAAGAACTAATGTCTCAGCTGGACAATGATGAACTGATTCCTGCTTTGTCCATCTTTAGTAGAATGATCCCTGCAGCTCTCACAGCTCTGTCTAAGAAGTGGATCAGAGCTGCTGCCTGCATCCTCACTAGAAGTAAATTAGTAGATCACATCAGCCCAGTTCTAAAGTCCTTCCACTGGCCTCCCATATCTCAGGAAATAGACAGTGGATCAACAGCCGGACCTCTCAGGTCTACTGAATCAGATCTCTGCAGAACCAGAACCAAACATGGAGAAGACACTTTTAGTTATTAATCTCTATTTTTCTGGAATAAACTATCAAAAAAACTTTAAAAGCGCTGAAACCATCAGGTTCATTAAACCCAGATTATAAACTTGTTTAGAGTGACCTTTAACTGAGCCATCTAAACATTATTAGTCTAGTTTTATGTTAGAAAAACGTAAATATCATTTTATTTGTACTAAGTTAGAGGCATATTGCCTGCTAGGAATGTTAAGTGTTGTTTTGACTTCAAACGGGAAGAGAAAATATTTCTCTCAGGGTCTGGTCTCATCCAGCTATGCTGCAGGTGATTAATAACTTCTGACCCCTCCTGTTACTCCTTTGAAGTCCGATAATAAAAGCAGAGGTCCCGGCAGAGTTGACCACAGACTTCTCAGTGGATCTCCAGTCGCTCTCCCTCTTTGCAGAAAAGTCACACGTTTTCTGTTGGTTTCATTTCTAGGACAGTAAGGGGTTATTATCATTATTAACCCTAATATATTCAGTCTGACTTTTGCTCAATTTTCTTTATTTTTATATTTTTTTTTATATATATATAATTGTCTCATTTCAATGCGTCACTTTTGTTCTCTCCCATTTTTTCTGTTGCCTCTAACCCCTTTTCTTTTTTCCCCCCTCATTTTTAGAGCTTTGAATCATTTTTCCACTGTAATGTTCAATAGAAATAAACTTGCCCTTGGAAAAGTTAAAAGCTGTGTTTTCTGCTGCGTGTTATGGGATGTTGTAAGCTTGCAATCTGTGCCGTTCGGTATGGGGGAGGGGGCGAATGAAACGCGGAGTATGTCGTATTTCCTGGTAGCTGCTGGGAGATGAACCCTGCATCGTTTTGCAGCTGTTTTCTGCAAATATTCCTCTGTTTTTATCTCCCATTCCTCTCTGACCAGCTTCCTTTATTCCTGCAGAACAAAAGCAGCCCACAGCATGATGCTGCCAGAATCATCCCCAGTGTTTAAGGTGTTGCCTATGACCGGAGCACATAATAGATATCGTCTCGGGTTGTTTTTTTACTAAAACGTATTACACCACGTTGAGACAATAAAAGCAGAAAACATTCTTACTTGTGGCTCTTAGCAATCCTGCCGGACGTCTCCATCTCATGCATGGCTTGTAGTCGACACTTGACGAGCTCAGTGGGGCAAAGAACGAGCGAGGAGAAGATGGAAGCTACTGAGCCGGCACAGGCCTTCTGCATGTCGCTAATAGAGAGAATAATTAGGATAGATAGATATTTGACAGGTAGATGTGTTTTCTGATCGGTTACCATAGCAATGAAGCTCATCCTACCTCAGCACAGCTTCTCTATGCAGCCCAGCTGCAAAGCGGATGACCTGCTGGCAGAAGCCGTAGCTCATGAAGAGCACAGAGTTCTCGGCGATGTTGGCCATGAGCGCGGGCGTGGTTCCCCGGTACAGGCCGCGCATGCCCACCTGTTTATAGGTGGACACCAGGCAGTGCACGAACCCCCGGTACAGAGTGGGAAAGGTCTGCATCTTCACCTTCGCCGTGTCCAGAGGCTGGCCGCTGAACACACAGGCGGCTCCTCCTACAACAGAAGGGGAGGGGGGACCAAAATGTGAGCAGCTAGTTTTTACCATCCCTTCACTAAATCTAGCTCTGGACCCATTTCTACAACTGAAAACACAAACATGTTCCAGAGTTTCTAAAACATAAGGCAAGTTAAATCCAAGACTTTTTTGTCCCTTGAAATAAAGCTTTATGAGCAACTTCCCAAACACAAGATAACCAAATTTATCCTAATGCTTATTTTAACATAAACCACTACTTTCTGGCCCAGTAGAAATGTTTAAATTTTGAAAAACTTTCCATATAGGAAGAAAGCTAAAAGCACACTGATAACAGATATATACATAATTGCTCTGCTTTCATTATAGGTGAACCACCAAACATCCGGAGATTTGGTGCTACTGGTTCTGTTTTTAACGTCGGATATGGCTGTAGAGGCCTTGCAGAGACAAAGGTGGAACTGAACTGAGAAATGCTGTTGCTTCTCTGTAACTTAATTTCAGTGCTTTGTTTTTCACTCTTCACACGTCTGTCTGACTCCACAGCTTTAATTCCCATCGTTCCAGCTTGAATAACTTCTCGCTCAAAATACGCCATTCCTCAAACACATCACCTGGTACTGTTGTTAGCCATGCAGGAAACTCTTGGCTGGATAGCGGATTTTCATTGAATTTACATTTCCCACATTATTGGCGCATCACCCCAAGGTTTGTTTGCAACATAGTTTTTATTGGTTCTGCTGTCATGATGGAACTAATAATGGTTACAGCTAAGCCGTTCGGCAAATGTCAAAATATTATCGTGAATTATTTAAATTTTTGATATGAATTACAAAATGTATCCTATTTATGACTTGGTGACAATTTTAAGACCTATGAAAGACTGATTCAAGACATTTCAATACTAATTAAGGCCTTATTTTTATATTAAATCGCTTTTGAGACTTTTTAAGAATCTGCAGGAACCCTGTGTTCATTCTGAATGCGCTTTGTTGGGACTTTAGTGCAGAACAGCAACAAAGGTGGAGAATAAAATACTTTTTTTCACACTGTTGGTCTGTCATTGCATTTATCCAGTCCTGTTCATTCTGGTTTCTGTTTTACAATCAGTCAGAACCAGTTACCTTCACAAACAACCCTGAAAGTGAAGCAACTAGTTTGTAATTTGATTACATGGAAGTTTTCAGAGGACATTAGTGAATAAATAGCATCAAAAACATGATGGAGATCAGCAGACGGATCTGGGAGAAATCAGGACGGTGAGAGGCGAGTTAGATGGAGGCAGTCGACCACCTTAAGGTGAAGATTTAAACCAAAAAAACCTCTCCCATCAGTGAGAACATTAAATTTACAAATACATTCTTTAAAAAAAATGAACTGTATGATTTCCTGGATTTGTTTTCCTCATTTTGTCTCTCACAGTGAAGCTATGATGAAGATTATAGACCTCTCTCACCTAGAACTTACACAAACAGGTGTCTGACTAAATTCTCTTTAACTACACTGCATATTTCAACTTAGTGCTACAATTTCCTCCTTTTTTTTTCTTAAAGTTATTAAAATTCCATGATTTAGTAGGTCATTAAAAGTCTCCAGGTTTTGTATCAAATAAATAGAAAAATATTGACAGTTAACAGCTAAGAATGGTTTGAAAAAATAGAAAGTCACTATAAACTGACATGAACAGATATTAAAAGAAAATAAGAGAAAATACAGTAAAAGGAATTAATTTGTGGAACGGAACTTAATCCAGGATGATGACATTTAAACAAACATTAAAACTACAATTTTAGGGAAATATCGAGGACATAATGGTGGTATTATGTTGTGATTTATCTAAATATTTAAATGCTGTAAAATGTAATCACAGAAAATACTCTCGATAACCAAAAAAAGATGGATCTAAATACTGTAAAGGAGCTGATGCAGGGCTGTTGTAAAATTAATTAAAGGGAAGATATAATAAGACTGATTTCTTTGCTTCTTTTCAGTCAGGATGCGTTGATTTGGGAGCGAGTGTATGAATTTTATAAGTTATTTTTAAATGAAATAAAATTCAATGAAAATTCAATGAACATTTTAATTTCAGAAAGGTTTAGTCCAAGTCCACTCCAAAATCTGTTCAAAAAGCAAATCTCCACAAACCTTCTCCCCACCTAATTTGGCTGTTTTATAAAGAAATTGCTAAACCTTCAGGCTCTAAATAAGTAAATATTTGCAGCTGTTTTTGCAAAGGATCCCATAACAAAGTATGAACCTTACAATTGAGCACACATTTTAGTAGGTCCATCAAAATAAATCCTAATGAAATACACAGAGCTCTGTGGCCGTCAAGTCAGAAAACGCAAAATTACTTTTATACCTATTGCTCCTGCAGAGAGATCAATGATAGCCTGGACCACGGGGTGTGGAGGCATGGTTATCAGATTAGGTTTCTCCTTCTTTCAGCAACCTAAGGACAAAAAAGGGACAGAATTTGTTACAGAACTTCAGTCATGAACAGTTATTCAATACTTGTCTGTCTGCAGGAATGTGTGGGCCTCACGTAAGGATTGGATCGGGTCAGAGAGCAGCAGCTGACATACTGATTTTTTTTCAAACACTTGCAGCTGTGATCATGCAAGAGAGGGTTTCAGTAACTAGTCACCCTGAGCCGCAGTGTTCTGGTTATAAAAATTAAATGTTAGATTTAAAAATGCAAATAACATATTTGCATAATAATTACATTTAATCTCTTCTTAACGTCATATAAAAAAATATATGTAAATTATAAAGACAGTGTTACTTCCATGCAAACCAAACAAAGGGTGTTCTGCATAGAAAAGAGGCCAGCTTAACCCGTTTCTGTTTTTCAAAGAAGTTCCACAAGAGGGCGCCAAAATGCTCTTCTCTGTTCAGCATTCAAATTTTACGAACCATATGTTTAACACTTCAACAAAAAGGGTTGAAAGTTATTTATTTTCTAGCTGTGACTTTTTTTTTTTTACTAAAACAAATGTTAGGGTTTTTTGTTTGTTTTTTTGCTCGAGGCCAATTCAAAGATAACTACTATTTTTAAGAATCCGCCCCGGGCCTAACTTTTTAGGCTAAAATGACAAAACAGACTATTGTTTAGTTATACAAACCTCACAGGACAGAGGTTAGGTCAAAGTGGAGCATCAGGTTAATTTTGGAGTCTGTGTGTCAAACATTAGGAGGTGACCTGTGAGCGGTGACCCTGTGAGCAGCTGACCGTTGCTAGCATCCATGCCGCATTAAAGTCCCTTGCTTTACAGGAATGATGTCTCATCGGTTCCACCGTCAGCGGCTGAGTTTATGCACAGAAACCGCTGAACGGCTCCATCAGAGCTCTCAAAGCCAGAGGAGATGAGCAAAAATCTAAAGGTTGTTTCATCACACCCAGGAGAAGAAAAAACTGCAGAGCGCTCACTCTGTTTCAAACTCCACATCCCAAATCTGCCCACTTCCTGTCTCCAAATAAACGTAAGCCTGTGTCAAATACTTAACATTAACACAGCCATATTATCTAAATTAATAAAAGCGCTATATGTAGCAGGTAATAGGCATATCTTTTGCCGTGCTTCAGATTTTTTAGCAAAAGTGACTATGGGTGTAAAAATGTTAAGGCGTGAATATCTGAACATAAGATCTTTGATGGAGCGGCATGGCACAAATCAAACAACTTCCGGTTCGCATTTTTCTTGGTTAGTATCAGTTTTTAGTATGTCGCCCCCACGTGTTGCTTTGAAGTAAAAAATCGCTCATGTCACAAAACCACCCAATCAATTCCTGACGTTACGTTTTGAACGAATATCTGTTTGTCTGACTATTGATATATGTATAAAACACAGCTTTAGTGGGAGTTTTTATCAAATAAGCTGCTCTGAATATGTGCCAGAGAATGTCCCAAACATCCTTGCTTTTCTTCATCAATAAATAAAAATAAAACTTTTGTTTTTTATTCATGTATTTTTTAAATACTTTCCCTCCAAGCTTGGGTCCTCCCCCTGGGAGCTTGAGGGCTCTGTGCTGTATCTTTGCTGTTCCTTGAACTGCACTTTTATGGATTGAGAGGTCTGCTGTATTTCCAGGGACCTGCTGTAACCACTCCTCAAGGTGGGGGTCACTACCCCGAGTGCCCCAATGACCACGGGTAACACTGATGCCTTTTATATATATATATATATATATATATATATATATATATATATATATATATATATATATATATATATATATATATATATATATATATATATATATATATATATATATATGTATACTAGCATTTCAACTTATGAAAGGTCAGCAGCTTACGCCTGGTTTCATTGCATCCATGAATATTAGAATCAGACCATGTGGCAACAGAAAGGCAGTTCTTTAAAGTCCTCTTCTAATCAGATCCTTTTGTGTCAAATAAATTAAGTAGTTTCACTTGCCAAAATGCATCTTGCAGCATCAAAATGAGTTCTCATGACAAAGTAGCAAAGCACGCACGCAGCAAACACCGTCTTATCAAGAAACTTCTCAGAACATCCTTGATCAGAATAATCCAGGGAACTCTGTGCTCCCAGCTCTTCGAATGGCTTCATGCATAATTAGGCTTCAAGATTTAATATTGGGGCTGTCTGAGAGAACATTTCCTTCTTCAACCGAAGCAGGAACATCCCAAACTCTCTGGGTTACATAAAGCAAGATTACATCTGAGGTGCTGAAGAGAAAAACCTTTTATTCCTTCTTCCTCTCTATCAATGGATTATTAACCTCCAGTTTAAATCTCCATATTAGTGCTGCCATTAACCTCTCAAGACCTCAGGTGTTTTTTCATAGCTTTTATTTATGGTACTATTTTCTCTTTTCCAGATATTCCAAGCCAATTTCCTCCAAGGCTTCAGTAATGGACTGATTGTAGTCCTCCTGTGATGTGTTTCTGAAACACATTGCATCCAAGCCTTAGAGAAATGTAACATTGTAACATTTTTGATTTGAGGTTTTAGTTCACCAAAAGAAAGAGCCAGAGGAGACAACAGCAGTTGAGGAAAAGAACTCATTTGTTTGTGTGTCAGAGAATAAATATATTGAATGCATGTGGAAGGATTGCATGAACTCATCATGGATATGTGTCGTATTCATTTGAGGTACTGTAATTGTTTGTTTTTCAAGGTGAATGGATCATCCAACAAATTAATGCTCTGATATAAGAAAAAGAAAATGGTTTGGCTTCTCCAGAAAGCCAGAAAAGTTTCATAAGGGTTGCAATAAGGAGTAACAGAAGACTGCTGATCCATTGAACTCGTCCAGGTTCAATCTACACTAATCACACAAAACCAGCGGCAAAATATACAAGCATAACATCAGACAGAAAGGCTGGATCATCATTAAGCCCTATCTAATAAATATATTCATGTATTAATGCATCTATGCTATTAAATGGTATGGTTCTCCATAACATACACATCACATTTGTAATTTATGTTAGTATCATGATGTGCATAATTAATAACTCTACTTTTTTAAATCAGTTTATGGTTGACATATTAAGTTAAAATGTAAATTAAGCCGATATAAGTTATGTGAATTTGACAATGTCACGGCTCTCTGTGACGTTCTGTGAGACGTAGATCTACAGTAGCAGCCATTCAAAATTTCCCCACCTTCCCTAATGGGCCCTTGGCTGGTCCCTTACAAGTCCTTTTTAAACATCTATATATGTACTAAAATATTCTTTCTGTCATGATTTGTGGATATTGAGATCTAAAGAGAAGCTTCATCTCCTAGTCTGACCCTGTAATTCAGTGAAAGGGTGAAGTCAGAGTAAAAAAATATGCACGCCAATGAGAAGGAGGGGGTCACTCCAGTGGCTGGGAGTTGGAAGGGATTTCGCTGGGAGTTGGAGGGAAGTGGGCTGCCATTCGGCTGGTGTTTGACTGGGAAGGGCCATTTTGAATAGCTGCTACTGTATCTGGGTGGCCAGGTCCTCCAGCTGCTTCAGGGTCCGAGGGTAGTCACGAGTTGAAAGTTCATCCTTAATTCTTTCATTATGGCCAAAAATAAAAAGGTCCTCATCCAGGTACTCTCAGAAGATAACAGGTGCAAGTGGGTAATATACAACACCATGGATCGATCACCCTGCCTAAATGACGGAAGTCCTCTGAGAGCCTCTCTACTGGGAAGAACAGGGCAAAATACTCGGATTAGTTCCTGAGAGAAAGCACTTTAAGAGTGATACAAATTAGGATTGTTTTGCTATTCAGAAGTTCCCCAGAGCTTCGCTTTACTGGCTAATAGTTAAATTACGTAGGCTACATTTTTAATCATTAAATCCAGCAGGTACTCAATACTTGCAGCCCTTTTACTATAAATGCATTCGTACTCGAGCCATTTCTTGGAAGACTTTTACACAAAGAGTGATTGCTTCATGTATATTTGAGCCTGTGTGCTATTGTATGTATAAATATGATCATGTCGAGATTGAAAATGCTCCGTGATTCCTGTAATTCTTGTCTTTAAACAAGAATCTCTTTAAACAACCTGCAATTCATAAAAGAAGATTTACACCCAGGAGGAGTACGTATTAACTGGCTCTGGTTCCTTCCTGGAAAGGAAGCTTCAGTCGTCTTACTTCCATCTTCTCAGCTATAATTTCATAAAAATACTTGAAGTAAAACTGAAGCAGCAGAAACTTCCCTCAGTTGTTATTTACCTCCCAACTTTCCAAATGTACAAATCCCATCTGTCGAACAGAGCAGGCTGGGATTAAATACACGTACCCTCTGTCCATGAGCTTATCCTTTAAAACCTCAGACCAGTGATGGCTTACTGAGCAGCAGTCTAGACTCATTAGAGTCCAAAATTATGAACTCAGACCTTCAAACAAAACAAATAAAAAGAAAGACAGAATCCTTATTTTTTATATTACTTTGCCTTTTATCAAAAGAAAAAAAACATTGATGTTGTCTACATCACAGACAAAAAAAATCATCAATATTCTGTTTTAACTGTTTTGCCAGGAACAGAATGAACCCCATGCCGCCCGTCCCTCCCTTCCCTCGAAGCAAGCTTCTCTATACACATTAAACTTTACATACCTATAATTCTTGTTCATCCTTTACACCGTTATCAAAGTAGGATCATTTGATTCAAAATACATATAATGTTCTTCTACTGTAATATAACAGGTTTCCTGATTGTACATACGGTATCATTTCCCACATTTAGAGTCCATGGAGTGGTTTGCACGGTGCGTCACTGTGAAATATTGTGAGGAAGCAACCATCTTTATTCTTTAACAAATAACATGGCCTGATGACACATCAGGTGAAAAGAAGAAAATGCAACAGATCCAAAGGTGTTAAACTACAGTAGTTTTGGTTCTCTTATCATGTGTTTTCTGCTCCTAAGCCAACATCAGACTCGCCAAGTGGATTTACAGTAACACCAACTGTTGCGTCTGCTCTGATTTGAGATTATAAAGTGGAGTCAGAGAATCCCTCCAATCCACAGTTAGAATAGAAGCCCTGCAAGAATAAATAAATCAGATTAAAATATGCTTTCTGTAAAATAAACTCAAGCAGCTGTTTGGTTAAGATTGTCAATATTAATGGTATTCTGACAAATGTTAAAAATCACAATTGGAAACTTAATGGCAACATAAATCTTCTTTGGTATTTAAGAATCTGGGAATGTATAATTAGAGTAATCAAACTGCTATTAAAATCTCGAAAACAATGTAGATAACAAAAGTCTTTTACTTTGAAAAACCAACATAATCATATTTTTACATTTCTGTTGAAGAGTATCTCTTTAGGCCAGTTTCGACTTCTTTTACTCTGGTTGCCACCTTTTCCTCACTTGTAAATGCTAAATCAGGTGAATATTGATCAAAGGATTCATTTAAAAGAAGTTTTGTTTTTGTTTAAACGAGAGATTGGTTGTAAAAAAAAAATTTCTCTAAATGTGGGAAAAGCTACAAAATATCTGAACTTCAAGAAGCTTTTCATTTGTTTTTACCCTGTGTGCACTCAGCCAGAGCCCTGGATTCAACCAGTTTGGTTCAACGTTGCATCACCTTTTTCGGCATTACACAGCAGACATTTTATTTTTCCACCAAGTATTTGCAACACAAATATTCTGCAGTTTCATGAACATCACAACAGGCCAAATGTTGCCGCCAGGGGCTCTGGTGTCAAACCCAAGTCAAAGCACAGCCATCAGAGAAACACAACGAGTGTTAAAAAGAGAAAAACTAAATATATCTAAATTATGGTTGTGTTTCCTAAATCAGACCGACAAATTATTCTGATCCCTAATTGTTTTTTTTAACTTATCTTGTTTTAATTCTTTGGGGTAATTTGCACCAGAATAAATAAAAAAAGAGGTAATGGGTGTAAAAGATCTTGATCCAATTTTACTTTGGATGTTTGATTGTGAGGAAAGAAAAAAAATGACTGATAAAACAGAACTATTCACAACTTCTGGGATCCCAATCGACATCTACATCATCAAACCATTGACAGCGTGTTCATTTTGCTTTGATGCAGACAAGCACGCTCCGTTTTTCTAAAACTGGTTCAGGGAGCACTTTGAAAACATAATTCATATCATCATTGGATTCATTATTTACATACAACACTATGGTCACTTTACGTACAAAACTGGGAAAGTTAAAAAGTAGTGGTATTTATTTATGTCATCATGGTTTTATGTGACAGACCAACAGACTATTAATTGCAGGGAGGAGATAAAAATGCAAAAAACTCTGGACTTAATCCAAGTGGTAATCATTAGCAAGTATTAAAAAATTTACATCCCAGACTCTTTGCAAGGATCTTAGACGTGCAAAGATGGTGTAACCTAAAAGATTCGCATCTGGATATAGAGAGACTGGATTCAATCATTTCTTCTTCTTTCTGTTAGTCTGTCTTATAAAATCCTGATAAAATGCATTCTAAAATTTGTGGTTTCACCATTCAAAGACTTGAAATACTTGCAAGTAACCATGTATGACTAATTTATAAAGTATTGTTGAGCTGCATGTATGGAAGAGAAATAGAAAAGAAATTAGGATTAATGTTTTAAAAATACACATGAGCAGAGGATCCTTTCTTTCTTTCTTTTTTTTTTTCAGCCAAACCAGATTTTGACAAAACCCAACGGAAAGGGAGAGGGACGCATGTGCTTACATTGTGGCTTCAGTGTTAGGCACTGCAAACAAAATCAAAACAGATTGATTTTTTTCACTTTAATGTCTCTGATAAAACACTTTAAGGCAATCTATTAACTGTTGAATGGCAGCAGTGTTACGTTTCTGGTCTGTCTTTCTTCCACAAATTTAAGCTTTGAAGAGAAATGTTCTTGTTTTTCTTCCCCCTGTTTTAACAGCCCATTTTAAGATCACCTGTGTAAAAACAGCTACAATCAAAAATGAGGCACTTTATAAAAGAGTATATAGATATCTAGGCTATATAGTATTATCAATTATATGTATACTATATATTTCATATACCATTGTAGTGTGTCACTTCATATTAAAATTGTGTTCATTGTTTTGCAAATGAGGAAAACTAACCACAGTATGTACTATAGTTTCTGTCATTCTACTCTTATTACTATAGTATATACCATTGCGTTATATACAGTTGGAATAGAAAATTTAAGATGCCAAAAAGAAAAACATTGATAATTTTCCTACTAAGTTTGTGTTACTAAAAAGTTCAAAATGCTGTTAAGCTTCGAGAAATAAAACAACAACAATGTATAGCTCTGTTTCCTTTTTTCCTCTGGTGGTCTTTCCTCAGTTGTCCTCTGAAGCGACGTGACTCAGACATCATGGAATTGATTTGACAGTCATGTGTCAGCCTCATCTGATATACTGCTATTAAGTGGAATCTGAAGGCGGACAAGAGGGGGAATATTTGCAGCTCTATATCCATGTTGACATCGCAGACCGGCTGCGTGTGTTCGTCTTCCTCTTCTGTCTTTCTGCCTGGCAGATCTTTGAACCGCTACAGTGTCAAATGAACAATTATTATCGTCTTATAAGCAGATTTCCATAAATACAAGCTGAATATTCTCCAATGACAATCTAGCTTGACTTGATGGTCTGTGACAATGATGGGGTTATTCAGGTTGGAAAACTAGACAAATCTCACCGATAACATGTTGAATGGAGTGAACCCCCCCCACCCCGTCATCCAAAGAGCAGACTCCACACTATGTGTGGATTTCAGTTAAATATAGCTGTTAACCTGCCCAAACAAAAACACAGTGACCTTCACATGAATAAGCATCTTTATAAACATGTGTAAAGAGCCTTGAAAAATTTTTTTTTTTTTTTGAAAAATATTAGCGTTAACCTTTAAATTGTCCTATTTAATATTCAATTAGTCGGATCCTTTATTTTAAATTTCTTCTTGGTAAGAGAGTCAAGAAACGATTTTAGTAATTCCTGACTTCCAGTTTCCTTAACGTATAACCATAAATGTGACACATATGACTTTTTCCTGTTCTTTAAAATGAGACTTTTTTTAAACAATTATTCAAGAAGTTAGGTCCAGAAAAAAAAGCTATATATCTAAATATGTCCATATTTACCGTAGGAGCAGTAATTACAAATAACAGTAGGATAAAACAAAGGCTGCTTGAGGAAAACAAAAAGCTTCGATTTTAAGATCTCCAGAGTCTGTTATAGGGATCGTTCGGTGGTTGAGGGGTGCAAAAGCATTGCAAGGACATTGATGTGCTGCAAAAACAGAAATTAGATTAACACAAAAACACATGCACAGGAATAATGCTGCGAGAAGCAAAAACAAGTGCAAGGCAAGAAAAGCTGAAATTTTGCTCCACATAACAGGAATTGCTCCCGACCACTAGAGGGAGACAATCATGAAATCTAAAGGCCTGGTTATACTGTGTTGCAGTGATCTTATCGCAGGTATGACGCAGATATTTTTACATTTATGCCAAATTTTGAAGCATGGTCTGCACTATGTTATTCCGCGCCACAACGCAAGAGGGACAATCACGAACTAGCTGTGGGTCTAGATACGGCCTAGGCGGTGAGGAAGTGGAAAAACATGAGGGGCAAGTTTGTGTGACAACGTAGGGAGATGAGGGCAAAAAAGAGCGGGGGTCCAGGTGGAAAAAGGGTCCCAGCGTTCTAGCGTACCTCGCTCTTCTAGCTGGTCCATCTTTACAAATCGTTTTCCCCAATGGGGAAAATTGTCATACAAACAAAACGAGTCGGTAAGGTAGAAACAGGAAATACGCATACTGTAGAGCGGATGTAGATTTGACCAATCAGAGGCCTCCTGTCTGCAGTCACCTACAATTTTGGAGAGGTGCAGCAGAGTGGCTGCGGAGGGGGCGGGGGTATACCTGCATTAACTGCAACACACATGCAGACATACAAACATAAAACAGCCTTAATGGGACCAGATCATAGATATTACTTAAAATTACTACCTATGGACCAGATGATTAGCAAAAAACATTAGCGATATGCCTGATTTGAATCCTTTCTTAACACTTAATATTCCTCAGTATCGCATTTATGGGTTTACTAAGATTTTGGTCCCTTATGAGGTTAGTGATCATCTCCCCCTAGTAGCCAGCTTTTATTAACTAGCACTTATTTTTGCACATATTTTATGTGTTAGCATCTTTCAGTGGGTTTTGTGTTTGCATTTGCACTCTGCTGTTACTTCAATGCAATTGTAGCCTCTCTCTTTTGCAGCATTTGGCCTTTGCACATATTGTTTGTGTTTATGTGTTAGCCTCCGGTTTTTGTGTTTGTGATATGTTTTTTATATTTGCTGCACATTTATGTATTTGCAGAACGTTTGCAACACTATACCACCAAGTTTCTCTGTAAAAACCACTAGGCCATAGTTGCATCTTACAATCATAGACATGACTGGTAAATGCCCCTAGGACTTTAAGTAGAGCTGGTTTGGTAATTTAAATAAAATGCTTTTCCTAAGCAGACTAAGGTTTTAAACAAAAGAGTTAAGCATGGAGGAGGATCTGTGGTGCTGTGGGCTTATTTCTCCTCCAAAGACCATGAAAAGATCAGCAAGCAAAATATCCAAATTTACTCCCAAGTATCAACAGAAAATTTTTATTTTAATCTCCTAACCCACTATAAAAAAACCTTAGACAAGTCGTCACAAGAAACTGACCCAGTTACCAGTTGCAGGATTAAGATTTTTATCCTAAATCAGTAAACGTAAACATGTATCTTCAATAAAGCTGTTCTAAAAATAAAGATCAAGTTTTTTTTTTTACTATGATTATGCTGATGCAGTAAAATACTCATTTATTTAAAGGCTTTTTTACACATCTTTACCAGGAGTGCAAATAAATGTGAAGGGCTCTGTTGAGTCTTTGTGTGTAAAAATATTTCTAGCAGTGTTTTTGAAGAAACTCAGTAACACAAGAGCTGTAGTAGTGACGTATAAAAGCTTTTTTAGGCAACTTTACAGTAGATGGTCATTTTAAACTGTTTACAGTGAGATGGTGTGTTTAAGAAACTTGCCTTCACCTGTTTTCTTCCTATTTGCTCAAACATGGTGATCTTTAAAACTATATATACAAAGAAGGAGGAGGTAGAACCACATAAAAATTCAACAGACCGATTAGATAAAAAAAACAGCTGCTAATTTTCTGTTTTGTGAAACTTTAATTAAGCCAATCGGCTCTGAAATCACAGCCAAAAAGATTTAATTTGCTTTTCTGGATTTCAACAGTTTCATTTAGCCTTAAATACATTAATTAAGTTTGAAATAACTGTCAATAATCAACAGATTGGACACATGTGGGCTCAGTCCTTCTTTGTACCACGTTAAACAAAGATCAGGTGTCAGAATGGTTCAAACAAGGCAAATTCTTTCCTTCAAATGTAGCTGTGTGTAGAGTTTATATATATGGGTTTGTGTTAATGTGTGTGTGTGTTTGGCACACATTTGGTTGACCGAAAACAGCAGACGGGATGAGAAATCCTCAGTTTCAGCGTTCCAACTCCAGCTTACAGTTCCTGTTGTGGCAACAAATGATGAGGCGAGGCGAGTGGTGAGCAGTCGCATCAGAGGCCGAGATGGAGATCAACAGTCTGGGGTGAAGGAATAAAAAGAAGACATTAATAATAAAAAAAATATTAATTTGACACAAAGGTACTTTCTCCTCTGTAACCCCTTTCTAGCTTATATTTTTACTCAGGCATATTGTTTTTGTTTAATTTAGAGAGCCTGCTGGCAGCTTGGGTAAACATTACAGAGCGCTTCATATCTTTGTGAAAGGATTTCCTGATTGGTCTCATGGAAGTTGTTACAGATGTCAATATTGTGGCTTTGTGAAAGCTTTATCATTTCCACAGATTATTATTTCCACCTGAGCAGCATAAAGTTTCTGATGGTCTAAAATTGGATCATTTTAAAATAACACAGTGGCAGAACCATCAGAGGTTGCTTATCTTCAGATTGATAACAATCAGCTTTTTAAAGGTTTATACGTATATATATATATATATATATATATATATATATATATATATATATACATATATATATACGTATATAATATACGTAATATATATGTATATATATATATATATATACGTATATATATATATATATATATATATGTATACGTATATATATATATATATATATATATATATATATATATATATATGTATACGTATATATATATGTATAAATATATATATATATATATTATATATATACATATATATATATATATATATACATATATATATATATATATATATATATATATATATATATATATACGTATGTATATATTTATATATATATATATATATATATATATATATATATCATTTTCAATTCATTTCGGTTCCATTTTATTCAAATCGTATCTTCAAAAACGAGAAAGCTGTGTATTACATACCGTAATCTTTCTGGATAAATAATGCTTTAGGTAAATCATTAAAAAAGACAAAATGAATATAAGATTGGAATTGGAAGAAGAGTGGAACTTAAACCACGTTTAAGGATTAAACCGTTTTTTTTTAAGGTTTATAATGGAATAAGGCCAATACCTCTGGGGTATAGTGTATTAGAAAACAATTACAGTTAATGAAACCAGGATGAATGAGTTGCAGGTTTCCATTATGGAAAAGCTTGATCGGTCATTAAGAACAGCATAAATAATTACTTATGTGCGGAGTATTCCCAGAGCATTGATTTCTATTATATAAATACCAAATAAATAGTTTATTTTCTAGAAGATTATTGGCCACAGATGCATTTGTCTCTGTTAACTTTAAAATTAACCATAAAAAAATTAGCAAATGTGAAATTGATGAAAATGAAAGTGGACCTTAAACCAAATAAACCATTGTTTGCAAGTCATAGATTGTCATCAGAAATCCTACAGCCACCAACATATAAAAATAAAAACACCTGGCCTGCGTTCTGTCCCCTATGCCTCCATTCATGTGAAATGGCTCATTACCAGCAGACAAATCAATTGGCCCTGCTCTCCGAACACCCACTTGTGATAATAAGAGACTCTACAGACAGCCCACAGACTGGAAGCACAGCGCTGCCCACCTGCTTAAAGCCATGGGAAACATCAGTGCAAGATGAAAGCAGCAGTGACTAAAGACCCAGACGAGGATTTTATCAGAGGACTATTAACATCACGTCAAAGCATGTATCCAATCTGATTAGAGTAAATCGTTCGTATTTTCCCCTCCTTTTAGCTATTTTAAAATGTTTACATCACTGTCAACCCTTTTTTTCATAACTACTGGGGACCAAAACCAAATCCTATTTATAAAACCAACATGAATCAAAGAAAAATCTGAATGTCTGCAGTTGATGGAGAATAGTGAAACAAATTGAAATGAGCAATACTTACATTAAGACATATTTATGAACCATAGGAAGGGGAGTTCAGAGTTTTAATGAATTTAATGAATAAAAGAGAAACAGCATTTTCACTCTTTACTGATTAATGATCAGAAGAATTTGTGTAATTCCAATTATTGACCAGCTGAATTGTGATTCTTTATGGATTTACACACTTTATATCTCAAAAGGCCTGCAGTAATAAGGCACTTCACATTGACAAACTTACCCAAAGATTTACTGGCAATTTACTGGGTCAGGGTCATGTGTGATTAAAGCCACAATAATGAACCTTGCAATTTAGCAGGTCGAGTCCTAGTATCACTTAAGTGAAACGTTCCGAGTAACTGCTTTTACCTCACAACAGTCCTGACTCTAACTACATGTTGTTGACCTCTGCAAAAACAGCACCCCTGAGAAAAGGGAAACTTTGATGATAGATGGAAACTGGTTGGTCCTGAAAAATAAAACTTTCCCCGTCCACAAAAAGAGTGAAATAATGTGTCAGTTGTCGAAAAAACTGCCCATGAAAGTCTTATATGAAAAGACAACTGGAAGAATCACAGCTCCTAAAGGCATTGTTCGTTATAGCTACTCAGCTTATAATTTCCATCTGAATGTCTTCTCGATCACTTAAATCAGTTGACTTGCATTGCTGACACCTGCAGGTGATATTAGGAACATCCAATCCACCTTTGGGACTAGTTTGCATGTGTGGAAAGCGCTAATTCCTGCATGTGTGGAAGGCAGGAATGTGATCCCGGTGAGTTACTGAGTTTCCACAGATATTTCATGTATAAAGGCTCATGAAAACTTTGAGGCATTGACACAGTGTGGTATTATCTAAATTTACACCAGTCAAACACAACAAGATGAAAACAACTCTGCAAATGTTAGCTTTCACACATTTACCCTGTAGGTTCCAGTCAAGTAGGACCTAACCACATAATATTTAGGCCAACATGTTCATCTTGTCACTTTAAAATGAGGTCATCATGATTCTTTTTAATTTTGGAATAAAAATTGTTTACATTTTCATCCCCAATTTTCAATTTCTGTCTCCCAGATTGTCAATAGGGGGCTCGGATGCAGCCCGTATGAAAACTCCACAAATTAATTATTGACACATTAAACATAAATTATTAGTAAATAATCAGTAATAATAATCAAATTTTATTTCTTTTATAAAATGTGCCTGACCTAAACTTTTCAGCCTTACTTCCATTTGGATGCATTTTATTGTTTTACTAGTCTAAATAGAGGTTTCAATGGTGAGGCATGGGGGCAAAATGAGTATGTATGTTCTACAACTTTTTGGTTACTATATAACTATATGCTAGTTTTTAATTTTTTCTTAAATATTAAGTAATAACTGTATAAATAAGACGGTTAATTTTTTTATTATTCTGTATATTTGTATTCATCTCTCTGTAGGTGAGTAACACCATTCAGGGAAACAATGTGGAGCGCTTCGCCTTCACAGACCATCTTGTCTGTGCAGCTTCGCTGCAGGGGAACAGGTTTGAAGATCATCAGATGATTTCCTCAAAATGCACTGCACAGCACACTGGAGACCTAGCCAGTGCATGAATGGGACCAAGACAGAACATTGTCTCATCTTAAGAAAAGAAGAGCTTGTGGCCTGCTGTGGTGCTGTGTACTAGTTGTTATCAATGTAGAAGAGTTTTTGACCAAACCCATAAAAAAAAAAACAAAGCTAAGAGATGCTTCTCTATCTTGACAAGAGTAAAAGCTTTTCTCATAAATACCAAGACCCAGGAGAGGCCGAAAACACTGGTCATGCACTTCATGGACGACGAATTATTTGTTAAATAACAGAATCAGAAAATAGAAGAGCAAACTTACTGTAAGGTTCAAGAGTGCCCTGTCTTTCTCTGTTTTTTTTATAATTACCCTAAGTTTCAAAAGAGTAAGAAAAATAAAATATTTTTTTTATAAAATATGGAGTGAATTGTGCTCTATTATCATTGCAAGCAACAAACATGTTTTTTAATGGGAAAAAATAAAATGCAATACGGAAATTAAACACAGAAATGCCTATTAATCAAAAAAGGTTATAAGAGTGACTTTGCTGTTCTCTCATATTTGTTTACTTAAAATATTTTTTTTTATTATATTTTATGTCGTCACATTAATTTTTAAATTATATCTTTTTGAATTTTTGTTGTTCTAATTTGTATTTTTGAGATTGAGTTGCATTTAAAATAGCTTTTTACAAATCAATTGTCTTCACTTCAGGGGACGTGCTTTCTTCTATAGTAAGGAGCAAATATGCATTTCTTTTGGTCTGCTGGATGTTAGCAACATTTTTATCAGTCAATTTTGTTTTAAGCCTGAAGTGAAGAGAATGTGATCTGTGGAAGCAATTGAAAAAAAATGCATTTTTTAAAACTCAGTTTGAAAAAATTAAAAAATTTATCTGTAAATAAAATACAAAATAAACATAGGAAAATAATATGAAACAAATATTTTGATAAAATTGCACAAAAAAAAACAACAACCTCTAAAAACATTTTTTTTTATTAGATTTTTTTGAAGGTTTTATTCCTGGATTGTATTTTCTTCTAAACTTTTCATTTACTCGATAATACAATATATTAGATTAATGTTGAAGTACACACACTGCCTGCCCAAAAAGATGTTGCCACCTGGATTTCACAATGCAAATTGGTTTTAGCTTCCCATAAGATAATTACTGCATTGGTGATTATATTTTTTTTAGCTGGCAACAAGTTATTTAACTAGCAATGATTAAGAACTGACCAACACATTGTTAAGAACTGGAAGGATAGAGGGGACCCATCGTCTCTGAGGAAAAATTGGAGCTGGAAAAAAATCCTGAACAATCATGACAAATGATCATTTAAACGTCTGGTGAAATCGTATTGTAGAGAGCCAGAGAAGAACTTTGGGCTATGTTTAATAGTGACAGTTGCAGCATTTACACATGAACAATGTGTAAATGCTGCAACTGTAGAACATAAGAAAATCTGAACACCTGTAGAACATAAGAAAATCACTAATCATTGAGGCTAACGGGGAAAAAAAGGGGGCTTGAATTTGCTAGGAAACATAAAGAATGATAGAAGGACATAAGGTCCGATGAGTCCATATTTCCCATTCCAGGGTAATGGACACATCAGAGGCAGGTAAAATGATGAACCCATCATGCCTAAAGCCTTCTTTACAAACCTGTGGGTGCAGTACTATGGTCTGGGGTTACTGCAGTTGGTCAAATAAAGGTTCAAAAAATGGGGTCAGATGAGTACCTAAATCTACTTAATGACCAGGTTATTCAATCAATGGATTTTTTTTTCTTCCCTGATGGCACGGGCATATTTTTAGATGACAATGCAAGGATGCAGACTCAAATTTGGAAAGAATTGTTCAGGCAGCATGAGACATAATCTGCGTACATGGATTGAATCATTCATCATTAAGAATATTTGGGATGTGCAGGACAAGGCTTGGGCAGCAGTAAAACTACCGTAATCAATGCAAGATCTTGCTGAAATATTCAACAATGTGTGGAATTAAATCTTGCAACTCTTTTGCAGGAATGTATGGAAACAATGCCACAGCAAGTGCATGCTGTAATCAAAGCTAAAGGCAGTCCAACGAAGAGTGTGTGACCATTTTTTTTTCTTTCTGGTGACAATTTTTTATTTGGCCAGGCATTGTACTAAACACTTCTTTTTTTATGTGAGATATTCTTAGTCTAAATACCCACAAAACTCACCTTGACCATCCTTTCTACTGTTCTGGCTCGTTCGAAGTTCCTCTGATTTGTAGAAATCAATACTGGCGTAAGTGTTAAGGGCAGAGCCAACACTGCTTCCCATTGCACTCCCTCCAACATTGTAGACGGATGAGGTGTGCTCCACTCCAGTCTGAGCGCTCTCCTTCAAGGCTAGGTCAAGGTCTATGTAGTTAAGGCCTTGTTCAGTGGATGAGGTGGAGGCTTGTGGTGGAGATGGGGCAGACAAACCGGAGGCCTGCCCATTCTCCCACAGTGAGCAATCCAAACCCTGCCGGCTGGCTGCCTGGTTGCCCTCAGAGAAGAGGGAGGTAGAAGAAGATGGGTATGGTGGTAAAGATGATGGTGAGCTGAATGCTTCAGATCTGTGGCTCAAGTGTCCCTGCTGATTACATCGGACCAATCTGCTGCTCCGGTCTGGCGACTGGAAGGACTTAACCGGGGAAGACTCCAAACTTGTCTCCTGCTCTCTAGATAGAGGTTGACTAGAATGAATGGCAGGTCTTACTGAGTTCCTTGAATCTGAACCTTTGCTATCAATAAAATGGACTGGAACATCAGTCAGCACTGTTGCAGTGTTTATTTTTGCTCTGTAGCCTTCTGCTGCCAGCGGAGAGGATGAGCCATGTTCATGTCGGGCCTTGGGGATGACAGCTGCTGGACCCTGTAGGGTACTGAAGGTGGATCTAACATGAGTTGGAGGTGTTGTGGATTTCCCTAAATCCATATTCACATATTCTGCAGAGGTGGACAGCGGTGCAGAGAAACTGCGGGGAAGGTTAGCAGGGTTATCGTGACTGAGGAGAGGCTGGTTTATGGGGCGCAGAGTTCCATGGATAATGGGCGGTCCACTCCTGCCCTTATCGTATGCACTGTCTTCCTTAAAGACAATGCTGACATAGTCCCCAACATTCTGGGATCCTGATGGTGGTAGATTTTCCTTAACCCTTGGTAAAGTGTTTGCCTTTGCAATATCTGAAGATACGCTCAGGGGACGCCCCCTCCTCTGCTGCTTCGGGCTTTTACTGCTAGATGAACGTTTTTGGTGGTGACGTCCATCCTTTGTGGATGTTCCTGCACTTTTGTATTCTGTCCCGGTTCTTAATAAACTCAACCCTCGGCCGGTAGATAGGGACTTGTCTTCAAGGCTTTCACTGCTGGCAGAGCTGGAGGAGAAAGAAGAGGAGGACATGGAGAGTTGGCAGCCTCCTGCAGAGCCCACTGCTATTTTGTTTCTTTTGTTGTACCCCGTTCTCCCTCCCCTTCCAGCACTGTCATTCCCACTACTGTCTTTTTTTTCCTCTCCTTTGTTCAAGTCCTCCTCAAAGCGAGTATAGAGGGTGTGCTGATAGGCTCGTGGCAGTGAGAAGTATGAGTTGAACATTTTGGGTTGCAACTGGTGCTGCTCATGGTGTGAAGGCGGAGTGCTGCAAGCGGAGCGGCTGCTGATGGGGGAAATGTTCATGTAGTCACCGGCTACCTGGCTCTCCATGCTCGCCCTGCTCTCCCACATGCCCAGCCCGTGCAGGTCTGTAGAACTGCTGCTGTTTGGGGACATGACCATATAGCCCTCTGAAGTGGGTTGGCGGATGTGCTGAGGGGGGGACACACTACTGTTTGGGGTCATGGCCATGTACTCGTCATCCGCCCCCGGTTTAGCCCCGGAGTCATACATTCCCATCGAAAGAGACAGCGAAACAGGCGGGGATGTCACCCCGGGTAACATTGACATATAGCCGCTGTCTAGAGTTGCTCCTTCACCCCCATGTGCCCTGCTTTTGTCAGCCCTCTTCCTGTTCTTCCCTTCATCTTCAAGCCGCCTGGCCTGAACTGCTGGATTCTCTGAGCCCCGGTGCAGATCTGTCCTCTCTCTGTTAGTACTCCGTGACATGATGGCGTACTCTTCTTCGTCATCATCATCTTCATCTTTTCTGTGCGGGGTCAGTCTTTCATGAGTTGCCAAAGGCAGTGAAGCCCTCTTACTCAGCAGCCTTCGCTCGGCCTCAGACTCCCGACTAGACGAGCGTCGCAAAATCCGTCTGCCTTTGGAATAATGATGGGAGCCGTGCAGCCCTTCTCTTTGTCCCATTTCTATGTAGCTGGAGGAGCCTTCTCCGTGTGCGTGATGTCCAGACAGACTTGGTATTAGCAGAGAGTGCTCACCAGGACTAGAGCCGTATTCATCTGAGGATCCATAGTCGCTCGGTGAACCTGAAACAGAAACTCTTTGAGAAACACGGGCGTAGGAGCAAATGGACATGCCTCCCACCACAGACCCAACTAGGCCACATTCAGATCCGTGACCTGAACTGGAGGACAGGCTTGGTGCAGGAGAGGGAGCAGGGTTAGGTGTGTAACGTGCAAGGCTCAAGGTAATCTTTGCTGGGGTCGGGGCCCTGGTGGGTTTGGGTCTTAGCGTTGGAGTAGTTGAGCAGGATCCATTGAGACTTGGGCTGGAACTGGCCCATGTCCCTCTGGCGCTCGCTCCTCCCTCCTCTGACCGGGCTCCAATGCTGGCTGTCCGTGCCCTTGGAAACCCGTGTCTTGAAGTGGGGGAAGTGCTTGTGCTGCTACCACCTGTTCCTGGAGTCTCAGTGCGTGCTCTCCTGGAGAAGCCCACCTGGCTCGGTGGCAGATTCGGGTGATGACGCCGACTTGGCACACTGATGGGATTCGAAGCAGTACCACCACCACATGATGTTCCTACAGACTGAGACTTGCTCCGTTGTCGGAACTCCTCGCTCAGGGCCTTCATAGCCTCCAGCAGGGTCTCGTGCATGTTCTGAGCCACCACAGAGTCGTCCACTTGCATCCAGAACTCTCCAGGTCCTGTGATTGCTGAGCGTCCCACCTCAATGAAAAAGAAGTTCTCTGAATGGCCGCACCTGCGAACATTCATCAGCTGCAGCACCACGGCGGCCACGTCAGAATTGAGTTTGACAAAGTTGACTGTCTTATCAGTTAGGCACAACCGGTAGATGCCCACCAGGTTTCTGGCATGTCCAAGACCTTTAGGCCAAACCTTGACTTGCCATACCTCCTTAAATGTTGGGATGGGAGATGGAGAGCTACACTCCCCACTGCTGCCATAGTCTTCAGGGGTTTTACCTGGGAAGATAACAAAGGATAAAAAACAAGTTAATTACGCCTCCAAATGTAAAAAAATACAAGTAGATCTGACATTTTATAACGTCTCTGTCATATTGTGAAAATGACAGCCACATTGCAAAAATGTAACTATAAGTCGGAAATAATAACAACTCTATCTAAAAATCCATCTAAAAATGTATTAAATAAAAAAATATAAAATAGAGTTCATTTACCCAAAACTTAGGAAGTAGATGCATGATCTGTTAATGGAAGGAGTATTGCCCCCCTAAAATAAGAAGATGTTTTGCATATGATGTAAATAATCTTATTCCATTGGCAAATTGTCTTACCTGCTCAAATAAAGCGAAAATACACTTGTTTCAATAAAACAATTACTTATATTTAAATTTTTGCAGTGAAAGAAGTATTTTCCTTTGATTTAATTAGTGAAATAGGACAAGTTGCCAATGGAATAAGATGATTTATGCTTAAAAATAGAACATTTTAAGAATTGCTTTTATTTATTTTCAGTCCAGCTTTTTCAGTGCAATTGTTCTACATCCCTTTAGTTGCACTTTATAATTTCACTTATGTCCTTCTGTGATTAGGAGATAAAATTATAGAAAATATTTAAGATAATTCCACAGATCTCAAATTTTGATCAAGGATGACATTACTTTAAAAACTAAACTAAGCTATTGCTTGAGTTTAAATATGTTCAATAAATATTTGCAGCTTTAAAATCAAGCAACAAAGTACTGCCATATTGTACCTTTTTTATTTCTTGATATATCTATTTCTTTAAATGTATTTTTTTTTCTATTGTGTATGTACTGTATATTTTATTCATTCATGTAGCCTCTTGACCAGGTTGTTTGTAAATGAGAAGCTTCTAGACTTAAACTAAAATATTCTGTATACACAGAATGAATTTAAAAAAAAATTGTTTTGTACAGCTCTCATGAAGATTCCATTTCTTAAAAGTTTTTTTTTTTGTTCCAGTGTTTTATTGTCATTACACTCAGGGGCGGATTTAGGAAATTTGGGGCCCTAGGCAAAGACAGGCAGGGGGCCCTCTGAACTGAGAAGACAACACATAAAACAGACCCATTATACAAATTCAGAAATTTTTATAGAATAGACATACATTATTTGTTCTAGGTTTTGTCCCCCTCTTCTTGACCCTTTTCTTGTTGTTTTCCTCTCTATGTTTTGTACTCAGCTGACTTTTCATGCTGTCTCAAAAGGAATTAAAGATTTTTTCCAAGCACTAAGCTCACTTAGCTGATTACTTCTTCCTGTGTTCCCAAAAAGGCAAAAGTAAATAACACACTCCTTCTTTTCACTGTGGAAAAGCCATGATCTGCTCATCTGTTCTCCATTTTTCATTTGGATGAAATAATAGCTGCATGAATGAAGAGAGCAAGAAAGAGGAGAGCAGGAGGCGGGGTTACCAATCTACTTGCTCTGGAGAGCAGAGTTTGGTGCTTTCATATGTTGTTGCCAAAGTCTCCAGTAACAGAAAAAAGTCGCTAGATTTGGCACTAGCCGTTTTTTTTTAATAAAAGTACTAGAGGGGTCTGAAAAGTTGCTAAATATAGCGACACAAGTACTAAGTTTGCAACACTGCTTCGCATCATTTGTTTTCAAATAGTTTGATGGTGTCTGTTTGGACCTTTTCTGAACATGTGCAGCAAATAGACTGATCCAATATGGTGGACACTGAAGGGGGGGTGCTGAGGCATACTTAATAATAGACATTCTTTATCTTCCTACAAAAGGATTTTCATCAAAAACAATGAGCACAAATAAGTAATAGTTGTACCTTAATAGCTATACATGTAAACAGATTTTTTTATGGGGGCCCCCATTAACTTGGAGCCCTAGGCAACTGCCTAGTATTGCCTAATGGTAAATCAGCCCCTGATTAAAGTATATATATATATATATATATATATATATATATATATATATATATATATATATATATATATATATATATATATATATATATATATATATATATATATATATATATATATATATATATATATATATATTGCAATGTCAACAAAATCCCAACGCAGCGCACAACACCTCGGAGCGGGGCAAGTAGGCTACCATCCGTCACAAACAGAGACGCAAATCAAAAGGGGGAGGAATGTGGGTGGTGGTCTGCTAAAAACGTAAGCACGACGATAACCAGCAGAGAAAAATATTATAACAATTTTCATTGAAGAGCACGTTCACGATATCATGGAAAGAAAAAAAAAACTCCCCTCAAATTCCGTGCATCGAGAATGTAGATTAGGCGAACTGCAAGTCAGGAGCCTTGCAGGAAAAACAAAAACACAGGCTGCAGCGGAGCGCGCTGCGATAGGCTACTACTATGTGATGCATCCCGCGGATGGTTGCTATATGCCCACTGCGTCATGCAAAACACGCCGTCGTGCGAACGATGCGGGCTTCATTTTAGTCAGACTAAATGATTTTGCGTTGAAGCATGCATGAACAATTGAATGCATCACATTATTTATTCTGCTGACAGAAACTGTTCCTCTATTTCGCTCTGTAATATACTGAGGCTCATTAGGATTGGTGCACAAACACATAACGCATGCCGCCCGTAGCGTTATGGTCTACCCCGCTCAGCCAGACGCACCTTCTGCTTTACATACCTTATATTTGCTCTGAGTTATCACAACATTGCATGAAATAAACAAATAAACAATACCTGCAGCAAATATTAGAATGGGAATTAAAAAAATGGGTTTTAATAATCTGGATAGATGGAGAACAACAAGCCCACAGGGCGGGACAGGCCTGATGGAGAAACAGACAGAGAATCACAGCCCACGCTGCGTGTCTTACAGTTGCACTGGAGATCCAGCATGGCTTGGTACCACTCATTCTGGACCTCCTCGCTGTCCGCAGCGATGGCAAAGCTCTCGCTGCGGGTGTAGAGCACGATCATGTGCTTGTTCTTGGAATCCGCCCGCTTGTTGATGTTGAAGCAGGTCTCCAGGTTCAGGACCTTCTTGGGCACAGGTGATTTACTGCGGAATTTCTTCTCGTTCTCGTAGTATTCGAGCCGAGCCGGACCGTGCTCCGAGGCCGCCCTCAGCACGAAGAACCGCCGGTGCATCGATTTGTGTTTGCGGAGGTAGCCGCTTTTCTGCACATCTTCATAGCTCTGCGGCTCGACTGCTTGGCTCTCCATGACCGGAGCGGCGGTGTGAAATCCCCGGTTAAACGGTGAGAATCTCAGGGAAGAAGCTGACGCCCATGGGTTCTCCTCATTTATCCAGCTGCGGCTACATCCCTCGTCCTCCCCGCGTGCGCGCTGGGAATACCGAGCATGTGTGCGGGGGATAAGGATGAGGAGGAATCAGCCAAAGCATGTTTTCGGATGAGGCATCAGCTGCAGGGAGGAAGAAGAGGAGGAGGAAGGAGGGGTGGGGGGGATCCGTGCACCGAGCGCGCGCAGCGAACGCCGCCGCTTGTCCCGCAGCCCAGCCCAGTCCGAGCGCGGTGCGGTTCAGCTGCTTGAGGACGTCTCTTCCACCTGTCTGAGGATGCCCGGAGCCTGTGAAGAACACCCTCACCCTCCCCTCCACACGCGCACCATCGAGCCAGACTGGATGGAAACAGAGCTTCCGTTATGACTTTTCAAAATAAAGCTGCTGTCTGCCGCTTTAACCATTTGGAACGTTTACATGGAGGTGGGCAGAAAACAAGTAAAAGTAGCCAAGCTTCAACATATTTCCACTTGAGTCAAAGCAAAATGTAGCCATCAAATTAATTGATAATGTAAGAGTAAAAAAAAATACATGATACTAAAGCTGTCAACTTCATCAACTTCTTTTTACAAATTTTAACTAAGTAGTGTGAACTACTGGATAGAATATCCTTGAAAATGTTAAATAATTAGTAGGGGAGTGGTTAGGGCATAGAGCTTGGAATCCTGAGGTCCACTGCTCCCCAGGGGCGGAGCTAGATGGGGGGCCAGGGGTGGCCATGGCCACCCTTAGCCAATCATTGGCCACCCCTGTGGCCACCCCTACCGTTTATTTCCCTCTAATACAGATGGTGGCAACAGTAATACTCTCAAGTCGATAATTCAAAATATTTTAATTTTTCATATATTAACAATTACTTGATGACAAAAACACAGTGGTATATTATGCACATCAATATACTAACATTTAAGATGATAAGTACAGAATTCATGCTCTTTTCAGAACTAGATTTTGTGTTTTATGGGGTAAAGAGAAAATTATGCGTCTCTGCAAGTCGTCTAGGAGTCTTCAGTAAAATCATACATAAACAAATATTTTAATAAAACAATAAATCCTAATTTTAAGTAGATATTAGTACTTGTTAATGTCAATTTTATGCAGAATGATTACTGATAAAAGTAGGTAAGTGTTGACAATGGAAAAGATATTAACCTCAGAACTCAAAGATGAAAGAATTTTATCCGCTATACTTTTTATCTAGAAAGCACGGATGTTTGGATATATTTGTCTATTTGTTAGCAAATGCTGTGGGAAAGTATAGTTTGTCTTTATTTAGAAACTACAGATGTTTTGCTCGTTAATTTACCTGTAGGAACAGTGTAGATTGCCTGTGAGGTTTTGGTGCCTATCTACTTTCGGCCACTCCTCAGTGTACATTGGTTATTGCCTGGCCACCCTTATAAAAATTTTCTGGCTACGTCTTTGCATTTAACTCACCCAGGGGAGTGGGTTGAATGCAGAGCTAAATTTCTCCAATGTGAGATCAATAATTTGATGTTATTGATGGGCTGTGAATTAGATGTTGGATATCGGCCTGTTTTTCCAGTGTAGTCCTGTTTCTCTGACTGTGACTGGCTGGATGTGCTCTCTTCATCCTCTGACATGGGAGCTGGCTTGGAGCTCATCTGCCTGGCTGTGTGTTTCCTGGACGGGGGAGCATTTTACAGTTGCTCTTTGTATGTCTGCTTCTCTTTCCTTGAACCCCAGTCTGTCTCGGCAGATGGCCGCTCACACTGAGCCTGGTTCTGCTGGAGGTTTCTTCCTGTTAAAGTGGAGTTTTTCCTCTCAACTGTCCTTACAAGCATGCTTAGTGTGAGGGATTGCCTTCGAGTCAATGAGTCGATGCAATCAACTGGTTTTCCTTAAATAGAAAACTCTGAATCAATTTGACTGTATGAACTGTAAAATGCCTTGAGATGACGTGTTGTGAATTGGCGCTATATAAATAAACTGAATTGAATTGAAATTGAATTGAATAAAAGTTCAGTTACAAGTTCAATTTAATTTCAGTCTAGGCAAAAGGTTTATAAAAAAAAACGTTTTACTCTAATATATATATAGATATTTAATTGTATTTCCATCCATAAAAAAAAGTTTATTTGCTAGACTATTTGCTAGATTCTTCTTGAGGTAGTGGATTCCACATAAGTTTACATTTTAATTAACCTTCCAGGGTTTCCAGTGTATGCCAACTGTTTTTCCCCTGAATTATTTTTTTCCAATAACTTTTTTAACTGGAATTTAAAAGTTTGTAATTGGCTTTATGACACTGTCTTTCTAAATATAGATAACTATTGTTTTATATTTTTCTTTTGAGTAACATGAAAAAGCACCGGCCCTAATCTGTTTTCCCCTGGTCAATTTGGTCTCGAACCGCCACTCTATAAATCTAAAAATCAGGAGTTATATTCCGCTTATTTCTAAAATGTTTTGCAATTGTGGTATTTCCATTAGTTCAATTCAGTTTATTTATATAGCGTTAATTCACAACACATGTCATTTCAAGGTTTTTAAGTAGTAATCTGAGTTTTAGGATACTAACCTATATCTCTTTTAAACTTTAATCTAAGTGATACTGGTATCCTTTAGAAAAAACAAATTTTGATAATATTGAATCGGTCTGGACAAAATGGAATCAAGATGGAGCAACAAAGGATGTCATCCCATAGCATCTATTTAATGGCACCACTAATAAATTAAAAGAAAACTAATTATTAAAGCTGTTCTTTAATTATTTTTATTTTAACCAGGTTTATCTTGGATTTATAATTGCCCCTTAGTGTATAAAGGCTATATTGTTTCTTCTTACTAATCACAATATTTTCTCGCACAGTTTTTAGTATTGCACCAGCTTTTAGTTACTCGCATGCTTTTATTGTGTAAATCCCCCTGCTTGGTTTCCCCGTTTGTTCTTGCATCTCTGTGAAAATTGACGTATGGCTGACTGGCATCTCCAAGCCGGTGTGTCAGTCAAATATATATATGAAAAAAAAAAAAGAAAAAAAAAAAAAACAATAATCAGGGGGGGAATGGTTGGGGTTTATCCAGTGAACACTCTCATGCAGAGGAACAGGCAGTTTCTGTTTCTTATTTTGTGATTTTACAAACAGAAGCAGAGCAGCTGCAGAACATGTTGTTCCAAAGGTCGAATGCGGTCTGCAGCCTATATGGGTGAATGCCATTCTCACTTCCTCTAAATGCATATTGAGGGAGAAAGTTCCCAGAATGCATACTGCGCAACAGTCAGCATAATAGCTATTGTGCAACTAACGCGTTTGTTATCAGTTTACATTGTTGTTTATTAAAAACTTCAACATTTCAGGAGGGCTGGTCAGGAAAATATTACAGTGATTCCAGGTAAGTGATAATAAATTGAATCTATGATCAGAGATCCTGCAACTATCAGGTATGGTTATAATAGAAATATTTTATTTTTATGATGCAGTTTTTAGCATTTATTCGTTATACATTATCACATTTAAAACACTTAAAATGAAATATTAAATTACTTTCACTGACATAGATCAAGATTAAATACTGCCACTGCAAAAACTGATGAGAAAACTAGTGATTATTTCTTCAAATAAATGTATTTACCCTCAATTTGAGCATGTAAATAGGATTATTGGTTAATAGAGTGATTGATTTTTTTTTCTTGTTTAAAATGTAAATAATCAATTTGCAAACAGTTTTTTTATACCTATACTCAAATTAAGAGAAAATACATTTAAATTTATTTCAGGAAGAAAAAAAAAATCACTCTTACATTTTTTAAAAGTGTAATGAAAATTCAACATTTTTGCTAACATAATATAAGCTGAATTATTTTTATTTTTTTGTTTTCTCTGTGAAGGATATTATCAGAATATCCTCTAGCTGTATGCTGGGGAATCCATCTATTCAATGAATTTCAGTTTATTTATATATATATATTTATAGCACCAATTTACAACACGTCATCTCATGGCCCTTTACAGAGACTGTTTAACGAGATCATACAGTCAACCAGAAAAGCAATCCCTCAAACCAAGCATGCTTGTAGCGACAGTGGAGAGGAAAAACTCCCTTTTAACAGGAAGAAACCTCCAGCAGAACCAGGCTCAGTGTGAGCGGCCATCTGCTGAGGCCAACTAGGGTTCAAGGAGACAGAAGCAGAGATAGAAAACGAAGAGATATAAAAGGCAACTGTTAACCAGCTCCACAAGCGGTCCCGTCCTGGAAACACACAGCTAAGCCTATAGCAGCACAAATGGAGAAAATAGCTCAGGATAACCTGAGTAATTTGGGTGAGGTATAAGAACAGTAGAGCCACAGTGGGACCAAGGTAGAGTCAAGGAGAAGAGATAGATGTTAGAGAAAAACATCTAATGTGTTTTTCTAACATAGTTTCTCCCAGGACTTTTTCAGCTCCATCCATCATACCATCAGCTTCAATTTTCCTACTGGAGAAAGTCTACAGTAGCAGCTTGTAGACAACATTCCCATTGCATAATGCTGCCACCACCATATTTCAATGAGCAGGATGATGTGTTCAGGGTGATCTGTTGTATTTCCAGGATGCATGAATCCTTTCTATTATTTTTTTTCAATTATCCCCTAATTGAAAAGTGAAGAGATTGGCTTCATACCAGTTTCAGTCTAAATACAACGAACATGGTTTATGTATAATGGAAATGCTGGTTTATGCATAAACCTGTGGAAATAAGGATGCTATAAAATGTGCTTTAGATTTAGATCCTGATAGACTCATTAAATCAAGTGCATTTTTTAAAAGGTTTCACTGTTATCTGTAGTTTGTTAAATATGGTTTTGTGTATTTAAAACAGTTAAAAGTTAAGACTAAGGATAGAAGTATTGATAAACAGTGCAAAGATAATTATCCCTTTTTTCGATGCTTTAAATGTGAGTTTTTGATATTTAATTTAATTCGTATGCGCTTGTCATTTTTTAAAAGTATTTAAATTTGGGGTAAATTGACCTTCTTGGTTATCAGGTTACAATCCTTTGATCCTTTTTGTGTTTTTCCCCTGTTTTTATTAAAAGGTGTATCACCTGATTGTACATTGGCAACTTTCAAAATAAAAGAAAGAAAACAAAGATTTGATTTTTGATCATTAAAAGGAGTCCTGTTAAAGGTCTTCTGAAACAAGTTCCCTTTTCAAGTTGGGGAAAATGAAGCCTTAAAGCAAAGGTCAGAGCCACTTCAAAATGAATAAATAATTATTGATGTAGTTTCATACCATAATACAAGAATGATTTATAAAATATGGGCATTGAACCGCCTAGAACTGTCAAGTAAAGCTATTTTCTCCAAATATAACTCAATTGGAAACACCAACTGACAAAAAAGCATTGGTTTTCAAAAGATCAAGGTTGGGATAACATCTCTAACACAGATTTGTTATTGCAAAATATGAATAGCAGCTCATAGAGAAGTGCAGCAAAGTAACTTTATAGTATTTGGATAATTTGAAACAGTGATTTTCAAAAAAACACAATGTAGCTTAATTTCTAACAGTGTCCAATTTCTAACATTGTTTTCTTGTAGCAAAGAAAAAAGACAGTAGCTCCTAGGACTGTGTATACAAGTCGACTTCCCATGAATTAGGTAAATTTGAAAAGCTAAGATGATAACAGTCTCATGTTTTGACTTAATGACTTTTGGTCTGAGCAAAACAGAAGAATTAAAAAAGTCAACATACTAAGATTGAACATTTCATGTTATCCCTTAGTTGTCTAGTGTCACCAATTGTTTCATACCTGAATTTGCATTAAATATAGATGAAATCCTAAAATTTGTCACCTCTGTTTAATCCAACATCAACTAAAAGGAAACAATTGGTAAATGTTTTGTTCAACTGGGTATGAATTTAGACATTAAGGGGTTACTGGAGGATGTATTTTTTTTGTCCCTTTTAATTAAGATGATATTTATGTGATAAGTTTATAAAAAAGAAAGGAAGAAAGCAACTGGGTTACCAGCAGAAGTTTTAAAATAAAGCAGGTCAAAGACTGTACAACAACAAAATAGAAAACAAAGCTTAAGTTTTATTTTGTCATATAATCATTACTGAAGAAAGACAGATGAAAATTTGTTGCTGTAGATTTTTAAAGCTATGAGAAGACTTTTTATTATTTAATTGTCTTCCTAATTGAATATCCCTTATTAGTAATCAGAGATATTTCCCCAAGATTTGCTTTCTTTTTACCCTTACCTAGTGGTATGATATAATTTCTTTTTTTTCCATGTTTTTATGCAAACAAACCTGCAAGTAGTAAGAACAGCTTAAAGTTTAAAGCAGTTCCCCAAAGCTCCCAGTGATAAACTTCTCCCTTATTTCATATCATCTACTTTACTTTCTCATAGGCTTTTACAGCTTACTGTATAAATATTTTGGTTACGATCGTCAAGGTATCAAGTCCCTGTACTTGTTGACTATTATTACTATTTTATTATTACTGTTATTCAATATTTTGTTTTTACAAAGCATGCCGGTCTGGTAATGTGAAATTAGTTGATCTTATAATAAGAATAAAGAGAAGTCTATTAATAAGTTTCCAACATTTGAGTTGTCCAGATGTGTGTTTACTCGAGAGTGGAAAATAATTTTGAAAGTGAAATAAATTTATCATAGAGAACAGATTTTCACACAGATAGCAAAAAATTGATGTTATTTGAAACTGCAGAAAAGTTTTTAGAGAAAATATTTTGTCTTTTAATAAATAAAAGATAAATTGACATTTGGAAAATGATTTCCAAGGTAAAATATCTCTCTCAAAATTATATTTTTACGACAGTGGCTCGTCTCTTAAATTAAGGAGTCTTTTAGTGTTGGAAAAGCCAATAGGTCAGCATTAAGCACCAAATACAATCAGAAGATCATCATCTATCTAAATACATGACTCTGGCCAGGTACTGGAGTTTTAATCAGCAAACACAAACCACTTAAAACAATTACAATATAACTCAGGACTTCTCATTTACAGTAGTATATACACAGCATAAGCGTGTGAAATATAGTTTATTTCGGTTGATTAGATTATTGAAAAATGATCTCATACATGCTTTTAAAGAAGATCCATTGTGTAAAAAAACATTCTCGTGCGTTTATTAGATTTGTGCTCTATAGAGCTGAGTCTCTGCAGCACATAGAGACACAACAGGCTTCAAATCTCATCATAATTTTCAGAGCAATCAGGCTGGAATGGAGAGGGAGGACTTCCCTAGAAATGTGTTATTTGTGACACCTTTAAATGTTGTTCTTTAGACTTTTTAACATTGACATACTGCCTTCATTGAGCGTCTTTATTGATTTGAGGAACTGCCAGGCCACCATTTGGGAGATGAGCCTCAGCAGAATTGATGGTAAGGAGCGAGACGGACATAAGACGACATAGTGTTCACTAACACCATGATTTATTTACAGAAACACATTGAGATCACTTCCAAAATGAACAATGCTGTCCATTCAGTTTTGATGTGACCTATCTGTTTGGCAAATTGGTTATAAATAAAAAAAAAAAAAAAGAAATAGGTCTTGCTTTTAAAATAGGATTTGCCGTGTTGTTGTTCAGATACCCATCAATAAAAGAAGACCACTCCTCCCATGTTGCTCATTTAAATTAGGGATCTTCTCTTTGTCATGGGTTTAATCGTGCTTGAAGAGCCAGAACTGCTAAACAGTGAGTGGTATGTAATACACCACATGCAACCTAATAATCAAGTCATCAGGCGTCCAGTTTTTTGTCATTACACACTAAACTACCGTACTGCAGCAAGGTTAAACGTGATAATTAGCAAGCTGCCAACAACAAAAAGGGTCTGCAGCCTGTTTTTAACAGAGTTCAGATCTTATCATTACCTGGTTGTTGTTACCTCAATATAGTAAATGTGGCAGATGGCGACTGAACCGCCATATTTGTCGATATCTTCATTTAAGTCCGAGGAAACCCAGGCAAAAACATGGAACAAGAAAAAATCCTAATTGTCCAGGATGCAAGCTATGTACACATTTACATTATATACATCCCTCCTTCCCCAAACTAAAGGAACAATGCATGTTTTTCCAAGTCTTGAAGAGTCCAAACAGAAGTTCTGGGTTGGAGAAATGAAACCCTGACATCTCCCTCTGAAAGACAGAGATTCTCCAAGTATAATCTGCTGAAGCACAGTGTTGAAAACATTCATTTCAGTCAATTGCTTGTAAAAAACCTGTGCATCATTGCAGACGAAGCATGCCGAATGAAGTGAAGGGCTGCGTCGAACAAAAAGTGCATTCAGCCATGCATATAGCATGTTACAGTAAAATAGACAGCCTTTACTGATATAGCCTAAGTGGCATTGCTGAAAGCAAGCAACCATTTAGGAAGAAAAGCCAAAGCAAAATACACTCCATCAAAAAATCAACAACAAAACTAAGCAAGTTGTTTTAGAAAATGGTTAAAACACATGTTATCTATAGTTTGAGAGCAGTTATGATACTATCTCTGAATAGGCTTGGTTAAAATTACAGTTTAATGTATCAGATAGTAACATGGGGATTTAGAAGTAAATGTCCCTAAAATGATCTATTTGATTTAACTGCTTGCCAACTAATGTTACCTCAATAAAAGGTAAAGGGTGGTATTTACTTTCAGTCAGCTGATTGCAGCATGTGGTGGAGGGGCAGTGCAACATTATACCAGATTATGCCAGTTCTGTTTTTCATGTATAAAGCCTAAATAACAAAACTCATCAGATTGTTATTTATGTTCCTAACAGAGAACACCATTCTCAGGTTTATTAGTGGTTCCTAGAATTTCTAAAAGTAGAATGGGAGGCAGATCTTTTAGTTATCAGGCTCCTCTCCTGTGGAACCAACTACCAGTTTTAGTTTGAGAGGCAGACACCCTTTCTACTATTAAGGCTAGGCTTAAAACTTCCCTTTTTAAGTAAAGCTTATAGTCAAGAGTGGCTCAGGTTATCCTGAGCTATCTCTATAGTTATGCTGCTATAGGCTTAGACTGCTGGAGGAAATAGGGACCACTTTCCTCTCTCTGCTTCATTCTATTTCTATTCTCAAATTCTGCATTATTTGTTGGTTCAAATCCTAACCTAATGTTCTCGCTCCGTTTTCTCATCATAGCAGCTTCATCTGGTCTGATCCTGTTTGGCTGTGACTCCAACCTAGGGGGAAATATCAGCTGGGCTTCTGCCACCAAAAATTCGATTATAAAGTTGGGCCTGTTTTTAGTGTGAAGTCCTGTTTCACTCCCAGACATAGGTATGGGTTCGGCTTTCATTTTGACTAATCATGTGTACTCTCTTTCATCCCTTTGACATAAAAACTGGCTCAGAGCTCATCTGCTTAATTGTTGCTTTCCAAGACAGAGCCACCTATAGTTTGTAACCTTCTCTGACATAGAAAATATTTCATGGATCATTGCTTCTATGTTCCTTTTTTGTGTATGCTTCTGTCTCCTTGAACCCCAGTCACCCTAAGCAGATGGCCGCTCTCACTGAGCCTGGTGCTGCTAGAGGTTTCTTCCTGTTAAAGGGAGTTTTCCTTTCAACTGTGGCTGCAACCAAAGTCAATCACTGGATGCAGTCAGCTGGGTTTCCTTAATTTAAAAACTTACAATCTGGGGATGATCTGATTGAACTGATTCTGTAAAGTTGCTTGAGATGACGTGGGTTTTAAAAAAAGTTAAATAAAAGTGAAATGAAACTTAATTGAAATAACCTGTGGGTAGTTGATAAAATTACATCAATTGTGAGAAGATCCTTTCTCTGTGTTGGAGCTAAAGATGATCTAGACCTGAGCACTATTGGGATTTTAATTAACATTTTTTAGATATTTTTAATGTATTTTTATATAAATGTAAATAGCAATCTAATTAGATGGAACTGCAGCAAAAAAAAAAAAAAAAAAAAAAAAAAAAAAAAGCTGAATAGTTCCATTGTAATGGGAGGTAATGTCTGATATATGTGTAATTGTAATAAACAGGGCCTCTAAAGTGAGTCTGGCATGACAGAGCTCTCTATGGTTCCAGATAGAGAGCTCTGTGTGCTACTTGTGGAAAAATCTGATCAACATCTTTACAACTCAAAACAGTTAGTAGGAATACATGCAGCAAAAGAAACCATGGCAGGAACCATGGTACAGCAGTGCATTATATCTGTCATTGTTTGCTAGTTATCTGCAGATCAGCACGTTTAAGACATGTCATGTTCCACTGACACACCATGCAGTATCTTATGCAATTTTGCTTTGAAAACGGCTGACATGCCAACAGTCAATTGAAGGTCGTATTCTTCTTACGGTATTTTACATACAGAAGTCTGGACCTAATAATGAAGGGCTGTACTCAAACTATAAACAGAGTTTTGCATTTTTTGCAAAAAACACTCTCACTGATTCCAAATCACTGTGTATGTCATTGGTTTGTCGTTTCCTGTCGCACATGTCTTTGGCATGTAAAAAACATGATTTCCCAGATCATGATCGTTAGCCTCCGATCATGAATTAGCTTGTCTTCTTTTGTCGATCCAGGAATTTTTGTCTTCTGTCTGGAGGGAGCTCATCCAGTCCAATGCCATGATTGGTTCCGCTGTAAGAGCAACAAGAAAACAGCTTTTATGTTTTAAATACAGAACCTGAAAATACCCTCAGCAAATATAACACAAGATAATATGTGTTTACAGATAGCAGTATTAAGAAGAGTAGAAATTAGGACTCATGTTCTTCAAAATCAAAGCCTCTTATTTCACCGACTGAGTTAAGGGTCTTCAACTTTTTCCAGTTCATGACGGAGAGACGGAGGAAGAATACCCTTGCTGATGACAAATGTATAAACTGTTAAACCCAGAGGGTTTTTAAACTCATTACAACTGAAATATACAACAAAATGTATCAAGAATAACAATACATTTACCAGCTCTTAATGCAAACTTTTGGTACTTGTTAAAAGGAAGAATATTTTTCTAATTAAAGCAACATTGCGGATGTTACTTTGGAGAAGCAGCATTCAGTTCCTTTGCTTTGCTTATCTAGAACAAACTTCAAGAAGACTGCAAAAGTGCAGAAAGCCGGAGTTCCTTTGAGTGAAAGTTAAAAACCCATTTGTTTAGAACTCCCTTTGACTGAGGTATCACTGGTTTAAGGTTTATATTTAGTTATCACCTGATTTACCACCCTTTTTTTTATCTTTACTGGCTTTTAATTGTCTATTTCATTGTTTCAGTCATTTAAAGCACTTTGAATTGGCTCTGTAATGAATTGTGCTATATAAATAAACTTATTTGTGGTTAAAACAAAGTAAATCCTAAATTTGAAATCTGGTCGTATCCCTAAAGCGGCCCCCCATATGACATCCATGTTAAGGGCTTATTGGTTTTATTATGAAAAGGCTAGCTTCTACACAGGGCTGGACTGGCCATCAGGGTAATGCCCGTGCCGTGGTTTTGGATCTGTTTAAGTTTTCCTTTTGAGTTTTCATTTGTTTAATTTAAATTTTTTGTTATTCAAGTTGTTTTTGGTTTATTAGTTCTTATGTATTTCTTGTATACCCTCTGTTGCCCCCTTGTGTCAATCTCCTTCCCCTTGCTCCCTTCTAGATGCTGAGCCATGACAGCCCGGTTGGCCATAGTGAATTTCTGGACCTGTCCTAGGCTGTCATATGTCAAAGGCTGCATAATCAATTCAATGTGTTCATTTCAATAAATAATTTATTAGTTTAACTAAATTAATGTATTAATATAGTGTTAAAAAATGCAAGGATAGGAGTATAGGGCACATGAAATATGTCCTTTTTATAATTTTATCAATTTAAGAAACTGTAGCTAGAAAGATCAGTGTGTCTCAACCTTTGGAAATTAATAATAAACAAAACCACATGAAGGTTTTAAGTGACTTTAAAACTAGATGGCAGAAAAAATTATGCAGGAGGACTCAGATAAGGAGGAGAAGGGGAGAGACATGCCCAGAAAGAGAGTCTGAGGAGGAGGAGGAGGAGGAGGAGGTCACAATAGCTGCTTACAGCCATGTAAGGAGTAACAGAGTATGTTAAGACTGACTAATAAAAGAAAAATTAAGAATATTCATTCACATCACAAGGACACGTGCCCCTGTTATTAAAATGCTGGTAAAGGAAAGGGATGAAGTCAGCTACTAGCATGCAGTAATGAAAACATGTATTTCCATAAAACATGCAATCATTGTGCTTTAAAAAGAGTGTGTCAGCATTATGTATAATTCAATACAAAAGACAGAGGATTCCTGTAGGGAGAGCAGAGGGATGCTTTGTGTGTAAACGGGCGTGGGGTTCTGTGTGTGTGTAATATGGAGGGAAAAGAACACGTCTCTTAAACTGAAATCTATACAAAATGCTATTTAGAAATGGAACTTTAAAAAAAAGTTTTAAATTAATAAAATGGTTTTGAGAGTATTGCTGTTTTTTCAGGTATTATTTTTCCATATTCTATATTTGCTCCATACATCTTCTCCCGATAAGTTCAGTCGTGTTTTTATTCTTTGGGAGGAAGCCAAAGTACTAGGAGAGAACTCACACATGCACCAGGAGAACATGTAAACAGCATACAGAGAGACCCTGGGTAGGGATTCAAACCCAGGACTTTCTTGCTGCAAGGCAGCAGTGCTACAAACTGCACTACTGTCTTTTTGTTTGTTTTTTTTGTTTTTTCACAGGTTTTATATTATCTCTTCTGCCAGTCTGCATGGATATCAGCAAGGACCTTTCTTACTGTCATGAGCAGGCGTTTATTTTTGGCTTATGTGAAGAGAAAGTATAGTAAAAATTATTTATTTGAAAAAATTAAACATGAAAAAAATATGAGAAAATATATTTTTTGAAAAACAGAAAGTGTTAGTATTGTAATATTTTATATTCAATATATATATATATATATTATATAGATTATTTTCCTAGTTCTGGTCGAGCTACATTCATCCTCAAATTATTATTAGACATCCCAGTACAAGTTTGGTTAAATTTTAAAAATTAGTTTTAAACAAAATTATTAAATAATTCACTTTAAAAAAAAAAAATTTGAAATGTGTTCACTGCTATCAAACTACTGTAAACATTCGTTTCAATAGTTTCAGTGTAACCAGGAGAGTCTGAGGAATAATAAGTATCTATTCACAATTTAGTATTATGACAGAGGCCTATTTAAACAGCCTGGGAACAAACAAGCATCAATATATTTTAAATTTTGAAAAACTGCTAAACTTTTATTGCTCAGATTATTCCAAAAAGATTATCCATGACTCAGTTAACCTTTCCATACAAACAAATATTAACAAAACAGATTCTCCTAGATTCTTTTCAATTATAGCATGGATTTTGTTCCAATATCGTTGCCAACAAAGAAAACTTTTTGTAAATGAAAATTAAAAAAACATATTTTATAAATACAAATTGAAAAAAAAATTTAAACCCAGACTGAATCTTTAAAAAGAATTAGTCAAAAAAAGTTTTGAGAGGAACTTTTCTGTTTTCTTAGGTTTTATTTTTTCCATTTTTTTTATCTTTATTTTTTCCAATGTCTCTTTTTCAGATTGAGTTTTATAAATTGTGTTATTTTCTAATTCTGTTTTACAGATCACAATCTATTCACCCCAACAGTAATGTTGTTGCTGACCCTAATGCAGACCAATAGAAATGCATCTTCGCTTCTCAGTCCAGAGGAATGCCCGCCCCCAGAAGTTCAAATGTACACTGCAAAAAATGGAAATCTAAATAATAATTTTTTCCTAAACTAAGTGCATTTGTTCTTGAATTGAGGAGGTAAGTGAGACACTTTGCCAATGGAACAAGACAATTTACATTTAAAATAAGAAAAAGCAACTGCATTGTCTTTTTTCAAGTGCATATTATCTAATTATCTTATTTTAAGAGTAAAAATACTTATTCCATTGGCAAATCATCCTATTTACCTACTAAAATTAAGGTAAAATACACTTGATTGAAGGAATTTTTACTTATTTCTAGATTGTTTTTTGCAGTGTAAATGAACTTATTTAAAAAAACATTATCAATTAATTTCATTATAATATATATGATTATATAGATTATATAATATACTCATTCATATAATTTGACGTAGCCTTTTTTCATGGTACATTTATTTACTTCATAATAAATGTACACCTATTTAAATTACACAATATTTAATAATAAAATTTTGTTGTCTTAAGTCTCCATAGGAAATAGAAGTGGAGAAGTTTTGAGTACTGAGTAGAAATGATTTGAATATTAAACTATTACTCCTTTTCTGAAGTTTTTTAATTGAATAAATAAAAAGGTTAAATAAAATGTAACAGCAAATCAAGATTCCATTTGGAGAAACAGCTTCATTCAAAGAAACGTGCAAGTAAATTACTAACTCAAGTTTGTTAAAAAACAAGCTTTACCTCTGAATAGTATTAACTCTGACCACACAGAATTTTCTGTGTGGTCAGAGTTTCCTATCCTTTACCGAGTAAATAGGACTCCGGTTTATCAAATGTTCAATTTCTGAGTATAATTGTAACTGCGAGGATACAACTGTGTACAACTACTGCATTTATGCTTTCCTGGCTGAATGCAAATAATCTTGCTGCAGCTATAAGGTTGTCTACACCTCTGCCATGAACATTTAACATTGCACTGTTTAAATAAGAGAAAATACATTCAGGAATATTTGGAGAGGCAAAGAAAATGTTTTCCTACTCTTTGGTGTCCATGGGAACCGGCAGAGGCTTGTTGAAACCTTCCTTCCCCACCAGCCAATAGGTGGTCTCAACACCCTTTCCCTAAAATCAGATCATATTATGCTTTAATTTCTGCAGAAGGGACAGTTTTATCCTCTGTACATATTAAAGAGTAAGAGTTAACCCTTTAGAAGTACATACCTTCAACTCTGTCAGACCCCGGACCTGAATCTTGTATCCCATCTGCAAGTTGTTCAGGATGTCGACTGTCGTTTGGTTAACATGGATTCTGTAAGCTAAGCAAGTGGAAAAGTGTCACAGTGTCAGTAATGCAGAAATGTCTTTAGAACTAGTCCAAGCAGATGGATGTGAGTTAGAATTATCGAATACCTGGCTCTAAACTGTAGGACTACATGTGGTTTATCAAAAATAGAGGTGGTTCATGTATTTAAGAGTTTGTTACATTCTTAAGACTAATTTAATTTAGTCATATGAATTGCAACCTTTTCAAATTGCCTTTTAGCAGTCACATTCTGTTCACTTCTGGGGGTGGGCCGTGGAGTGAGGACATATTTCTATTGGTCAGCATAGACCTTAGCAACAGTTTCATTGGTCAAGAGTTATAAGAGTGTTTTTATTAGATTGGAGGTTACAAGAATGTGATCTGCAAAATGCAATTTAAAAGGAAGGAAATTCATAAAATAAAAAAAGAAAGAAAAAAATTAAATATAAAAAAAAATAGTAAAACACAATCATAAAGTCTGGAAAAAATTTAATAAAAAAACAAACATTAAAAATATTAACAAACAAGTATTTGAAAAATAAAATCTGAAAAAATAGCACCATTACTCTTAAAACTTTTTAATCGATTTTTTTTTTCTTCATGGATGGATTATATTTCTTTGTTCATGTTTTCATTTGGAAAAATTCTTCTTTGCTTGCAAAAATAATGGAAGAAAATTCACTCCATACAAATAGTTATAACTTTTGCGTTAAGATGGCAGCACACATACGTAAACATAAAAAAAGGAAATATACTAACAAAAATTAAAAGTCTATTACTTTTTTTTTATTTTAGGTTTTAACTGAAAACTTTGAGCCAGTGATCAACATGGAACACAAAGCAATAATTGATTGGTTTAAATGCTTTGGGTTCTATATGATCAACAGTTTGTTAAGTCTATGTTTACACATTATTTATTTTAATCTATTACATTGGTTATTTTAAGATTTCCTGGTTACGGTAATTACCTAATTGATGGTAATTTCTAAATAAGTGTGAAAATACTTTTTAAAGATAAAATATTAAATTGGTCAGAGTCTCTTCTGTCATCTCTTATTTTGAGAGATTGATTCTTGTTACAATGCAGAAACCAATCTGAAATATTTGAAATACTTTTAAAATAAGTACATTTAAATAAAAAATAATGTGTTTTCAGCACAGGGGCATAAGATTCTCTGTCTAGAAATGGTTATGTTGGGTTAAAGGATTGTCAATAATATGAGAAAATAAAATGTAATTGAATACTTATATTTTGACATATCCTCCCTCTTTTTAACATTTCTAAACAGTGGGCCGTGGGCAGGCTGCTCTAACATCACCTACAACCGGGCTAAGCCAGTTTTCTGCAACTTCAGTCTCTTTCTGAGTTGGATAGAAAGAAAAACTAACACGCTTTTTAGTTCCTTTTATGCCAAAACAGTCAAGGTCTGATCATTTGACTAAACATGGAAGATCCATTATTTATTAAAGCAATTATTCAGCAAAGTTGGAGGGACAATTATGCTATATGAGGTGAATTCTGCTGTTTTATTGTTGCAATGAACACATTTAGTAAATGAAAACTTACAAAATATGTAATTGAAGAGAATTGAAAAGAAAAGAATTGAAAAAAAGTTTTCAATAAAGATTGTGAGGGTCTTGAGAATAACTTTGATGTTTGATTGTTTTTTTTGTTTTTTTTTTGTTTTTTTTTAAGATTTTATCTTGCCAGTAATTTTTTTACCCAATTTTTCTTATTCTATTTTCATAATGTATTTTTTACAGATTATTTCCGTTTTCAGATGTGGTTTTATAACCTGCATTCTTGTCAAGTTGCGTTACACATTAACTTTACTTCTAGGGGCAGCCTTTCCTCTGGAGAGGGAAGACACGTTTCTATTATTCTGCATGGATGTTAGCATCAGTATTTGGTACAAATTACTTCAATATAAATAAGAATTGAGGCATAGAAATTTCCCTCATTTAACAAAAGTTTTAGAATTAAATAAATAAGGGGCTCAGGTTAAATGTACCAGATAATTGTGGAAGTAAGATCAATTCACTTAGTTTTCTAGGGGAGAACCTGCACACTGCCAATATTTGAATCTGGTTAATGTTTAATTTTGCTCCACTAGGGGGCAGCAGACCCCAAGTGGTAGTTTCAGTCAGTTAAATTAAACATCTGTCCATCCATAATCCCCAGCATTTGATTTTAAATTGTGCAAAAGAAAAAAAAAATGTGTTTGATTAAAGAGTTACTAATCTAATAAGCAGTACTTCTTATACATAAACCTAAAGATTTCATGGATGAATTAATTACCTTTTCTTTACATTAAATGTTAAACCTTATGTATGAATTTGAAAAGTAAGCATCAGTATGACAAATTTAAATGTGGTAATTATTTAAGTTTATCCTGAAACTTCAACTTGGCCTTTAATTCTGCTGATAGTGTTAAAGGATTAGTGAGCACTGCTCTCCTAAAGCCCCATTTAGCCTGAGGCAACGTGTACTCAGACTGCCATACACCTGTCCTCCAGCCCAGGGGGCTCTTAAAAAAAATTAAAATGAAAAAGTGATTAGTGTTGAAATCTTGTATTTAAAAAGACTCACGCAAACTGGTGGACTCCATTCGAGATGTAGTGTTGACCGTATCTCCAAAAAGACAATACCGAGGCATCGTCAGGCCGACCACTCCTGCAACAACTGGACCTGTGATTGAAGCAAGTGAAAACAAACATCCAGATGTTTTTGGAACATCTTCTCTGATCAGTAATATGACATTTAAAAAAACATATAATTTCGTTTTTATTTCACTGGATTAAAGTATCTCTGACTGGAAACTGCAAAAATTTTAATCTAAGTAAGTCAGATTTTCTTGAAATGAGTGTTTTATTTATTTATTTTTTTGAGCAGGCCAATTGAATAAAATGATTCAAATTAAAATATTGATTTAAAATAAGAAAAAACTCTGTTATCCTATTCCAAGTGAATATTAACTTATTATCTAATTTAAGGGCACAAATAATTATTCCATTGGCAGATCATCTTATTTTTCTGCACAAATTTAGGACAAATAAACATATTTTAAGAACTATTTATTAATGTTAGATCACGTTTTTACAGTGTAAATGGCATTCTAACTGAGAGAACACAGAGAAAGAGTCAAAGGTCCAGAGTGTGCAGTTACTTAATTGGATGACAGCACTCTAAGTGGATAGTGTTTCGGTGTTCCAGGAACGAGTTTCAGACGAGGATAAAAGAGGTAAAAATATCTCGTTTACTTAGCCACTCGGGGACTCGGCTTCTTCTTTAACAGCTGCTCACTCTGAAATGAAGTTTTGGTTTATTTGACCCCGTATTACTCTGAACCCACACATTTAACTACTGACTTCCTGCACTTTTTAGTTTCTTCTCTTTGCATTGTGCAGCAAGTTTCTTTTATGATGCTCATGTAATAAGAAATGCATTGCATGGGACAGTTTTTTTAGAAATAAAAGAAAAATATTTTAGTAAATCTCTCATAATTTTATGCATCTTGAACTCTTTTATGGGAGCTTTTCTGTAGCATATATCTGTGGGCTCTGAGGGACCTTCCAAGGAATTGGCTCAGCTCTTAGCTGTCCTTGGTTAAGTTTTCTTTTAAAATAATTACACTTTAGTTCAATTACATTTTCAGTCCTTTGAAGCCACTGGTTTCAGAAATCTACTTTATTTGCATTAATATTTTTTTATTCAAAAATATTTTTGGATCATTTAATTAATTGTTATTTTATTTTATTTTTTTTTTTTTTAAGATTTCCTTCATATTATGATATATTTTTAACTAATTACTGTTTGACTAAAATTCTGTTTGGGTGTGAAATTATTTATTTTTGGTATGAAATGACCAAGACAGAAATATATAGATCAGAGTTTTTGGATGGAGACAAAGGAGATGTAACTCTAAAAATTATTATTTTTGAATCCTTGGGATTCTTTACAATACATTTAAAAAAGAGCTGATTAATGATTAAAAAATGCAGCCATGAGGGTTACTCAAAATATATTGTTCAGTTTTAAAGAAATGTTCAGATATGGTTTTTGAGGTACATGGTGGTAATGTTGGGGGTAATAATTATCTACATAAAGGAGGAACTTGATATTCACCGGAGTGCAGGCCGATGCGGATTCGGATTTTCAGGTCAGGCATGTGTCTAGTCTTGAAGCTTCCAATCAGGCTCAGAATATCAAGAGACATGTTGGCCATCTCAGCTGCGTGACGGTTGCCGTTCCTGGTGGGGACTCCAGAAGCTACCATGTATGCATCACCAATGGTTTCCACCTGAACACCACAAAACGAAGAGGTGAACAAACCCATCTGCAGGATTTTCGTCTCGACCTGCATTTACAAATCATTAGGAAGCTAAAAAGTGAACCAAGGAAACTAAACCCCAATAATAAAATATGCTTGCATGATGGAAAAGTCCATCATAAACTAACGAAATTAACCTTAAGTTTTGAAAAACACTAATCACTGTTGCGTTTGGCTAGAAATAAAATAAAAAATAAAAATACAGATTTGTCTGGATGCACAGTCCATAATTAAATTTTATTAAGAAGCTAATAAAGTATTCTGTATCGTTAAATTATTTATCAATGGTAGTAATTCAGTGTCTGTTGTTCACTTCTGTCTCATCCTAATAAAAAAACAAAATGAAATTAGAATAAGGAAGATAAGTAAGAGTAAGTTTGCAACAAATGTATTGAAACTAAGTTTCCACTGATGAATACAGCTAACTTATATATTTTTAGGTTGTGCACAGTACTATCATGTTACCAAAGGTTTTTAAGTCTATTATGTACCTTGAAACACCTAAGGGTTACAAACAACTTTCAGAAATCAACTGAAACCATAAAGTAATGACCAATACTCTATTTTCATTTTAATACCTTTTAGAGGTGATATCAGTTTTAAACAATTGATATAAAGAATCACATTTTTGTTGCTGCTTATGTTTAATTAGCCTAAAATAAAGGTTAGTGGGCTTTACTTGGAATCATGTTGATCAAAAGCAGAGAGGAATATGATCCACAGATAAAAAGCAAAGTCTGACAGTTAAACAAATATAACTATAGACAATGTGATGCAAAAATCTATTTTGGGTGTGAAGGTTATCAATGGCAGAATATAAAGTAAAACAGTGGTCTGCTATCTTAAAAATGTCAAGAAAAAAAACATTAATAACTAAATGTTTCATGAAATGTAAGAATACCACCTTTAAAAAAAACGAATAACATTCAGAATAAAGCTTCTTTTAAATGCTGCAAACAGGCTGCTAACGCTGACCTTGTATACGTCATGCAACGGAATGATGGCATCAAAGAGCGTATAGAGATCGTTGAGCAGGTCAACCACCTCGATGGGCTCGCTCAGAGCTGAGATGGTGGAAAAACCCACAATGTCACTAAAGTACAGCGTGACCTCGCTGAAATGCTCCGGCTCCACAGGCTTGCCCAGCTTCAGCGCCTGGGCCACAGACCTGAATGAGGAATGTGGTTCAGTGTCCTTTTCTAAAACATATGTACATTCAAGCTGAAACATATTTCTAAAGCAGAATTAAAGGTATAGTGGAGGATGTTCTTTTTCCGGGTGGATCATCTAAATAAGTGGTCCTCCTTATTGTCAATCATTCTGGTGATATGTTTACGAAAGGGTGGCCTTAGCTTTCATTTTCTGCGCATGCACACTTTCAGGCGTATATCTGTGGTGAGCTACGGTTTCAGACAGTCATTGAAGCTCACCTGTCTCACTGACGTTCTTTTAAAATGGCCGAGGTTCATAAGAGAAAAAGTGTCTAAGAAGTTTATGAAAAGAAACGAAAGGCCTCAGAAGAGTCATATATATCCCAGAATGCTTTGCGTAGAGAGCTCTCCACGCAAAGCATTCTGGGATTTGCTGTCACAGTTGCCTGTTGTTACCATAGGCTGTCGCTACCCGACAGCTGCAACTAATAACAAAAATGGATCAGGCACCACACGGCGGAGGAGGACTTACGTGACCAACGGGGAGCAAAAGCAAGTGATCATCTGTCTGAACGGTCAGTTAAAGACGGGCATACACGGTGCGATTTTTTTGCCCTTTTCGGGCCGATTCTCCAGTCATGTGAGAATTTTTAGATGGGGCCGAGAGTCAGCCTCATCGCACGTTGTGCATTGTGTACTGTACAGGGGGTAACCGGGGGCGATTAGCCTCTCACGACCACATCCCGATCAGGAATCGTAAGGTCGGGCGAAAATTAAACATGTTTGAAATTCAGTCGGCCGTCGTAAGATCGCATCAGAGTGTGAGGCTGCACAGTGTGAGCACATGCATTGTCCACTATATAGCCCCCGCTCTATATAGTGATTGAATGATATAGGGGTTAAGGCGGACGTTTGGACACAGTAAGCTTGTATGAGTTATGATAACAGCAGCTTTCAAACAGAGCCTGCACAAGCCCATTTCTGCTCGTGCAGGCTCTGTTTGAAAGCTCACACGCGTTTAATAGGCGTTCCCTCTCGATAACGGGTACAGGGGTGTGCATGCACATTTTTTTAAGTGGAGAGGGCGGGTCTTTTAAAAATTCCTCCACTACACCTTTAGGACAAAGAATAGTTAGTTTTAATTAAACATTGTGATGAAAATTATAACCTTGTTCACCTGGACTATAAGCAGATTCATTATTTTTTAAACACCATTGTTTGCTAGGCTATACAATATTTGAACATTCTCTTAAATTCTTCTACAGGGTGAAAAAAGAAACAGTAGGAATGACAAAGTTGCTCTATAATGTTTTATTAATTCATTAATGAATTCTCCTCACAATAATGAATGAGTTTGTTCACACAGAATAACAGTATTATTTTATCTGCTTATTAGTTAGCGCATGCTAATGCTAACTATGTTAAAATTCAGACTTGGACCAAAATAAAATTGTTCAAATGAACACAAACAAGCTTTGAAGCTTTATTTATTTATATTAGTCAAACTTATTTTTTTCCTTGGCGGTGTAAATTGAATATTTGATTTACATTTTCAACTTTAACTACAGCTACACTTTGGAGAAATTGAAGGTTAACATTAACGGTATGAGTTAATGTGAGATGTTTATCAATAAATGTCTTTAAAGACATTAAAAGATTGTAATGTTATTTATTTTTTAGTTCTAATCAATTAAATTAATCTTTAAGTGAGGAGGGGCTAGTGTGTTTTCACAATCCTTGTTATTATCATCCCTGATGTACACGGAGGCTCAAAATATATAATGAAATAACGTATATAAATGTCCCACAAGCCAAGTAGATGTAATATTTATAATATTTGATACGTAATATACAACTAAATTGTAAAATGCACAATTCAATAGACAATGAAACATACATTCAAAATTATATTAAATATTGAATATTTAAAAGTATATAATCTATAAATATAGAGTGAAGTTATATTTATTTTTAGATGCCTATTGTGTACCCTGAAGCATATGCCAAAGTGTTTTGCAACCTCTGGTTTAGTAATTCAAGTGCAGTTGTAATTCCACCCTTTGGTAGTTTTTCTTTTTGTATTAGGATACCAGTAAACTAGACCTACTTTTTCAGAAGAAAACGGAAACCAATTTTCCAAAATATAACCCACCCCTGTAGTTGACAAACACAACCAAGTGCAATCATAATCAATCAATTAGATTAGCCAGAGGGTTTTGTTATAATGGATGTGAATATTAGTAGAAGCATTCAATAAAGTCCTCAAAAATGACCAGTGGGGCTTTATGTAGGAGTGAGTGATTAGTGGAAGTCAGAAAACTTACAATCAAGTATGATTTGTTTTTAAAGTGAAATGTTTGCCGATGAATTGGCCCATTCAAACTGTCATGAAAAGGTCAGAGACATGCATCTTAAGGGTTTTTTCTAGGCTTATCTTATTCATGTTGTTGACAGATCTTAGTAGATCTGTCAACATCAGAAATTCCATTTTAGAACACACCAGCACATCTTTATTACATTTTCTCATGTTGAAAACTTACTTGGGCAACATCTGAGCCACCAATTGATCTGTCTTCTGCCTCTCCATCTCCAGCTCTTCAGTCCTCTCTCTGATGAGGTCCTCCAAGTTTGAGGAGTATTGCTCCAACATTCGCAGCATTGAGTCAATTATGTTAGTTTTCTTCCCTTTTGAGACACCCTTGAACTGCCATTAAAAGGGTGTTTCAGAGTGAGGTTCAGTTTATCAGAGAATAACCAGTGAATGCGTTTCCGTATTTTCACCTGTTTGAAGATATCCTCAAATGTTGGCCTCTTCTCTGGATCTTCACTCCAGGCTTGTTTCATTAACTGAATTACATCTAAAGGGGCCTCTTCCACCGATACAATGGGTCGACACAGAGGTGGAGGATCTTTCACCTTGTTTATGATCTCTGTCAAAACACATAATAAGCATGAATATATTGTGAGTCATAGAGTACACAGAACTGAAGGCTATATGTAAATGTCAGAAGTATAAGGTCAATCACCCTTTGGAGGCATGTCCAGCATGCAGAAAGGTGAAGAGCGAGAGACGATCTCCTGCACGATTATGGCGAAACTGTAAACGTCTCCATAGAAAGTGCCTTTCCTCCTCTGACTTGGGTCCCGCAGAAGTTCCGGAGCAGTCCAAAGCAAGTCTTTTTATTGAAAAGAAAAATTCACAACTGTTTGCAATAAACAAGTCGGGCATGTTTGTTATTCTAATTTTATAGGTGTTCTCACCTTCAGGCTTTTCGTCGTCATTTTCTATGTTTTGTGCCATCAGAATTTCATTAAACCCATAATCTGTCACCTTCAGCACAAAGCGCCCATCCACCACACAGTTACGGGATTTGAGCCTCCCATGAATTATGTTGCGATGATGCAGGTACTTCATTCCCTAAGGAAAAAAATAAATAAATGATGTTGTCGGAAATTTTTTATCTCTCTTTTATTATATATTAATTTATCCTATTTACTCAATATAAAAGTTTTCACTCAGTCTGTTTCTCTCTTAAGGCCACACAATTCTCTGCAGGCTTGTGTTTGTAGACCAGACATAGCTTCTTCCCATAACAAATCAGATTCTTTCTCAAGGTTTATTCATAACATGTTACTGTTTAACCAAAGTGTCTGTAATTTGTTATGACTCTGACTACTTTCCATTGTTGTAAGAAAGGGGGAACGAACGCTGTCCAGATCAGAACAGAGCAGAATGCTGTGCCATAAGGGCTGTATGATGACTGTTCTCTCTTTGCAAAGATATAAATAAATGTGCCAACTGAGTGAAATCCATCGATCTCCATTTATTTAACTAGGATGAATACTTGAATACTTTTTCCCACGACATGTATTTTATACTTGTTTATTTTCAAGTATAAAATACTTGTAAAATCCCCCCCCCCCCACACACACACACACACACACAAAGGAGTATTTCTTACTCTGGTGAGATCCATTAACAAGGAAGACTTGAACATCCAGTCAAGACGCACATCCTCATTGCCCAGTAAATCCTCCAGGCTTCCCCTAGTGCAGTGCTCCGTCACAATGCCGAAGATGCCAGAGTCAAAGAACAGGCCCAGAAAAAGATTTAAGTTCTCATGTCTCATCTCCCTTAGCTGAAAGAGAAAACAAATGGTAGCATTTTTGTAATAGCTTATAAATCACTGTAATTTGCTCTTTTGTGACCAAAAAACATGTTGTCCAGTTTTTACTGGGATTCCCAATTTCAACCTTTTTAAAATATTAATGTAATAAAACTTGGACTTGTTTTATGTTTTATATATATATATCAATATTCTGTTTGTACTGCATCTCAGCTTTAATATTATTTTGTTCTTAAGACTAAAGTTCAGGTCCATGATGAAAGATAAACAGGAAAGCCCATGTAGAAAAAAATAACAATTTATCACCAGCCAAGAAAGACCTTAAAATTCAACCCTGCTTTCATAGTTTAAAACATTGCTATATTTGCTATGTTAAAGGTGTTTTTTTAATTATAATTTCTGATTTGTATTTCACTAAACCTGTCACAAATATATAACCTCCAGGCTACCACATACTGTACAAGAACAGATATACTTTGTTAATTTACTCAAGTGTGCAAAAACAAGAACACTGTATAGTACATTTCATACTTTAACATGTGCAGAACATTTTTTTTCCCCAAAATATAATTCTAGTACCAACTGTAACTAATCTAAAACCAGTGCTGTAGAAACAGAATACTTTTATTTAGTTTTAGCACCTCTGAAAGACTAAGCAGATCCTCTCTGTCCTTGCAAAGTATGCCTATCTGCCGATGTGATCATTATGCACAGGAATAACACAAAAGTGAATACTTATTAGCTTAGAAATCTAAGCTTAAGATAAGCATGTTGATTAAGATTAACTAACTCAAAAGGAATCCATCAACAGCTCTCGAGCAAGCTTCCCCTAAACAAAAAGAACAATCTCTTGCAGAGTCACTTACCCTTACAAAGATCACCTCCGTGCTTCCACTTACACTAGAAACCGTTCCTATCGGACATTTCTTTAACCAAACCCAGTCACCCTGGAAGATAAATAAAACAAAACAGTTGTTTTCCTATATCAGAGACGTGAACTCAAAGCAAAAAATCTGTATATCATTGTATCTGGGATTTTCTAACCTCAAATACTGCAACATTTGAACTGTCAGGAGTGGAGGCTAGGTAACTACGACCAGACACAGAGTGGTGAGGCGTCTTCATGTCCCCTTGGCTTTTCATGATGCTTTCATCATTTAGCTTCTGCTTATGCACAGAGATTAAAGAGGTCATGTCAGAGTTAATCACTTGCAGATGTAAAAGATCTGTCTGTATTGATCCTGTTAGACTGACCCGTTTGCTGACTTGGGTATTGATAAAGACCAGATCATCAAGAGTCAGGATCACCTTCGATGAGCCACTATTTCCATCACCACCAAAGCTGAACCCAACCCTGCCTTGTTTTCTGTGCACAAAGACATCATAATAGATTGAGGAAATCAAAACTGATTAAGGTGAGATATCATATTCCAGCCCTGCTATACATACTTTAGATAAAGAAAGAAGTTTACGACACCTCCCAACAACAGAATGAACACCACCAATAAAAAGAGGAAAGTGGTCATATCCATTCCTTTGGAAAGAAAAGAAGAACAAACGTTTGAGTATTTTACAACATCGACTCCCTCGGTGAATAGATATATTGTGAAAAACAGTTTGCTTCCAAACACACTGACCTCCAGTACAAGCAAAGTATGGACTAAACCAGCAACTTGAATCTGTGTAGGGAGTGCTCCCTGCAAAGTGTACGGAGCGACCAAGATATTTCAAGCCCCCAGTCTTGCCATCTGTGTGACTAGCATGGAGAAAATGCGTGGAGTAGAGTGAGGTTCCCATGCCACTGTAGTCAAGCACTACGTAGCCAGCCTGCATCCCTTCCCCGTTTCTTCCGGCCCGCAAGTGCTGATTGAATCCTTCAAACTCGAAGTCTCCCTCACTGTCTGCCAGGATTGTACCTGATACCCAGAGGCCGTCACTTAATCGGGCTTTTTCAACAGCCATAGCTATGTAGTACATCATGTTGTAAATGGTGCCAAAGAATGGAGAAACCTAATAGAGGGAAGTCATGATATAGATTTTGTAAAAAGATTTATGCTTGTTGACATTTCTTTTTCACTTTTAGCAACTAGATTCCTCAACAAGTCTTACCTGTTCTGGTGGAGCACTGCTGCGTATTTCATAAGAGTTCTGAGCATCTCTGAAGGCCTCATAGAAATTACGTTCCCCAGACTCCATAGTGATAGAGAGAACCCCATCATAGGCTTTTCGGAGCTTGGTATCATTTCCTAGCATGTAGTAGTTTGTGTCTTTGTAAGGTAGGGAATACAGTAGAGTGTCATAGGTAATAAAAATATAGCCACGGTCTATCATACGCATGGCTAAGGCTGTGGTCAGGAGTCGGTACTGGGCTTGGCCACCAATCAGGACAGAGGGCATACACATGATGATCACTGCAAAAAAAAAAAAAAAAAAAATCAAAATACTAAACTGCTTTTCAAAGTTTGCATACAATAGAATTTTAAGTTCTCAAACAATTGCATCATACCTCTTACTCGATCTGCTTGCCTCACTTTTGTAAGAGCTCTCCGAGGCCCGTCCTTATCACTCTCCATTGTGACAACAGGGTTTACAGGCAGTCCAAGGTCCCTGAGGGAAGTGGCCAACTCCTGGCCTGTGGCTTCCCAAATATCTGTTTCCTCTGAGATGATGGCCACATGAGCCCATCGAAAATACCTTAACACAGTGAAAATAACATGGGCGGACAGTGGCAGCGGCCTTAGGAATGTAGGGTATTTGTCTCCTGCATTCATGTTGGGTTTGAGACAACCCCAGGACAGAATGCCGACATCCCACTCTTTTGCATATAGTGCAGCTGAGGAACAGTAGCCTGGATTAGCAGGGCCCAAGAAAGCCGACCCGTAACTTTCTATATCAGCAAAGCGAACAAGGGCACGAGTTGACTTGCAGTCCTCATTAATCAGTGTGTAGTCATACCAGTAACCTTTATTGAGGTAGGAGTTCTTGTTTATACGACTGGTGGCAAGACGGGCTGCCAAGTCGGGGAGAGCCTTAGAGTACAAGATGTCACATGTCCAGGGTCCAACCAGGGCCACCTTGAACGTTGTTGCCCAGGCTTGACAGGGGAATATTGAGATCATGAGTAAAAGGACATGAAACCAGTTCCCCCTTGATCTTCTGGTGTGCTGCACTGGGGATGATGGCAACTGTGGTGTTGATGATGACAAAAATTTTGATGATAATGATGCTGATGATAATTCAAACATTCTACACTCAGCAAAACTATTCATGATCACCGTCCATATGTGCCTCTTTCTTATTACTTTAACAGAGTGGTGCCGCCATCGTGGGTGGTAGGCAAGGTTGTGCAGACACTGAGGGTCTCTATGAGTTTTCATTTTCACATGCAGCTTTTATGATGCCTCAGACACAGTTGTGAACTGAGTGTTTAGAATGGTAAGCTTGTGAGTGTCTTTGGTTCTGGAATTATTCCCCTTTGCACTCTGCAAGCTTCTAGTCCAAAGGCGGACATGCAACAAGAAGACCCCAAGCCATCACTGCCTCCAGGAGACAAGAATAAAAACATATTAGAAAATTGGAAACAAAACATTTAATGATATCTGTGGTTGAACAAAATATGTATCCTGATATTAATCTTAAAAAAGAAAGAAATGTCACCATTCCACTATGACTCTTATCAGCATCCATATGGCCTCATGGCTCAGGATGTAGGCTTTGTGCTGCCTGTTGGAGAATTACTTGCATGTGTGTAACCAAGCTCATTAGCTCATAGTCATGGACTTTAAATCAAATGCCATGTAACCAGGAGCTAAATCTGGATCTGGTTCTTTAACCTTTTTGTATTTCCTTTTATCTTGTGTTTTTTTTTAGATGTTTCCCTACTGTCTTTAAGTCTCACCCAGTTACACACTTTCATCTATGCCTGATGAATAGGCTTCTATCTTAAAAGTTATTTTCTAAATAAAGGCCAATGGACTTTGAAGGAGACTTAAACATACTAGAGTGAAAGTTATGTATTTTTAACTGTACAGAAATTACTGAAAGATATTTTAGTAAGTTTGCTAATCTCATTTTACATAGATCTACAGTAAATCTCTACATCTTTTGCTCTTGCAGTGTATAATTTGCAGTTATTCAGAGTTAGAAACCTTGAATTTACCTTTCATTATATAAAACTCACAAATAAGTAGAGATCAAAGTTATTTTTAAACTAAAATATTAGATATCCAATTTAAATATGTGTTATTATGCATTAGCTCTTGAAGAAGGTGATTCTGAAAATCAAAATTGTCAAACAAAACAAAACTTTTGAGTTAAAGTTGAGTAAAATATTTCGTCATATCTTAATTTTTTCTGTATTCTATGAGTAGAATACAAGTGATTAAATTAACCATAGATTCCAACGTTCTCACCTCTTCAGACAGATTTTACAATGCTACAGAAGTTTACAACGCAAAAAACAATTAAAACAAAATGCCTTCTTCATAATGGAAATCTTACCTGTAGTAGTTTCCTACACGGGAGCCATGTCAGGGTTTGAGTCAGTCATTAGATAGCACCATCTAAATTCCAAGTGGATTAAGAGTGCTCAGGTTGAGCACTTATCTTTTTTCTTGTATTGTGAAAAATGTCATCACAAATCCAGAGTTCATTTAAGATATAAAACAATGAAGAATAAAAAAAGAAGGTAATATTGGGAGATGCTTCTCATCTCTTGTCTAGGTTATTAAGAGCAGGTTTAAAAAACAAAAACAAAACATAGCAAAGAAAAAAACTCTTCAAATGTCCAGGGTGTTTGTCTCTCTGGTTGAGTTTATGTTGTCCCTGTTTTGGACTGGGACCCACCCCAAACCACAGGTACATGAGAGGAGATGCTGCCTAGTTCCAGAGTTGGGATAGGTAAAAATAGATTGGCTCGATGGGCTGAGATCTTGAGAGAGGGAATAAGTAAAGGAAAGGAAAAAGTGGGAAGGGCTGCCAAGCTTTGACTCCTCAACCTCTTTAGCTCTTAATCCACACTAGTGTGGGAAGCATGTGTGTGTGCGGTGGGGGGGTGGGCTCACAAGAAGAGGGCGGTGAAAGTAGAAGCACACTCACTGTTCGCTCATGTGCTGCTCATGCTGATTTATCCAAGCAACTGTTGCATATAGAGGGTTTAAAATTAATTAAATCCGGTTTAAATGATTTACTTCCTTTTCAAAAAAGCTGAAGCTTGTACTGATTTATAGTTCAGGAATTTTTAGGATACGTAACAAAACACACAATCTGAAAATTAAAAGAAAACTATTTAGAAAACTCTCAATATAACATAACGACCAATTTCAAACGACCTTTTTCATAGTGATGCCAGAAGCTTTTTATTCCTTCTAAATACATAAAACTTTCCTTAAAATTATGAGCAAAGTAACAAAAAAATGATACAATGGCTGAAGATAAATAGATATAATTTGCAGGGAAGAGATAAAGTTATTGCATTAGCGGTCTCATGATAACGAATTTGCAGCTGAAATAAACAAAACCAACATTTATTATTTGGAGAATTAACAGTATGAAACCTTTTTTTTCATACTGTAAATATATTCACAATGGGAAAATAAGAATATTTCCGTTATAATTTCTTCAGATTTCTTTCTTTCTCTTTAAACTTAACAACACCTTCTTTTTAAAAGGCCACTTTGAAGATTTTTTCATATTTTAATATTCAAGGTCTTAATTAATATGAAGATTATAAAGGGATCTTGAGACATTTTAAAAAGTAAGCCCAGATTATGAAGCAATGATGGCAAAGAGAAGAAAATAATTTCTATTGGAGGACATTCGTTGAAATGATTGCTCCTTTCAGAGGAAAATTACCAGTTCCTATACATTGAGAAGCTTTAGCTGGAAGAGCCTCAGTAGATATTTTATTTCTCCAGCACAGAGTTCACTACTCTGTTTTAGCTGTGATGCACAGGGAGCAAAACAGGTTTATTTGTTCGCTTCTAGTCATGCCCAGCAAAACAAAGATTCTGGAACTTGGTGCAAATTGAACTGAAAATAAAATAGAATTTGCAGATTATTTTGGGTTGTACTTCATATGGGGCGCACCCAAATAATGTTGCTTACGGGCCTACTGTAAGCCTACTGTTGTGTCGTTACGCCATTGATTTCATAGCAGACTTGAAATGGAAAATGCCAGTAAAATTTGTGAGCAATGGAGAGATATTTTTCCCAGAAGACCATAATATGTCTAATTCCCATGTATGATTATTTTATTCTCAACACCACAGGAGAGGAGTTGCCATTAGGCAAAACTTGGTAGCTGCATATGGCTCCAAGATTCTGAGGGCCCCATAAAACTTCTCATACACGTATTGCTAATATAGTTATTACTGACTAGACAAGAGAGAAAAGAAAAGAAAAATAAAAAGAAGCTAGCCCTGTAAAAAAGAAAAAGAGAGAGAAGGAAAGCAGAAAGCTGCACTCAAGGTTACTAAAAGGGACTTGCTTCTCCTCGCACTGCACCTAAAGCTAGGTCCATCTATAAAATGTTATCTTACAAAGGAGATATGTTTTCCACATATGCATTTCATTGTATCCTCTTCCGCCCTGCATAAAAAAAAAATCTAACACTTTTAGATCAGTTCAACAATATACTGTGGACTCTGTCTTCCAAGACATTTATATCCTTGAGTATTTGTCCACATTTTGTCCCACAGCAACCACAAACTTTGCATTTTTTTTTAAAGATGATCAACTCCAATTGCACATGAATGTGAAGAAGAAAATAGATTAATTAAACTAAATAAAAAAAAAACCATTTTGTTAGCACTTTTTGCACCTTATTTGCTAAATAAATGTATTTATTTCCTAAATAAATGTGCAATCTACCTCTTACAGTAGTGAGTGTATTAATAATTACTGTTCTATCAATATCTTTGATAAATACAGAACATGGCATGACTAAAAATCCACCAAGACTCGGTCCTCCTCCACTTTAACTGATAGGTAAGGTGGCAGATCCCCATGGAAAGAGTGTGAGGGATTATGCGTGGGTACTGGTGGCAACATGTGACAGCAGTGACAGCATTTATGGCATCGAGCTGGAAGCTGAAGCTGGGTATGTGGTCCTGAAGGATCAGATTGTGCAAGTTATAAAGGAAGAATTTAAGCAATGTCATTCAGACCTATCTATGGTTGAAACTGGAGTTTTGTATTTAAGCATAACATGAATAATCGAAAAATCTCATGTGTATGCATGAGTGTGTGTTTGTGTATAGCGTTTATAAGGCTTCTTCAGCAGGAAGAAATGCTTAATAGAAGGTGTGAGGGGGCCCAGACCTGCCCAAAAGAGCCCAATCTTGACCTGAGACTTGAATTATTTTAGGCTGGAGTGATGAAGTCTTCAGACTTACTTGAGATTTGCATAGCAATCAGTTCCACCTCTGCAGGAGGCTAGAGGGACCTACAGTATTTGCAAAGTTCAGAGGTGTCAAAAGCCTGGTGGAAAGGAATGAATTACCAAGTTTTTAGAAGTGCTTTTTATATGCATTGCTAGCAATGTTGAATTCAGTCACAAAGTAAACAGCTAAATAAAAATTACAACACTTTAAAAGCATTGTGATTTAAATTAGACTGTAGATTTTATTTCAGTCTGGGTTACAGCAAATTAATCTTAAGCTTCATTTCAGCAAAACTTAAGTGAAAAGTCTTATCAGCTTCACCTGAACCAACTGCGATGTCACTTGTTCAGCTTAAGCCATTCAACTCAGGGTTGCACACCTCCTCTGAGGTTCCTCTGACTCCCCTTCATCCAGCTCCTGGCCTAGCTTCACTATCCCACACATATGGAAACTTTCCCCCACTTCAACACCATCTCCTCCCTCACTCTTAGACTCATCTAGACTCATCTTAGACTCATCCCGGGGGGAAGACCTCTCCGATCCCTTTTTTTTAGGTTACTCATCCAAATGAATGTTGATTCACAGCATTAAAGTCTTCTGCAGGGGCATGAGCGCTAAAGAACTGATTTCATCAATGTTGTTATCTGCTTCCATCACCTCAAACCCCACTCGGCCTTGGCAGATGGCCACTCAAACTGTGAGCCTCATTCTGTTGGTTTCTTCCTGTTAAAAGGGAATTTTTCTTTCCCCTGTCGCTACAAGCATGCTTTGTGTGAGTGATTGCAGAAGTTTTGTAACTCTACAAAGAAAAAAAAAAGCAGGTGAAAAAACACTGCATATGCAGCTGTAATTGGAGTAAATTATGGTATGCTTTTTAGGTTCATTTTAGTTTATGATTACATAATTTCAATAGGATTTTGATTTCCGATTAAAACCCCCCAAAAATATTCTATGGCTGGAATGTAATTGATAAGTTGATTTAAATATTTGTAGATGCAACATGTGAAGTCCCTTACATTATAAAAGCCTCTGTGTCACTGCCAGTTTTTGAAATAATCTTGGATCTCTATGTCGGCGCTCATTGAGGCAAAGAAAGCATATAAGCTGGAGCAAAGAGCTGGAAATATCTTGTGTGCTATCTGTGGTAATCTAGCGAAAAGTTGCTCCTTTGACCTGGAAGATTCAACCTGAGCTTAAGTGAGAAAAAGGGGGGGGGGGGGGACTCAAAATAACATCAACAAAAATTGGTTTAGTATAAAAAAGAGTCTTGGAAATAATGCTCAAGCATTCACCCTCAGAGACCTCTTTATGAAGGCGGGTTGTGGCATATGTAAGGTGAGTCCTGCTCTCATTTGTCCTGTCTTGCACATCTATAGAAGACTTGTTGAAGTAATCAGATTAGTCAGGCGAGGCCTCGCTAAACTGATTGGCTGCACGCAAGCCTCTTAGTGACATGGCTGACAGCACAGTTAGAGATCACTCCAAAGCAAGGTCGGACATACAGCCAGCTCAGTGGACCCTGAAGCACCGCACCACCCTCCCAGCACCTAAGATTCATTTGACACTCTTTTAGCAAACCTGCAAATATCAGATCACTTGCAAAGCTGGTGATAAGGCAGTTTGTAAAGCTCTATAAAATATATGAAGAGGGCTGTAAAAGTATTCCTCTATCTTAATTAACCCTACACATCAGAGGATTTGTGAAAAGTTTGACAGAAAAGTAAAAGTCTTTTTTGTGACTCAACTTTGCTATTCAGGTGAATTATTCTGGCAGACACTCACAATGACATCACTCCCTCCTTCCAGGATCACAGGATCAACGCCGTGTAGGAAAGCTAGAAGTCGTCCCTTAAAGCCATGCCAGGGTGTAATTTAGGATGGGTAATGCGGCCTATAAAGAGGCCTGTCTGTCACTTTCCACACACACCAGGAGCTGAGAAACTTCAAAACCCTGTTTTATGAAGCAGAGGTTCCCAAAGTGGGGTTCGGGACCTCCCAGAGTGTCACTACACCTCATGGGGTAGGTCGCAAGATGGTTTTCAAAATCATTGTGATATAATGCCTTAGATATATGGAGGGCCAGTCATAAAAAACATAAATATGGGTGAAATAAAAAAACTAAATGTTTCATTCAATAAGTAAATATAAGATTAATTTATTTATCTAATACATGGTTGAATATTAAATATGCTTTAAATTGTAAAATATGAAATTAAATGTCCCATGAAAGTATTTTAATTTAATTCAAAATATATAGACTGAATAATTAAATGCCATTTTTAATGAGTATTTAAATAAATCTAATTGCTTCACCGGATATGCATAAATAAACATAGAGTAACGTTTACGTGCTTTGAGTGGTCTTTTCGTGATGGTACACAGTACCATAACTTCTGAATTTTACCCTTCAGTGTACAGTGCATACCTGGACCTGCATCCCCACCCACCTCCCATTCCTCCCCATCCCTGCACAGTTTACAGCTTGTAGTCGATTTGTTGATAAATACGTCATAAGAAACCCTTTGCTTTGGTCCGAAACTTTTGCCATACATTTTATTATGTGAAGCAGAGCTGGATGATAA